TGGTTCGGGAGTGATTGAGCAGGTAACAAGGGCAGATAATTTCGCGATCACTTTCGAGCGTGCGATAACGTTCACTAGATTTTCGCTTGTTGCACGGGTTGCACCAGACATGTTGATCGGCGATTGTTGACAGCCACGGGAACCGGCCATGGTGTTTATCTACTAGAGGGCTGGGGCGTTTTAACCACACGCGATTGGTCAAAGCTTGCGCTGAGGTATGCGCTTGCAAAAATTGAATAGGCCCACTGCCATTTTGCCATTCAAACTGGTGGGTGTTCTGTGGCCATTCCTTCACGTGTGTGCATCGTTGATAGATTGTGCGCCGCAGCTGCTGAGTCCACGTGCCACATTTGTGCATTCTGACATTAGTACTCTTGGTTTGACTTCTGCGTCTCGCGATGTCGCGAAACCGAAAACCGCTGACGCTCGGCGAAAAGCTTCGAGTTATTGAGGAGGCTGAGAAGCGGACCGGATCAACAAAGGCCAGCATTGCCCGCGACCTGAACATTCCCGAGTCGTCGCTGAAAACGATCCTCGCGAAGAAGGACAGCATCCTGCTGAATGCGTCAAAGTTCGGCCTGAACAGGAAGGCCGCGAAAGATGGCAAATACGCTGCCATGGAGAAGGCCCTCGTAGAGTGGTTGCGTCAGGCACGCAGTGCAGCTATTGCCGTGGATGGGCGCAATTTTGAAGGAGAAGGCAGACATGAGTTGCGTTGCGCTGCGGCATTGACGACTTTAAAGCCTCCAACGGCTGGTTAGATCGTTTTAAAAAAACGAAATGGAGTTGTTTACAGCCGCTGCTGCGGAGAGAGCTCGTCTGTCAGCTCCTCCACTGTTGAACAATGGACCGCATTGCTGCCGGAACTGATACGGCAGTACAAGCCTGCGACGTATTCAACGCAGACGAAACTGGATTATTTTACAATATGCAGCCAGACCAGACTTTGACGTTCAAAGGAGAGGGTTGTCACGGCGGTAAGCGGAGCAAAGAGCGTCTTACTGTGTTGCTTTGCGCTAATGAAGACGGCTCGGAAAAGCTTCCTGCCCTCGTGATTGGCAAGTTTGAGAAGCCGCGATGCTTCAAAAATTTGAAAAGGCTGCCGTGCCAATACACGTTTAAACCGCAAAGCCTGGATGACTGCTGCCAAGTTTGCTGCATATCTGCAGCAGCTAGACTCGAGAATGGGGGCTAAAGACAGAAAAATTTCTTCTTCTGCTGGACATGCGCCGTGCCATCCACGGATACGTCGCCATTTGAGGAATGTAAAAAGGTCGCATTTCTGCCCCCGAATTGCACAAGTCAGCTGCAGCCACTTGACGCCGGCGTCATCAAATGCATGAAGCAGAAATACAGGAAAGTTTCTGGTTCAGCGTCGGCTAGCGGGCATGGAACGCAAGCAGATGGCCACGAAGCTCTCTGTGCTCGATGCAATGCACTACATCGCTAGTGCATGGGACGCGGTTCACGCAGGAAACTATCGCCAACTCCTTCAGACACTGCGGTTTAACGAGAGTGGCGGCTGTTTCAGTGAGGCTGCAGTGCTTGATGATGACGAACCGAGTTTGTGGCGCCTGGAGCTGCCTGGATCGTCGCGGACTATGTTGGTGCCGACGACGATGTCGCTGTGTGCAGTGCAGTGTCGCTGGATGACATTATTGAAACTGTGCGTCCCGACTCTGCGGAAACTTCCGACGAAGAAGAGATGGACGATACCGCAGAGGCAAGCGCTTCCGTACCGACTTACACGGACGTGTTGGATTACGTCGACAACATTCGGCGGTTTGCGTGCGCATACGACGAGGCTTCACAACGTTACTATGGACTCTGAATCCAATAATGCTGAGAGTGTGTGAGACAGAAGTTCTGAGACAGTATTTCTCAAAAAGTGCATTGCGTTACTTTTGCTTTCAGTTGCCTTTGTTTCACTATGACTTTCGTTTTGTCAATAGGTAACAAAAGCAGTACTTCCAAGTCGACCACTGGACCTCTGGATGTCGATTGATTTGTGGGGTTTAACGTCCCAAACCACCATATGATTATGAGAGACGCCGTAGTGGAGCGCTCCGGAAATTTCGACCACCTGGGGTTCTTTAACATGCACCTCTGGATGTCCCTAGCAAAGATGGAAAAACTGATTTCAAGGTTTCCACCGATCCGATGTTCTATAGACTGAGCTAGCACGGGATCAGCTTCTTCAACGAGCAATTCTACTGTATCACGGATGCAAAAAACTGTGGCAGAATAGGCAGCTACCTAAATGTGAGTAGAATGAAGAGCACACGTTCACAATATCTTGAGCGAGCATATGTGCTGGCAGTGCATGCTGTGAAGACTAAATGGGCAGGCTGCCTTTCCTGGTCTTCACTTTAGGTTCACATTTTGTAGCACTTCTCCAGATTTCTTCAATCACATGAGTTGCACAACTCCTGATAAGCTATATGTATAAAAAACCAGACACACCATTGGTTCAAATTGAGGGGGTCTACTTATTTGGATGCCACATATAGGTGGCAAACACAAGCTATTAAATGGCACTTGTGTGTATTTTGGTGCAGAAAACCCTTTAGTGATACTGCATTGATAAAATGAGCAGCTTGTTTACGCTCCAGCTTACATTTTGCAGTCGTTGCTGCTGCCATAAAACTCTTCACCTGTCTTGAATCATTTTTCGAAGGATTTGGCATCGTGCAAATGTAAACTTCAAATTAATTGTCTTTAATTGTCACGTGTGTTGCACAAATTGTGCAGAACTGCCACATTGTGGTGTTCCGATTGGCATGAGCCAAGTATATTTTTGGAGCATGGCAAATTTTTTTGTATATGTACGTATTTTTAAATCAAAATTCAATGCAAAGTGTAGTTATATCTTGGTGACTGACAGACAACAGATGTTACTTGTTTAGAAAGTTTGGTCTTGTCCTGCAGTGACTGTAAGTTTGTTTTAGCTGTAACACAGTTTTTTTTCTTTTCTTTTATACAGCATAGCTGCTCACCGAACATTTACATCCAAAATGTGTTGACACCATTGTAATGTAGATGAGCTAAGACATCCCCGAATCCAACGGCTAGCCAAGCCAAGGACGAATGGGGAAAATAAAGAGTTGCCTGCAGGTTCTTGGACGAAGTCAGTTCCATTGTTTCAGCCTATATCAAGTGACCAACGCATTGTCTAGAATTGCTAGAATAAAAGTTATACCACAAACCTTGCTGAAATTTCGCATTTACTTTTGGGAACGTGGTTTAACACATTCCATACGATATAACTTATGAGTGTACCGAGATTAAAACGGTTATGTTGCCTTAAGCGCAAATAGATTAAGCCAATGAATGCCATGTATGAAAAAAAGATTTGACAAATTTTTTGGCCAGAAGAATCCCATTTGCTGAGATAAATTCTTGAACACAGAGGAGCCGTTTCAACCAGCAGACTTTTCTTCAATGCTGAAATCGAAGACAAGTTGGTTTGAGAAAACATTGGCTCCAGCAACATGTTGGTCAATTTTTTGTATCATGGCAGCATTCTACAATCACTTTTTAGCTGTTCATTGTCGAGATTGATGAGTAAAGGGATACTACCGTAATATGGCATCGGGTTAATTCCTGAAGCTTCTCAAGTTAGCATAATTGATAATTAAAAAAAAAGATCCGAAGGAAGCTTGAAGGGATGAGAAATTCTTTGACACAAGGTGTTGTTGGAGTCAGGGCTTAGGCACACAAGCTCTTCTTCAAAACTGTAAATATACAAGTCCAATGTCGATATATTGAACTTGTAAGAAATCAATGGTTCTGGCTCAAGTTAACAGTATTGGATACACATGATATCCCACCATAAGTTTATTTAGGTCAAGGGCTTGCTGTGGTGACAACTAATGAATAGGTTCACTAAAAAGAGCGTAAGGCTTTTCTTATGAATAGCTAAAATCATTGCGGCACCTGGTGAGGCAGGTATCAACTACACAGTTCTTTCTGCATGGCCTTCAAGATCTTCGCCAGCGCCTCACCTCTGGTGTACACCAGAGGACATGAACGCTGACGTGCGAGTGCCACTAGCAGACACCCAAGTCAAGCATCACAGTCACTTCCGACTTTAAAACGACAGCGATGAAGAGCTCATTTTGCAGAAATTCCAGTCAATGTCGTTGGTTGTGAATGAAAAATCATCATGTCCATGACCGAAAATCGAGAAATATTCAAATAAAATGATCGAAATCTTGCGGTCAGAGTGAGGATCGAACCCAGGCTGTTTGCGAGTAAAGCAGGTGTTCTGCCACAGAGCCCTGAGGTTTCTTTAAAATGCTTAGAAAAAAAACGCTATATGAATCTAATGTCTCTTTTATGCATCATATATTGCATAGCAGAAGCGTAGAATAGCTTCAGGCATCAAAATATGTGAATTCAGCAACGAATGGGTGTTCCAAAGGCCCACAAATTACAAAGCGCTCAGACATATTTCATCACCAGCGGTAGGACCATGAACAACGTGAACAGTCATGTAGGTTCACATATTGCCCTATGGATGCATAGAGGGCACTGGACTGTGCTTGCAATAGGCATTCAATGATACTTTGAAACAACCGATGTTATGCGCACAGTCATTCATTTCCTTACGGCACGGTTTAGACATGCACAGAGAACCACTTCAGGCTTGCAGTTCCGGGCATGATGCAAACGTCCCGATTAGACTATCGCGATCTATTCTTGAAGGCGAAAGCTAAAGCGTCCTCTTATTTTTTTCTATTTGCGCGAGGTATGAATCTGTAGGGTGTGTCGTTTCACCAATTATACAGGGAAACGTCAATTGTATGCAGTCAGCAGAGCACATACGAAAAGGCACACCAAGGTAATCGACACATCTCAGTCAATGCACGGTATTTGGCATGACCGAAAAAACGGAAATGTATATTTTTGACAAGTAAAAGCGCACAAGCTATGCCAAGGACATAGCATTTCGCTGTTTAGTAGCACTGCGAGTCGCCAGTGATATAGAAGAGCGTACATAGGTAGTGAGATACAAGATACAAGAGTGAAAGTTTGGCCCAGTCCAAACTTTCAATCTGTATTGTGCAACCTTTATTTCATTATATTCCTCGGTATGTTATGAATGATAGTTAAATGCATTAGTGATGAGGAGTGTGTACAGTCACCGGCCAATGTTTTCTTGGAGACCGCAAGCACTCGAAGCCATCAAAAAGGAAGAAGTTTTTTAGCGGCGGGTCCTTGCACGATGCCACCTGAAAGTGCACCATTTAAAAGCGAGATTATGCTAGGCACAACTTATCCTACATTATCTACACAACGTCAAAGACTCGTCGCCATGGGCCAAACACTCTGAACAAGGACAACCAACACAACTGTGGAATAGTTACCAGTATGCCATCTACCTATTTCCTTCTTAGAGACAAATATGGTGCCACAGATCACAATGTCAGCGAAACTAAAAATGCCACGATGCCAACAGAATCTTTTGCGTACTAGTACAGTCCACTCCACTTATAATGATGTTCAAGTGTCCAGTTAATCTGGTCGTCATAAATGGCGATTGTTATAAACGGGCTGACAAAAAAAGAGATGAAAAAATTTCATTTGCATGCAGGTAAGGTAGTGACACTATGTACTACTTGTTTGCAGAAAAGGCGCAGTCTTTCAGTTGCTATAGCTTCACGCAAAACTGGCGCATATCTTTCCAAGAGCATCTTGGCACTCGATGTAGCTGAGCGAAAGATCGTTCAAGAAAACAAGGAAACCTGAGGGACTGCAGTCATCTGCTGGGCCTTCTGCGATAACAGTGCCTGGGTAGGCTGTTCAACCGCTTGGACGAAGTCAGTGCATAGACCTATTTGCGTCGCGCGCCGTATCCGGATGAAATACTCTATATCCGATATCACGTCACTGGATCATCGTAACAAGCGATTTGTTTTACCATAGAAGGTATACGAAAAGTGGACAGTGCAATCACTGTTCATCGTTATATGCGATATATTGTAAGAAATGGTATCCTTATAAGTGGACTCGCCTGCTGTGTGCGGAAATGGAATGAAAAACAAAAGGAAGAAAAAAAAAACTGTATTTTTGACTGGAACAATAACGTAACCGAAACCTTATCTATCATTTTGTTCCAGAGTGAAACCGAAATTTTTACAATCAGTTTTTCGGTTCATGAAAGACTTGGCAATCTGGGACTACCGAGGCCATGCAACGCGAGACATTACGCAGATCTCAGAATACAGCAACAGCACGCATCCCAGGCAGAAATTCCAATGTAAACATGCACTGAAATTGTGCAAAAAACTAAAACAGTGGCATTTAGAGATGTTTACAGTAACCCAAGTCGGCTTTCGTGTTCCCATCACACTGGCCAGCATGGAGCAGGCGTTCTCGGCGCTGAAGTTTGTGTTATCAGAACAGCGGTCACGCACATTGGAGTACACTCGATGACATGCTGATCATGAGACCACGCTCACTCCCTGAACACAATGCATTAAGCCAGCCCCAAAAATTTGTAATTCCCTTTTGATAAAATAAATACTGTAAATCAGAAGGGTACCAGTTCGGACTAGTTGGTAGAATTTGTGATAATTTACATGCACTCATCCGAAGAACGTGAAAAAAGAAAAGTGTTTTATCTCTGTACCACTGTTTTAAGAAGAATGCCTATCGTTATTTTACCTTCAAATCTTGCACGCAAAGTAAAAACCATTACGAAATATTCTCCCTTCGTTCTGGAAAAGTGATAGGGTTGAAACTAAAATCCGAAATGAAAAACATTTTGTTTTGCCAACCTGCATACAACTTCCTTCAACATAGTTAGCCTTCTCGATAGTGTGCATGACAAATTTTAAAACTTTTAACCCTTTTCCAGTCACTAACGCACTGCAAAATGTCTGCGTTGCCATACTTCGATGTCAATGACGCATCCAGAAATATTCCCTCATTTCTTCAAGCGGCAAGGCACTGTGGCCTTCACACACGCTAGATGTGAAAGAACTGATGTTTCATGTCTTATTTCTTGTACAAGTTATAGCGTGCAGTGCACATTACGTGACTAGACGAAACTTGCTAAAATTTTAAAAATTTTAGTCTCTTCTGTGCGCAAGCATTCCTCGTGAATCCAAAGATACAAGTGCAATGAAGACGACTCTGTCCGCTGACCTGACATTAAGTTTCCAGCAGTTATGATAAACTGGCGCCCAAAGGAGCTGTGAGCGATTCGTGAACAAAGATTCGTGGCTTCTCTGATTCACTTAACACAAATCTCTTGCACAATTCAGTGAGAAATGCATGCCCTGGAGCGGGAGCCGCTCGAAAATTTCCGATAATGTGAGAACCACGATGGTGACTTTGTCAGGGAAAAGGTTCATCGTTTCCTCGAATATTCGCTCTAGCCAAATGCAACAGAGGTACCACAACAATGACCGAAATGCACTGCGTGTAGTCAACTAACGACCCACCTTGATAATGTCCTGAGCCAGGACACCTCCAACAACGGCGTTCGTCGCGCACACTTCCTTGGAAATGGTGCTGGGGAAGCGAATGAAGCAAAGTGAGTGAGAAAAGAAACAGACGTTTGAGCGCATGTTCTCAGAAAAAAAAAAATTGTAAGCTAAGCCCGTGAAGGTCAATTATTTTTGCCAACTGCAAACCCCTCCCCCTCCCCAATTTGATTTCTTTTATTGCATATTTTAAAACCTTTATAGTCCCTATTATTAAAGGGCCACTACGAAGCAATGCTTGCAACAATTTTCGAGCATGGTCAGAAAATGCTGCTGATCGCTGTTCGAGGATCACGAGGACACGCAAGCCAAATATTATAGCCTAGCACCCGCTGCCTGGAATTTACAAAACATTCTCATGTTCAGCTAAAAATCGCTTTCTCTTCTCTCGACAAATGATGACACAGGCTCAAAAATCATTGTGTCACAGGCCCAAGTATCACGCCATTGGCTGATTTGAGCACGGCACACTAAGACGTTACTGAGGATGCGACGTGTCCATGTGCACGCGCAATACTGCACTGAAAAGGCGCACATTCAAAGAAAAAAAGAGCAAAAAGTGCTCAAAGCCGCCAAGCCTGTGCGGCTCATTTTCCTCCCTCGTGCCATTCATCCTTGCTTAGCTTCTAGTGCTTTCGTCAGGACAAAAGAAGAGAGAACGCAATTTCAGCGTGCGAGAAATCTCTCTAACTCCACTCGTGAGGCAATAAGTTCCTTTACTGAATCCATTCTACGACTACTTCGAAAAGTGTTGCAGGGCCCATTTAGGAAAAAAAGAAAAAAAAATTGCAAAACTTTTCAGTGACCATAAAGGGAGAAAGCATGTATGTTCTATAGGTAAAGAGCATTGTTTATTTGTGAATAATAATGAGAAAAACTCATACTAATAATGAAGAAGTATGTTTATCAAACTAAATACCTTGCACTGGCTTCGAAAAACATGCATGCCCGATCACCTTTATAAGATCAATCAACCAATCAAACAACATTATTTTCACGAAAAAAGCGAGCATTTGCAGTGAACAAAGGTGGCAGGGAAAAGCTGTCCAATGACAGCTCGACAAAGCCCCAGCCACCCATCGGCGGTGAAACGAGATGGTACATTTGATCTCAGAGAATAAAAAAAAAAGATGCTAAACACTTCAGTATGCGTTACAAAGTACAATGCACAAACGAATACAAATATGTATGCACGTATGATAGACATAGAGATATATGCAGAGTACTATATGAATAATGAAAGAAAAACAATTCGCAAAACACGTGTATGTTCCATTGTTACAAAAAGCAAGTTTGAATAGTTACGTGAACAGCCCTCCAATTTTTTTTTTTTTTTATTGTGTGGAATAAAGCATCTCTTTCTTGAATTTTGAAATAATTTAATGTTGTTGGGATGGTGCGTTGGATGTGTTGCGTTCCATAGTGCGTGCGTGAGAATGGAACGTGCCAAGATGGTTGATATGGAGCGTGATAAGTAACTTCGTTTCGTTTAATGTTCGCGGGTGGAAGAAATGTGTCCGATTTTTAGAGTGCTGTTTTTTTTATAGCAGCAGAGCAATCTGAAAGTATAAAGATATGATATTTTAACAATTCGATACTGTTTGAAAAGAGGGGTGGTGTGTTATAGATAGGGAGCATTTGAAATCATTTGAACCATTTTCTTTTGGAACACGCTCAGTTTTGACATGTTAAGGGCTGTAGTTTTACCCCACACCAGGAAGCAGTAACTTAGATAGGAATTAAAAAGTGCATCTTAAAGTACCCTTTATAAAGACGAACTTGAAAATTTGTACCGCGCACGTGCTGCGATCATCCCTTGTAGCCTGGCTGTGTGGCATCCGCACCCTCATTACGGCCCATACTGTGCTTCTCTGATAAGCTTCGAGCTTTGCACTTCGCGTTTATTAAGCTAAATGCAAGAAAGCCACGTGGCTTTTCGGCAGGATAATCGCCATGGACAACTCGGTTTCCTCTGCAGGAACGGCTCATTGAAGGCGCCGGTGCTGTTTTTCCTGTTCGCCGTGGTGGGCCGCTGGTCTTCCCTGACCTTTCGGTGTCTGCTATTGTCGGGCAGGACCATCATCGCAGGACATTCCAACACCTGCGCACATTGGCTGGTGCCATATTTACTTGCTCCAGAAAACAAAGCCCTTCTTCTGACGCCACGACCAGTCACGTGTCTGCAACCGTGTTTATAACACGGCGCACTTCACTCGGGCGGCAATCAGTGGTGACGGCATCATTACAGCCAGTACCTGATCGCATCCTCTCCGTGTTACAGGTTGGAACCACACTGTTTGCGCTTGTTGTTGTGCCGCTTCCACCACTGCCGCTACTGCTGTATTAGTGTATTGTGCTAGTGTACCGTGTACTATCGTACTGAATTAGTGCTACTGTATTGCCACTATGTCCCAATAATTTTCAAGACAAGGACGAGCTCAAAACAGAATTTGGAACGTCTAAAGAAACTATCGAAAGAAATATGCGCACAGACGAACGCAAAGTTCATGGGGAGCTGCAGGAAATGAAAAAAAGTTTGGATTTCCTTCATAAAAGTCTTGAGGAATCCAATTGTCTGGTTGCAACTGTTGTTGCTGAAAACAGGGCTTTGGTAAAAAAAAATGAAGGACTTCATCAGAGAGTAAGCCTGCTTCCGAAGAATCTTGGTGAATGCCAGGAAAACCTGGTGAAAGCCGAACGGTATTCTAGAAACAGAAATTCGGAAATAAAGGGCGTGTTGCAAAGTCCCAATGAAAGCATTCCAGAACCTCTGAAGAGGTTAGTGACGCTGTTAGAGAAGCTATAACAAGTGCTGATAGAGAGGTATGCCACCGAGTGAACACCAGTGACAAAAAGAACACCAACATTATCGCACAATTTCAAAGGCGGAGCAAGCACGGCCAAGTGCTGGAAAAAGCAAGAAAGAAACGATTGACTAACAATAATCTAGGTCTGTCATCAACAGGAGGAGCTCCCGAAGACCCACCAATTTACATTAATGAGAACCTCTGCCTACATCTCAAGACACTTCTGGAAAAGACGACTGCGCGCAAGTGCGAATGTGGGTGGAAATACGCATGGTCTATGAACGGCATGGTCAATGAAATACGCATGGTCTACTTACGCTCGTCAAACTGACACATCACTTGTCCTGCTAGTTCAGCGTAAAAGTGATCTTGATAAGATCGCAGCGTAACATTTCAATCTGTTCTAAGCATCACTGCTGTGTCTGAAGGATGACGAACAGTGCAATTCTCCAAGCACGCATTGCGCAAATTACAGCTGAAATAAATACCGATAAATCGGTTAAACCTTTACACATCAATGCTAGACTAATTAGATCGAAAAGTGATGACATATTGACATTTACCTATTCTTGTAATACGGCATTTGATGCAGTTATATTTACCGAAACATGGTATGATGATGCAACTGAGCACTTTACGTTTACCGGGTACAACCATTTCTTTTTAAATCGAAACTAGAGGTGGTGTGGCCTTGCAAACTAGATTTTCTGGATTTCAGTTGGTTCGTGAATACACGATTGCCACTGGACACAAGATTTTGTGCATTAGGAAAGACTTCCAAATGTTTTCGGTTGTTTATCGACCACCACATGGTAACATACACGAATTTCTTAGTTTTTTCGACAAAATGCTCTCGTTTGCGAGCAACAATGCATATAGCCTAACTATAAGTGGGGATTTGAATATTGACATGTTAAAAGACTCAGTGTCTGCTTTTGACTTGCTACTTACACTGCAATGTAATGGTTTCCACAATAATATCACTATGCCAACCCTTGTTACCACTGCATCTACATCTTCGCTTGACCTGTTCATCACAAACAGTGTCGCTGAAAAAGTAATTTCCTACGTCATAGTTTCCGACTTCAGCGATCATTTGCCTATCATGCTAATACTTCAACAGCAATCAATGCCTAAAAAACGAAACAAAAAGGAAACATACAGAGACATATCAACACATACACTAGAAAACTTTAGGTGAAGACTTTTTTAGGTAATGACTTTTACTAATGTAAATAATGCATACGATACGTTTTTAGACATATTTAAGCAGTGTTGCTACGCTTCCTTTCCAGTTAAAACCTACCGCGGGTGCAAGAAGGCTCGCAAACCATGGATCACTAGAGACTTGCTTAAAATAATCAATGAGAAAAACGGAACGTTTGAGGCATTTCTTGTGACACGCAACAGCAAAACCCTGCATTAATTTAAAAGTTTAAAAAAAAATTTAACAAAGCCATTTCGAACGCAAAGGAAGAATATTTTAGAACAATTTTTGATATTAACTGCCTACAAAAGAGTGACGTGGTCTGGAAAAAAATTAATTATCTCTTGAATAGAAAGCCAGTATCAGATACTGTAGACTGTTTGGTGATTGATAATGTGACACTAAGCGGGTAAACACTTGTGAACAATTTTCAATGACTTTCTTGTAGAGATGGGAAGCACAGGTGGAGGATTCCACGAGAGATTGACACGGGTCCAAAAGTTGATACTTTAGATTTCATTGAGTATTTTATATTTCGTGCACCTCTCACCAGGTAGCCCGAAAGTTAACTTCGCTTTATGATTAATGGCATAACTTACGAGGAAAAAAATATCAAACTTCACCAACACGGAGGCACCAATTTCGTCACCTGTCATTTTCGAAAATTGCAGATGCTATAAAAAGACAAATATTTTTGTTTCAAGGAAAATATTTTTTACCTGAAATGCATGTCTAATGAAGAATGAATTCATAGGGTTTCAAGTTTGTAGACCTTAAGAAAATAGCTTTTAAAAATGTCTAATTTTGTGACACTTTAAAATAAGTTACGTATTCCCCATTTTTTTTTCTTTGAAAGTAATGCAAGCAGCATTTTCAAACTTGACACGTTTTAAGGATATAGTGTGTTCATTAAGTACATGTATCACACACAAGTATCCACAGTGCACAAGTATCCACAGTGCGAATGCAAAACTGAAGTATAGTACGTTAAAATGAATTTCACAATGTTTTTGTCTATAAAATTACGGGAGGCGTAATCTTTGTCCCTACTTTGAACTATATGGTCTAAAGCATTGCCTCCGAGATGCGGCACACAGCAATTCATCTGTAGAGCAGACGACGGATGACAACTGCCCTAAAGCGTGTTCTTCAGTCTAATGCGGCAGTCTTCGTACCCCAAATGATAAAAATTTGTTATGAATCGTTTATGAACTCATTCAACATTCAATTCTCTTACCCATCGTGTTCCAAAAACACATGGCTGTCACAGCAGCTCCATCTGTGTGTCAGTAATGGAGAGGCACCACATATTAGAAGTCTCAGTGCTCTACGTATAAGAGTGAATTCAGATACTGTAGAATACTGTGTTCAAAATAGTTACTCCTATCTGCTAAAACAGCCTTTTTTTCACCAAATGCGGTCACGTTTACTCGCGTTTGAAGGTTATTGCCGCTTTTACGTTCCGATTTCTAGATTTCTCAACTTATCAGCGCATTCTCGGAAAGCTCTGATTTGTACTACGAATATTGTCGCTAAAAACAAAATAATGCAACATGTTTTTCTATATTACTGTATCATGGCCTTCAGTTGTATATTTACGAGATTTTAAGAAAAATCGAAGATGGGGTTTTTTTATTATACAAATTTCAGTGGAGTACACTTTTGCCAATATGAGAACTTTGAGGCAATATATAAAAATTTACATTTGCCCTACGGCAGCAATAATTTATGTACCTAATGAACACACTATATCCTTAAAACGTGTCAAGTTTGAAAACGCTGCTTGCACTACTTTCAAGAAAAAAAATGGGGAATACGTAACTTATTTTAAACTGTCGCAAAATTAGACATTTTTAAAAGCTATTTTCTTAACGTCTACAAACTTGAAACTGTATGAATTCCTTTTTTCATTAGACATGCAATTCAGGTAAAAAATATCTTCCTTGAAACAAAAATATTTGTCTTTTTATAGCATCTGCAATTTTCGAAAATGACAGGTGACGAAATCGATGCCTCCATGTTGGTGAAGTTTGAGATTTTTTTTTTCTCGTAAGTTATGCCGTTAATCATAAAACGAAGTTGACTTTCGGGCTACTTGGTGAGAGGTGCACGAAATATAAAATAACTCAATGAAATCTAAAATATCAACTTTTGGACCCGTGTCGATCTCTCGTGGAATCACCCAGGTACTTCCCCGGTTACTTCCGTAGATGTTCCAAGGATACCTTTTTTCATCGTACTTCTGTTTCTGGGGTTATTACTCTTTTTTCCGTCCTTCGAAACAGCCGTAGCCCTGATGCAGATGGATTAGTAATTAAACCTGTTCAGTATGTACTAGATTTAATTGCTCCTGTCATTGCACACGTATTTAACAAGGCTACTTCAAGCGGCATTTTTCCAAGTAGCATGCAAGTTGCTAGAGTCACAATAATTCATAAAGGCAAAGACAAAGATAGCTCCTCGAACTAACGCCCAGTCTCAATATTGGCAGTGTCTTCGAGAGGCTTTAAGAAAGTTATTAATACTCGCATTGAGAGCTTTAGTAGAAAATTCCCTCTCTTAACTACCTATCAGTTCGGATTTAGAAAAAAATCGCTCCTCAGAGCGATTTGCTTCAAAAAAAAGCTCATATTAGAAAACATAGAATATAAAACATTGACAATTGGGCTGTATCTTGATTTTAGCAAAGCCTTTAACCGTGTCAATCATGACATTCTCTTACAGAAAATGGAATGCTATAGGATTTCGGGGCAGTCACATCACAACTTCTTCGCTCTTACCTACCCGATAGACTTCAATTTACCTGAATTAGGCACTCGCAAATCACATCCTGAGGCGTATCTCTTGCTGGAGTACCACAAGAGGAGCATTTTAGGGCCAATACTTTACTCTTTTATATAAATGATATCATAAAATACAACACCACTTGTCAGTTCATCATTTACGCTGATGATTGCACCATATTATTTAAAGGGCCAGGAACTCTGTAGTATTCAAGCTGAAGCAAGCACGTTCTGCACGAAGCTGAATGACTGGTGCACTGACGAACAGCCTTGTATTAAATGAAGCCAAAACTAAGTGTATTGTACATCGTGCTCGCCGAACGCTGGCTACAGTACTTGAGGAGCTTGTCCTAGGTCCGTTCACTGTTCGCATTGAAAAATGCATTAACATAATTGGCGTCATCTTCCATGAGCACGTCATGGAATGCCAAGTAAATGCTGTTACACTGAAAATGGCTAAGTGCGTAGGACTAATCAACCAGTCATCGACACACGCACTACCACCTAGCAGTAAAAAGGTTACTTTATGACGCACCTTTATAAGAAGAGTCGTACTCTTCATGAGTACGTGTAATGAGTATGTAAATGAGTATGCATAATGGCATTACTTCCACGTGATGTGTAAATGTACAGAGAGCAAAGTCTGACTGGAGAACACTGCAACTGTTGTGGTCTCCCACTGACCGGGTGACGCGGTGCAACCTGTTCAAACTGGCAGAGAAGAAGACGACTCACTTGAAGAGACTCTCAGGTATGCGTTCCTTGTCGATAGCCAGGTCTGCTGCCACTTCGCTCCTCAGTTCCACTAGCTTTTCCTTGTCCGACTCGCAAGGATCGACATGGTGCTTGTCGTAGAAACGCAGTAGAACTATGGGGAAGAAGAAAAAATCACCGCCCAAGTCCTCCGTGCAGTCCTCCGTACGCGTACACTGTCTCGAGCAAAAAGCGTACCAGGCCTGTGCCGAATGTTTGCAAGTGGCAATGACGTGCGAGCCACGGAAAATTACTCAACGGTGCACACCCCTGCAACGTCTGCTCAAGCGATCAGTGAAAGGCCTGTGGCACGCAACCTGAGCCGTGGCAAGAAACTGCAGCAGAAACAGCACAGTTGTGCGGAGCACTGAACGAAGAAGGTAGAAGGAGTCAGCGTCGCTCTCGCGACAATAGCAGCGAAATGCCTGGATCTGGAGGCAGCGAAGTGGCCTTCGACCTTGGTAGATGCCAAGCAAGGCTCCCCGAACCTGCAGCACCTCGTCACAACAGTTCCCAGTGCACCGGCAGCACCTCACCTTCACAAGACAGTTGCGGCCCACATGACAGTCCCCAGAGCGCCACGTTGTCGGTTTGGCCGCGCGACACACAGGAGAGGCCGAAGACATGGCGAGGCCTTAACCTGCCAAGTCCCACGGCGACCGGGTTACGAGAAACAGAATCAAGCGGCTCACTAACCGGACGCTGACCACTGTGGACCGTACAACTCAGTCAAGGACTTGTGTGTGTGTTGTGCCACCACGGTATCCTGCCTCTCTCCAACCCGTTCGATTCGCAAGCGCTCGCAAGATAACGTGACATAGAGCGAAGCTGAAACACACAGCCCTAGCGTTTGTCAGGAGCAGGAATTTATTAAACTGGCTTCTGTTCTAGCTTTTGCCTTCTCTATCACAATGTTTAGGAGATAAATGGAAACTTCGCATTTGGTGCAGTTAGCTTAAAGGATATTCAGAACAAAAAAGAATTTTATGGGTAGCAAATCATGCTGCCGCTATACACCGACAAAACCTGGCGATAAACTTAAGCGTGGAGACCCTTCGAGGTAGCATATGCTAGCGCTGCTTTTTCGTTATGGTTTGCACGCTTAAGCACTGCCACATTCTTCCATCTCCTAGACATATACAACTTCGTTGTACAAAAAAAAATGGTTGCTCGAAATCTGCCAACATATGTCTATGTAAGCGAATAGTCAAGCGCTTCTAGAAACTTATTAAATAAGAGACACAATTTAGTATTTTATATAAGCTATATCAAGCTAAAAGCATGACCAGAGCACAGGGCAAGCCACATAAGGGGTGATTATGGCCCGTATTCCCAAACCAACTTTATCCTTACCTTATCTTTTCTTTAAGTGCCCATGCTCTCTACATGTGTTATAAAGGGCCCAAAATATGGTATCAGGGTATAAGACATCCTCACACCTCATTATAACAAAGGTGCATCTTACATGAAAATAAGTTTGTTATACTCAAAAATTCGTTACAAAGGCTCATTTCAAACATTCTAGATACTTCAAGACTATTTTTCATTCACTTGGTTTATAACCGATATTTCGTTACATCTTCGTTATATCCAGTTTCATTATGTCGAACTTTGAGCGTAACTACAAGATTGCTTTGAGGCAACCGACCTACCTTGTTTATCAAACGCACTGAAAGCGCAAAACCGACAAGAAAAATGCGAGACAAGGATAAGGATGGCTAGTGAATACGGGCCTATGAATCAGTTTCAATAAAATTTTTTATTCCATTTCTTTCCGAATGTGACCACTGCACCCGAGACTGAACTTACGACGATAGACTCATCTGCACCTTGCCACAACCACAACGCCATTGGCTGCTTTCAAAGCAACAACTGAAAGCCATTACTCACAGCTACTGCTTTGAGCTCTGACCCCGTAGCTCGAGGCTACTGGTCAGAGCTAGTGATTTCAAGTGTGGGCTCACCGTGGAGCAGAAAGAAGAGAGGCGACGTCTTCCGATCCAGGCCGGTGCTTGCTTTGCCCGCCTTGACTTGAAGTGCTCTCGAAAGTGGTACACAGGTCATCACCTGTCGTAATGGAAGGATATTCAGTAGGCCCACGCAAATAGTAAATTTTAGTTTTGAGGCAAATCGGTCAAATAACTTCAAATCCAATTCGAATAGTACAAGTCACGTATTATAAAACAAAATGATCATATTTGTCAAGACCCAACTAACCTGCACAGTATTTCTCATAACCGATACAAAGCATGAACATATAAGATTCTCTTCGGTTCAAATGGAAGTGGAATCAACTTTGAATAGAGGCGGGATTTCACTTTTGGTAGAATGCAACTGCTATCCGGCAAAATATGCTAAGCTTTAAAATTTTACTATACTAGGACCGTATATAAGCCTGTATAGCAAGCTTTTGAACTTAGAAAGTGATGAATCTATGTGAAAGTAATATGCTTTTTTAACCTTGAAGTGGGCCTTCAGAGCAGTGCGGATTTCTCCAGAATGCATGTACTCGCGGTAGGGCACCCCTCCGCTGCAGTGAAACCACCTTTACAAGGTGTTTGCACCTTTACATGCAGTTTACGTATGCCTATTCATTCATTTCAAATACTGTAATATTTGAATATTCAGAGTGCTTGAATATTCACACATGCCTAGCAGGCCTCATGAGCGACACTGGCCGAAAACAAGCTCCAGCACTTCGTTCGAAGCCTACACGTGTTTTTATGTTACGCAAAAACTATCAGGCAAGGAAAATGTTTACGGCATCAAAAACGTTTGCAACATCGCGAAATATTTCGAGCTGTCAACTGAAGACAGAGCAACTAAAGTCAGCAGCGGAATATGGCAGCGTACATTGAAAACAAGGATGATGCGCTCGAAAGAATGAGCACCGAGCAAATTCTGAAACAAGAAAGTTTTTAGCAAGGCGATACTAAGGTTCATATTCTTTGTATGGCTGTTCTCATTTAGCCCCTCGTCAGTGTTTTAATAAAGTTTGTTTGCCTTTCCCCTCTCAGTATTCTGCAGAAGGCATGCCTCTCGGTTTATGTATCAGCTAAACGTGTCCAGTACCAAGAGTTCTCTCAAGTCACTGCAGTTACATTGAGGCAGACGTATTACTATATCAAACCATTAGCTATGCTTTTTACGCGTTACGTGATCTTTTTTTTTCAAAGGATATGAAACTTCACTACGTGAAGCTTTCCTCAAGTGTACAAAATTTTCACAGCTGCGAAATTTAACACAGATATAAAATTTAAAAAAAGAAACAAAGATAAAGAAACATTAAATCAACTGTCACTGCTACCACGGGAGATGCCTACATGCAGAAAACATGGAAATCAACAGCTCACCTTTTGAATCACTGCACTCGTGTCGTTTTCCATCTTTTGTTTCTTGGCTGGGCAAGGAGCGCCAGGCTTTGCGAGTTTAGGCACTTCTCTGGAAACGAAAGAAAAATGTTTGCTTACAAAGCAGCCCATGCAGCAAAGTCCCTTCGATTTCAGTTAGAGCATGACGTGTTGCGGCGTCAGGTTACAGTAGTAACGAACACTAGCTTTTGAAAACACACTACGATTACGTTTTCGAGAAGGGCTCACGTTCACCAGCGTATTTCCTAGCCTCTTGAGCGCTTGATGTTTCATTCAAGGAAAAAAAAAATTAATAACTGAAAATTTTTGTATCAATACCCTTTAATACTGACACAAAAAATATTACATCTCGTTTTTGTTCCACTAAGTAGCTCATGACTCACTTATTGCGGCTGAAAACCTCTTTGAGTGTGTGACAGTTAATTATTCAGCAGCGCTTTTATAGTGCCCAGTTTCGGTTTCAAAGAATGCCGGCTAATGCGGGACCCGTAATGGTTTTCGTATAATTTAAACATAGCTGGCTACGTAGGCACACAAAACTGCTTTCACGTAAGCACCATGTCGACAACTCTTTCCTCAATGAAAGACCCTTGGGTGCAGCTGAAATCAGTTTTAAAGATGCATGTTGTAAATATGCGTGATTTTACAAAATGCGCTGCTCAAAAGCATCAACCTTTGTGGTCCCGTATAAGCCCACAAAAAAGGTACTTCCTCTTTCCCTTGAAGATGTCTACTACGGGAGTGCACTCACAAATATTATGGCAGCCAACAAACTCACGATACAGGTAGCTGTTGGACTAAATATTAATGACAACTAACAGACAATGATGCCAAGGAAAGTATAGGAGATGTTAAAAGTAAGAATTGTAATGTAAATGTGAAGTAAGAAAAGTGGACGAAAAGATGACTTACCACTGGCAGGATCCGAACCTGCGACGTTCGAATAACGCGTCTGATGCTCTACCAACTGAGCTACAGCGGCGGTTATCTCTGCGTTTACAATATGGGGTATAGAGTATGAGCCTTTCAATCTGGGAGTGTTTAGTCAGCGCCATCAGAAGCCATGGTGGCAAGTGTGGAACACACTTTTTCTGCCTGTTGGCATCCTATAGCACGCGATCTTAACAGCTGGCAGCTGCCCAATACAGTGCAGTCTGCTTATAACGATACCACGTATAACGATATATCGGTTATAACAGTGGGTGGACTTTACAGTCTCATTTCTTGCATTGGGCCTATGGGGAAAAGAGGCATATATAACGATATATTATCCAGTGCATATTGAATACAATGATGAATTTTTTTCCGTTTGGACGGCATGTTCTAGAATAATTGTAATGTTTACATCGATAAGTTCATTCAATCGTCACGGATGTGGTGTCACGACAGACGCCGGCGTTGTGCGACGGCAGCAAAGACAGTAGTGACGAGGTAAACAATAACGGCGCTTCTCTGGCCCCGTCGATGACCACACAAAGTGCACTGGTGTTGATCGACAGGCTAGTAGACTCCATGCATGGCCGAGGAATGCCGCCAGAGTATTCGCAACAGCTAGAAGGTAACGCAAAATGCGCTTGTTAAGCTGAAGCTTCCGCAGAAGCAACTGCGGGCAGAAGCCATAAACACTCTTCGGAGAATAAAATAATTTTTTTTTTAAAGCCTACAGATCTACATCATCTGTTTATTGGTGGAAAAAGCAAATTCAAGCCCGTATCTACGAAAAGCACGTTCGGCGACGATTTTTTACGGCAGTCCAGATACTACGGTCATCGGCTATAACGATCATATTTTCATGTTTTCTCGATATCGTTACACATGGACTTCACTGTAACCCTTCGCATACTACCTCAAGGCATCAAGACTGCCGAAACGAGCCCCCTGCTACAAGGTGGGCAGTTGGTTTAGGTAGAAACTAAGTTGGTGTCGATGCTGTGAGGTGGGCACTTCTTATGTGCAGTTGCTCAGCATGCATTTTCATATTGATTTTAAATATCTTCTGGGCTATATCAGCTGTTGATATCTAGTAGACAATGCACATGTTCTAACAAGTCTATCCTACAAGTTACCTCGCCTACGAATTGGTTCACTAATTATAAAAAAGTAAGTAACGAACCCCAAAGTCCAAAATTGTCACACAAAAAAATATGTGCACTTTTTTTAGTTAACATGCTGCCGCGAGAATTTCGTGAGTACGTGCTATATTAAGAAAGCTACAGGTATTACAGTATCGCTTCCAGGTGGCCTCAAATTCTCATGCGGCCTCGCTACCCTTCTTCGTCACTGGAAGAAGAAAGCGTGGTTCGTCGCCGTGACTGGTTTAAACCAATCGACGAGCCGCATGTCAAGTCAAGTCGCTGGTGGGGGCTTTGCGTCAGTTGCACGTGAAAGGAAGGATTGGTCACACTGTTGGAAATAAGTGCGGGAATCGTCTTTCGAAATGAAGGCTCTGTGCGGAGTGCAGGGCTGTAATATTCAGACAACATGACCGTGCACAGTCTCCTTTCCGAGTTTCTGAGCTTCCTTGGAGGGTGCAAAAAAAAAAGTCGGAGCTGTTGACTGGCCCTTCAAGCATCTGTTACAGAATATCAGAAGGCGAAGTTCCTATTGCTGCTGTGAGAAAAGCAAGAGCACTCGCAATCCTGCATGACCTGAAGTCGCACAGAAGGAATAAGAAGACACTCACTGCGTGTAGGCGTGCTGAATGAGGTCGCTGAAGTAGTAGCCGAAGAAGCCCCACACATGGCCGCAGAAAAACTTGACACCGAGATTACGACAGCAAGTGTTGACCTTGATGAGGGCTTCCGTGGGAAGGCTCTCAGTGCAGCACACAATGTCGAACTTGCGGAAATAATCGTCGTCCTTGTCCACCAGCTCGCCGTCTTCGGACTCCACTTCAACCATAGGATTCAGGTTCTTCGTGTACGCCTTTGAACTGTGCGCTCTCTGCGATAAAATGTATCACGCTTTGCTTCAGTCTGTAAACAGTCTTCTCGTCGTATCTTTTTTTTTTTTCTCTCGGAGGAATACTTACTGCTGTTGAAAGTTCAATACAAAATAGAGTACTTTGCATTATTGCTCATCCTGGCTTCTACACGTGTACTAATCTATTACTTTAGTCACACAACATCCTTTCGGTGATGCAATCGCTCAAGCATCATCTTTCTAAATTATTCAATAGCTTACATAATACACAACTTTTTCATAAACAAAAGGGCATCAAGGGCTCCTTTTCTTTGTCAGACGCATCCCAGTGAAATTACGAGAAAATTAAGCCAAGAGGGGTATTGGGGACATTGCAGACTTTCAACAGGATCAATGTAATTGGATTCAAGGTTTTGAACAGATTTTAATTGCACCATATTAGCTCGTAACTTCGGTTTCTATTCTAACCTCCTAAAGTTCACTCTGACTATGGTACAATGACAGCCTGATCTACAGCTATAATTTGCTGTTGTGCTCATTTCAACTGGGGCTTAAGCATTGCAGTTTCAACACAATTTATTACACAAGCACAGTTCTACAATTAATTTACATGTGCACAATATCTTGTTACCGCTGAATTCCAGCACTAGGCTACATTGTGTTTTCCTTTGCTTCTTCTGCGTTTTTTATTTTTTACTACTAATTGAGAATCCTGTTGCAGCACACAACTTCATAATTATTGTTTGTACATGCCTTGCCCTCTACTGACTGCCAAAAGAATACTATACTGAAGAAAGTGCAATTATACTGAGTATAAAAAATGCAACATTAGTTACACTGTTTAACATAAACGGTGCATACCAAACGTATCGTGTGAAAAAGTTACAAGTCATCTGTGTTCTAAGTTGAACTCAGCGGGCACATCAAACAGGAGATTTGTGGAGCATGCAAGACCGGTTGAAGGAACTTACATTTTTGCCAACATCTTTTCTGTCGACCATGAATTGGGCCGCGAAGTCATCATTGGTCACCTGCACGACATGTTGCATTCACCTGTTATGTTCAAAAACTTCTATTTCCCGTGGTCCGAAAGTAAATCTAGATTCACGGTGTTACCATACATTGTGGTTATCGAGGAGGGTAATGGACTTGATGCCCGCCAAAACCAGGTTCTTCGCCACTTCAGCTCCGAGGCCGTTCAAGCCGGCGACCAGAACTCTCACAGCTCGCAACCTGGAAAATTGAGGAATGCATGTAGCTCGAGCAGTGCAGCTCTTTAAGCCCAGAGAAACTTTGTTAGTTGCAAACAAAAATTATTGCCATCGTGAACTGGCACATGCTCTCCTTGTGCTTTCCTTCATCGCCTGCTACGCTACCCGAACACTTGCGCCGACTTGTCCGGCGTGAGATGCCATAACAGGGGTAGGCGGGAGAACGATTAGAGATTTGATTTGATTGATTGATTTGTGGGATTTAACGTCCCAAAACCACGATATGATTATGAGAGACGCCGTAGTGGAGGGCTCCGGAAATTTTGACCACCTGGGGTTCTTTAACGTGCACCCAAATCTGAGCACACGGGCCTACAACATTTCCGCCTCCATCGAGAACGATTAGAGAGATAGAAAGAATGATCAAAAGAGAAAAGAGATAGAAAGACATAAAAAGGAACAGCGTGAGAAGGATAGAAAAACCAGACACAAAAATAAATAGAAAAAAGAAATAGCAAGACAGAAACAGACAGACCGAGAAAAAAAATGGAGAGAGTGTTTAAAAGACAGAAAGCTTTACAGGGAGAGAGAGAAAGGGAGTGAAGGAAAAGAAATGCTGAGAAAATAAGTATAAATAAACAGCGACAAAAAAGAGATAGAAAAATATCGCAGCATATCAACGGATGAATGATAAGTGGGCGAAGCGTCCGTTTGTTGTCTGTTCATCAGTTTGTGTGTACCTCTGTCTGTCCGTCTGTCTGCCTGTTCATCTGTTTGTGTGTCCGTCCGTCTATGCGTCCGTCCGTGCGTCCGTCTGTGTCTCTGTCTGATACTTCCGGTTACACCTTACGCAGGACAAGGTTAAAGTAAGAGAACGAGAAAAATGCAGAGAAACGAGATAGGCTGCCCCGCTCCGCCCTTTCTTTCAGGCATGGCACCGCTGTTGCGAAGCTTCCTTAAATTTTTTTTCTCAGTGTTTGGAACCATGTAGCCAGCGTACCAACGTCTGCAACTCGACTCTACAGAGCGTACTATCGCCGAAGGTCTCTCTACGAGACAAGAGCCGGCACTACGAACACGGCACGCGTTCGAAGGAAGGTTCATTTTACCTCTTTTGCGACTCCAAACCCCAGAGGCGTATCTGACGATCGTAGATGTTCGCCTCTTCTTGCGACAGCTCTGGAACGGCAGCCCGAACATCACCCATGACATTCATTAGCGGCACGGCAACACGCGAAGCAGGCAATTCGCGCGTCTCTCGCATTAAAATCGGATTGTTCTTGCCTATTGGCTACTTTGGAGGCTTCGGCTGGACAGAGTACGACCATACGACGGGTAATCATAACTTTGATGGCCGCCGTGACGAATTTAAACTAATTAAACGTACAAAAGCATAGCATTTGAGATTTGTAGTTTGACGCTATGCAAAATTTTTTGTTTGACAACTTACGACAGTTCTTGCAAGTTGTTGTGAAAATTCCTCAAGCAAAACCAAAAACTTGTAAAATTGAATTTTTTATTGTTGAAACGTGTATTCAATGAAACCAATACTTACTTTTAGGTGCAAATCTCAGAGATGTCCACTTTTAAGTTTGAAAACCGATCTTAAAGGCTAATAGGTTATGCTTTTGTGCGGCTGCATGTACCAGTAAACAACAGAACTCTGCCCATAAGCCTCATTAATACCAACTTTTTGCTCTTCATTATTAGTAGTTTTCAGCTGAGAGTTGGCTTCAGCACAGATAAGCGCAGCCTTAGAGATTCGCAATTATTACTAGAAAAAAAGTGTGGGATACGTGATGATGATAATGTCCACAGGGCAATCGCTCTTTCGTACAAGTCCCTCTCCTTTCGGTCTTCACGCGTCTACCGCAACCTCGCCGTGGTGATTGTGCCTGCCGGGCTCGGATTAATTGTATTGGCATCGCACCATGGTATTACTCGAGAATGAATCGGTTAGCATTCTTTTCTCTCCCCTCAGTAGCATCGTAGATCGATTAGTAACCGCAAAATCGCGGTCACTCGTCTCGCGTTCAGTATGCTTACAAACTAGGCGACCTGGAGTTGGTATGCATGCGGCAACAGTTGCAACTTGCCTTTTCATGGCCCGTGTTTACAGACATGTCGCATCTTACGTTCCCGCAGTTTCTCAGCGAGTTGACGAAGCTGTTCCAAAAGAACAGAAGCAGTGGATCCATCTACATCACCATGAAGAGATGTAAGTTTTCTGAGCGGTCCCGATGGTTCACTATTTTGACGCATTGCATCCGAGGGTTTCGGAGTGATGTAACGAATTCTGCTTGCTCGTACTTGTTGACTGCGTGTTGCGGCCACACTTGCCTGTGTGACTTAACTGTCTTGTCACGACCGACGCTTGGAAAGATTTAATGTGCCACCGGGTTAATGTGCCACCTGTCACGTGTGGCAAAGCCGGTATGCTAAGGCCGCGATCATGGAAGAGTTGAACAGGTGTTTACTCAAAGCGGCCAGCACAGCGTTTGATTCGTCAGTGCTTGGCTTTGAACGTTTTCTCCGAGTTGGAACGACTACCGTGTTTGTCACCTTAATTGGCATCGCGCGTCCGTTGTACTGCCGTGTACCTGTGCGCCTGTATATTGCTGCAGCGATTGCAACATTGAAGCTTTAAGGTACGGTCCTAAAACTGCTGAGATGCGACATATATATAACCACGACAACGGGTCGTGACGACATGCGAGCCCAAACACATCGAGCCACTTATGCGCTGGATATTGCCCAATATTACTAGTCGGTTATGAACGTAAAACTTACATTTTCTATAAAAGAAACAAAAATGTACCTTGCACACAGTTTACCTGAACGCAAAAGTCTGCGAAAGTTGTTTCTTGACAAAGTCGTGCAAAGTTGCAGAGAAATTCGTGTTATGTCAATCATACCAGCCGTAGTTGAATTCGTAGACAGGGTTGGCGTGCTCGAGCTGATGTTTGGACGAGTATACTTGTCTTCTTCAAGGCTAGAATAGAAAAAATTCGCTTAAAACTAGAACTAGTTTTTGCCTTGAACAAGACAAGTCCATTTGCCAAAACGTAGCTCAAGCATGCAACCCTTGTTCATGGATTTATTTAATTGCGAGCTTCCATCTTTTCCTTGCCTGCCGTTTTCTGCCATCGTTAAACAATTTGCAGTGCCAGACTCCACCCAGTTTTCTTTCGACGGGTTAGCCCGAGGCGCTTGTTTCTGATCAACTGTCTGACGCAGTACCCACCTTCCAACTACAGGAGACAGACCATAGTTAGCTGCGCCAACTGATAGAGAGGTCAGGTGTAAGCATGCTTCATTAAAACATGAGGGTTCAGTGCTTGTCTCCTGGTTCCGTAGGCAGATGGTCGATGAGTGGGAAAGTGGATCGCAGTGTGATGATTTAACGACCAGCATTCTCATGGTGGGCACAGCTACGGCACAAGTTGGGCGTTCCCTCTGGTGTACTCCTTATAGCAAACTTCCATAGATAATAATGCATATCTAAAATGGTTCATGGCAATAACTTGATTATGTGGTTGTGAGGGATAGAATTTTTTATGTCATGGCTTGACAGCTTCATTTCTTTCTTTTTTTTTTTACTGCTGTGTAGTTGGGTTTGCTCGTGTGACAATGCAGCAAAGGACCCAGGATCAATATAACAAATACTCTTAAGCCAAGCTCACTCATTTGATTAATGTTGGATAAAGGTGCCATTACAACTGTGAGTGACGGTGGATATCTATCATGTGGCTGTCAATAGATCTACACTAGCCAATATTTACCCACCACTAGCAACATTATGGTACTGCTAGTAGTCGAGTCAATATTGTAGTTGAATTCACTTGATATGCATGGTACCTTGAATGAGAGTACTGGTATGAAAGGCAGAGAAAGACATTTCGTTTAAACCAGAACGAAAGTACCTTCAGCAAAATAGTTGAATTCACTTAATATGCATGGTACCTTGAATGAGAGTACTGGTATGAAAGGCAGAGAAAGACATTTCGTTTAGACCAGAACGAAAGTACCTTTAGCAAAATGAGTAATGCAATATACATGCATGGCAGCTCTCTTACTACAGAAAATTCTGTATTCTATAGTCATGAAGTCAAATTATGTTGGCTGCGTCAGCAGCAACATTATGGGCTTCCGAACCGTATAGGGCAGCCACTAGTACAGACAAGGTCGTGTGAACGCTGTGGCTGCACTGATGCAAGCACCATAATCTTTCCATGCCAGCGAAGAAGGCATCTTCTTCTAGCTCATTTGAGATTCGGGAAATCTTGTTTATACATTTTTCACATAATAGTAGTTGAAGAGAGGTCTGTAAATTTTTGCGTAATTTGTGACGGAAACTATCCACCAGGTCGTCAATGTATTTCTGGTCTTTAGACTGCTACTTTGTGTGAAGCCTGTAAAAGGCAAACCTATGTATAGAATTGGCTTCCCATACAGACCCATAGAAATGTACCGACACCAATTTCAGAAGCAGAGTTTGCTCTGCCATGCAAGCCTCCTGCCTACAGAGACAGCTGGGAAAAAATACTGAAAGTCAGTAAAACCTGATAAGCTTGTATTTCGACGTTGACTTTCGCGTGGTGCGCCTACCGACATCGACCTATCGTGGCATCGGGCTACAGTGTCGATTCCGGTGATTTTACGCACCAGTATGGCTAGCTGTAATCATGCGAGGTGCTGAAACATTCAGAATGGCCACTTGTGCAGCACAAACTGAGCCATAGGAGCGGAGTGGCCGCGGAAACGTCGCTTCGTCTTGCGCACGCGTGTGGGGAGAAACTCGTACTATGCTGTGCGACGTCGAGGCACAGTAGGATCGGAAACTAGCTTTTGAAAACGTGCTGCAATTACTTTTTCAAGTTGCACTAATGCCTTCGGGTACATTTTCAAAGCTCTTGATAACTTGGCCTTTCATACAATGCAAAATAAAAGTTATTGTTGATACCTTAATCGTTAGACTGACAGCGAATGCTACTAAACTAATCACTTCGTAGTCCATGTCATGTAAGCCCGGGGCATATGTGCTTTGTAACAAAAGCACTATGTTTAATTGCATATGAAGCCTAAGGCACGACAATAGACACAAGGAGATTGCACACACTTAATCTATTCCCGATTTCTACACCTGCTTTGTTGTCGCCAGAAGCCACAATGGCTAGGAAGAATCACCGATGCCAAGGCAATCATCGAAGCAGGCAATGAGTGTGTTAGTGTGGCTTCGACTTCACTGTCACCTAAAGCGTTGCTCAACTCGAATGCGACTGCCGATTGACGACTTATGACAGGGCACGGTGTGCGTGTATACCGTGCCCATATGAAATAGACATTGTTGGAAGTGGCGTTCTGCCCTTCTGTCCGTTGTCAATGTCTTGCCTTACATTACAATTGTACTAAACCAACACATCCAGTCAGCCATTCTTGCTCAATGTTTAACTTGCGCAGATGACGGCAAGACCAAGCCAAAGCCGCGGCCAGAGAAGCTTGCTGCCAATCCGATCCAGCCACCGGCAGAGTACAAGTGCCTACTAAGAGCGCACGCAGGGTCGAACAAAATCAGCACTGTGGTACGTATGGGAAACAGGGAGTAGATAACAATTCTGTTGGTCTGACCGCTAGAGATGCCTAATATCGCGACATACATTTACGCTTTCAGATTAACGCCAAGGACGTCAACAGGTTTCAACTGGTACGTTAACGATTACTGCCTTGTTGGCTCTTTTTTGCTACCTCATGCATTCCCAGGCGCTCAACTTTAGGAAGTGTAAAGAAGCAAAAATGCAAGATTAAAGCAAGTGTTGTGTTTACAGTACTCATAGATTGAAACACTACATGACTGCTATGAGCAACTGCCTGTAATAACTGTGTCATGTCGCTGCAAATAGATCCGCTAAAGGTAATATTTGGCCTGTAATTTATGTGTTTGAGTCACAATTGCATTGATATGTCGTGAACCCCGAAAGCCTAAGTAAGAGAATCACTTAGCACTAAATTTTTGCGTTTTCAGCCTGTGAGTGTTGTACACATTTCACTCCTAAATCAATCGCAACGTTTCTTGCAGCATTACTCCAATGTTTGACTGAGCAAAAGCGAAGTCCCGGACAGTATTTTTGTGCAGCTGCACAACTGCAACTGCATAAATGATGTTCCAGTACTGTGAAAGTGAATAACACTAATTATTTCATGTGAATTCAATGCTTAGTACCACGGGCATATGAAACTTCAAATAGCTTTATTTGTCCGTTAGTAAAAAGTGGCTGTAAGTAGCACTGCCGCTGCAGTAAAGAGTTGGCATGACGAGAAAGCAGTATTTTTTCACAATTCCCTGAACCTCTCGTAATGTGCAAGATAGCTCACATCGCACAGCAACTGTACAAATCTGCCATTAATTTTAAATAAGCCAGAATACAAGAAAAACGACTTTACGACTCATGTCAAACTGTATCCAGATGTTGGTGTTTAATTAAGCGCAACATTCAAAAACAGAACCGCGATCTTTGTTCTCTTAACAATGAACCTATGGCCGTGAATTAAACTATAGATAACAGATTCAAACAATGATCTGAGTTAAGCTAATTTGGGGTTTTACTTAAGCATACCTTTAATGATAAGTGTAACAAGGGTTTGTGTGCACAGTTGTGATCTACTGTAGAATTAGTAGTGTTATTAATTAGTTATATAATCATTCAATCTTTCGCCACAGGCGTACGCCAACCTACTCAAGGGAAACATAGACGGACTCAAGAAGAAAGACAAGAAGAAGAGCACTGCGAAAGCCACTCAGTAAAGCTATTTATTATAATTTTTTTTGTACAAGATGAGAGCAAAAAAATGTCCCTCTGTTTCACTCACGTCAGTTTTCGTGAAAAATCTGCCCCCCTCTTGTGCGGGTCGCCCGATTTTTTCCGAAACTACACGAAACCATCCGAGGTGTACAAAATTGTCCAGTAATGACTTACTCGTGCTGCATTCGCATTGTACAACACAGGTACGCATTGCGCGTGAAAACAGATACAACTAATGCTTAACAAAACCAAACAACAATTGGAAAATTTCAAGAATTACGCGCCTATAACACTCCGGCAAAGCCCGTCGTAGCGGTGTAAAAATTTCAACTGTAATTGTACACGTGAGGCGACAGGTTGGTGCCAGCACGTAATGAGCCGACGAGCTAAGGTTTGCTATATGTACCAAACAGCAAAAATGAAAAAAAGGGTAAGCTTAGGACGGTGAAACGATACGAGTGTTGTTCTATAAGCATCAAACGAAACAGAAACAGTGGCAAGCATTAGCAGTGGTAGTGTGCACACTGTAGAGTCATCTCAATGTATATGTGCTGCGCTGCTAAACAGGAGTGATGCACACCTGTCAATGGTGATGACTGGAATGCACGCATGATACGATTTCTAATGCTTGCAGCTGTTTGCGTTTTATTTGACGCAGATACAAGCACAAAAAATTCGGTGCTTCTAGCAGTGCTTGAAATGCTTCAATCAATTCAAAACATGTATTCGGAATAAGTTTTGACTTTCCCAATCGTCATATAAAACATTCCGAAATCCGTAGACTTTGTTATTTCATTAGTCACTAAATATAATTTTGTGCGAGGTGGGTTGGGTTTAATGTCTGCATCAAAACTTGCGGCCCTAAACATTCACCACAGTTGCGAGTTTATCTGCGAGGGTCGCATTCTTGTAACTCAATCACAAAAATAACAATTTCTCTATTGCCGTAGTTGTAAAACGCATCGGAGAAAAGCGCATCGGAGAGCCTTGCATCCAGGAATCTGGATACGGCAGTTGATGCTCTGTGCATAGGGGTGCACTTGTTACACTATGGGCACCAAGATACCCCTCTCTGGAGAAAACAAAAAACCATGTCTGCAAATGCATTGTGATCAAAACAAAACAAGAATCAATACTTTGGATCATAATCTTTAAGTTTTTTTTTGTTTTTTTCCAAGATGAGCCGTTTAGAAAACACACTACTGGACAATATCAATTCCTGCAGTTGCAATCATTACTCACTCCTTGAGTATGACCATATTTTTTCGTGTATAATTTGTCCCTCAATACTATAACCTGCACCTCAGCACTACAAACCACAAGTAAAAATTATTTTGGAGAAGATACCTGTATATTGACGTGAAACCGTCTCTCTCGCATTACTGTAAAGCCAGCATGTGCACTGGAATTCGCGTGTAGTCCAGACTTCAGCTACGAATTTTTTTTGTACATCTTGTACGGGTGCACATTAGAAAAGAGTGCATTAGTTAATTAGGTCCTGCCTCTCCTGAACCTGTTTATATCAATATCTTCGGAGTACACCTGTGTTTAGAGAAGAGCCAAACCGGTGTAATCAACAAACTATGGTTACGAGCGAGTGCACACAAATATCGTGCAAGCACATTGCGAGTGGCATCGAACGAACCATAATTCGTGCAAATGCAACTGATGCATGCTTTGAACCTCGTGTGCCAAATCTCGCATGAATAGGACCTCTATGTACGCGTTCGCTTATCCCTGCTGTTGGTCTAAAATCAGTGGACATTTTTGGATGCGTTAGTTACCCGTTTCATGTAAAACTAATGGATTAAATGTTTGCTGCGATGCTGGAAGATCGAATTGCCTACTTTTCTGCAATATAAAGACCAGCAATGCTGTGTGTTGGAACTACGACAGGCCAGTGTTTGTTTTTTTGTTTTTTCGGCAATATTGAGCAGCACCATTCCCTCGCATACTATGTCTGGCATTGATAATGCATGCACGCAATTGTGTGAATATAACCCGGGTCGAAGAGTCACAAGTATAAGATGCTCACGTTTACAAAATGTTTGGCTCAACACGGTGCAATATGTATAACGTCCAAATTGACCAAGTGCGCACGTAACTGTGACGAGTCTACAGCTGACAAGTCAAGCTGTTTGCATACGATGAACATTCTAGGTCCTTACACCCTTAGGGGTGTTTTGTGGTCACAATACACCAATAAGTTTATTTGGGGTGTCCTGCTACACGCCTAATATTTACCGATTTTGCATGGCTTTCTTGCGTTGTCACCACACGCCCAGTACTTCCCAGTCACAAGGAGCATATGTGGTAAGCATTCGCATTAGGAAAGCGACAAGCATCCAGTTTTAAAGAAAGGGAATACAAGCACATCTAGATTGTTGTGGAACAGTGACACACCATTTTTTTTTTTTCCCAGAGTGTTGTGGAAAGAAAATGCAACGAAATGCACAACTGTTTCACAAGGAGCACTGCTGTCACCTTTTGTTTGATGGCTCAACGAGAGGAAAAGAATTCTTTAGCGTAAGCTATAGCAGTACACTAATCAGCGACAAAGTCGTGCCCAAGTCGCAACAATGCTGATTTTGAAAACACTATATTAAGACATGGGCAAACAAAAACAAACACAGTGCAGTATATACAGATTCTGCATTTATTGTTGCGCAGTCATTTGTGATACTTAGCGGTAAATTGCACCGGCCGCTTCATTTGAGCCTCTGGTTTGATGCCAGTTTCCATTTCACTTTGTAACAATGGGAAGAAACAAAAGCACTTCTCTGCTATAGGATTTTTTTTCTTGCCAGAGCGGCTTGCAAAGTTGTATTTAGTAAGCACAATAATTTTTTTTTCACTAACCACCCTTGCACAGGCTATACTAAAACACAGCAGGTCTTTTTTTTTTATCTGTGCTATAATTCTCACTGAATTCGAAATGACATTGGTAAATAACGTTGGAAATGACATTGGATCCCATACGTATTAAACGACAAAAAAAAAGTATTTTGCAAGTTTGGTTTTCTTTCGGCCACACTGCCCGCAAAGCGGTTTCTGTGATGTGTCAGACTGCTAGGCGCGACCAATAACGTTCCATTAGTGTTCTCAACATTTACTGACCTTTTATCAACACCGCGTGGCCTGCACTGTTGTTTTACAAAAACTGCCCGTTCCAAGGATGGTATCGCGAGCAAACTCTGCATTGATCAGTATGCAACAAAGCTTGCACGGAAAAGTAAGGGGGGTGGGGGTCAGTTCAAACGACAACCAGAGGCGTTAGGCTAAACTGCATTTCGTACATCAGGTCCAACACAGTGGAAGTTGGCAAGACTTCTTGCAATAGATATCAGCAAGATACAGTTTAATGACCTTACCACCCGTAACATACATACTTTTTTTTTTCCCCGTTTTTATACGAAGCAACTAGTAAAGATACTTTGTGCCTTACAAGTAAACAAACCTCCACGGTTGTCCATGGGTCATTCTGGATAGCTTAGGGTCTCTCTTTCGTATCACGACCTCCACAATCAGTTCTGGTAGCGTGCAGCCAGAGTCAATCATGGAGGCTGCATTTACGACGACGAAATCTAAGCCACATTTGCGTGTTTTGCTGACCGAGCTTCTCGCATACTTTCCACAGTATTGCACCTGATGAGTTATAACAAAACCAAAAAAGCGTGTATGTACACAAGCTCGGCGAGTGCTGGCGGAAAGGCCGCGGAAGTATGCGGGTAGCAGTGAGCACCATGAAAAACGCGGCGGCGAAATCGATGCACACCGCCACGCATTGTTGCCTCCCTGTAACAGCAGAATCGTGCTTCATTGAAGGACATTTCTTTTAACTGGAGGTAATTAATTTGTCACAGAACAACCACAATACGATGTTTTTCGTGCAAGATTGTTTATAATGAGTGAAGAGGGAGGGTGCCCCCACAGCAGCCTTTGAACTTGAACCACCCTAATTTTTTTATTGGTGTAGCCCTCAATTTAACATCACATGAACTTCCTCACTTGTGTAAACTCAAAATCGCATTTAAGATCATTGGCGGTTACATGAAGACAACTGGGAATGCAGCGCTGCGTACGCTTTTAAGAAATCCGCGGGAAGAACCGGTGAATTTGCGTCACAAGTACCAAAAAGTCCGCACGATCTATAAACCTGCCTTTCCTTTATCGATTCACACATATGTAGCTATGTTGCCTGGATTACTGGGCGTATACATGTCACTGTGGTAGGTTCTGTTGGGGCACACAATCTTTTGCTTTTTTTTTTTTTTTTGCCCATGAGCAAGGGGCATCACAATTTGAATCAGTAACTACTAAAGGGTGGCTGCCCATGTACAACCTTTACTACCATTGCTATTGTCAATAAATTATGTTCGCCATATTCGACATTCTTCACGAGCATTGTTTCCGTTACATGTTGATGGCTATGAGAAGAGTTTTAAATCTACTTCATAACATCAAATCATTCGTAATGCAGGCATTCAACTGTACGACTCGTGAACGTTCACTCGTTAAGGCCAAGTTAGAATGCTGAATCGAAATTTTCACCAAATAACGCCGTATCTCTCCCCCAACTAGGCTCCGTGCCAGATTCTACGTCCCAAAACTGTGTATTCGAAATGGATCATTGGGGAACACGGCTCATGCCTAGCTAACGCAGCGCAGAATACAAACACCGCTTAGGTTGCCAGCACAACGTGACCGCAAGATGCAAAAAGTGCGTGGTACGTAACTTTCTGGGCAAGAAAGGCGCCATTTTTCCGCATAGAGCAACTTTTTTTAGAGCTCGCAAGGGCACAAACCAACGCTGGGCATGTGCACTCGGACCTCAACAGATGAACCCGGATATGACGAAATTATCCGTTATAATGAAGTAAATGAAAGATAGTCTTAGGAATATACCTTTATAACGAAACTTCGAATATGACAAACTTATCTTTGTGAAAGATGCAACTTTGTTATAATGAAGTTTGAGTGTAACTCGGAAACGAAAGTACAGGCATCTTAATCTTCGATTCCTTTTTTTCTTGCCAATACCAACAAGCCCAGGCAAACCATAACATGAAATAAATTAAGTACACATGAGCACTGAATTGATCTGGGCTGTAGCATAACTGGAATTTCTCCTTGTATAGACTAATGCACACAATAGTACTAGTTTCATTAAAGCGACCGTAACACCCAGAGCTTTATGACTTTGCATAATCATGAGACGCGAATCATTGTTCTTGTTACCTACCACATCATATAACTCCAGAATAGTATGTCATTAAGGACGCTGAAGAAAAGTAAAAGCACCAGGTCAGTTCGGGACAAAAGCCTCCCAATCAAAGCTTCGAGAGGAAGCCTGAAAATGCCCATGTGCACATAAAGCGTTGTTGCAGTCTGGGTAGTTGTCATCCATGTGTACTTTCTCGGTATCACAACCAATCGATCACTAGTTGCAATAGCATTTTGTCGCATTCTATTGCGGCCAGTGTCGCAAAGCGCTTTATGCATTGTGTTGAGAGAGGAAAAGCACCTCAAAAGTCTATTTCGCCCGTACCCAATCAGCCAACACATTTCGAGTCCCAAACTTGCATGCAATCGGCAAGCTCGTGCGGTCATCACCGACATTTGCTTGATTTTTTTTTTTCGACTCCTTGAAAACTGAGCTAGAAATGAAGAAAAAAAAAAAGCGAGATGGACACGAACACTGTAACACAGTTTTTGAGAAGTCGAGCAAATCGTGTACAAGCAAGCTCACTTCAACAGCATTTTTTCAGTAAGATTTCTGGCATTTACTAGTTTTGGGCGACAGTCATGCGGTGATCGGGTGTTATCACCAGTCCTCCAATCCCATTGCCGTCGTGAGGACAAGCCAGGAAAAGGAGAAAGATAGAAAAATAAGATGTAAAGCAAAAGCATTTCTCACACTTCAGCTTATGCAGTGTGTTTGTACATCTTTGTGAAGGGCTCACATCTTTGTGACAAGGCCGGAAGATGGAGCAAAACGAAATAAAGGTACGGCTGGATGTTTCTAACACTTTAGCTCTCGTACACTGCCTGGAGGCCGTCGACGCCGGCTATGGCTGCGTCCTTGCGGTGGGCTGCAGGCATGAAGTGGGGGGGGGGGGTTGGGGAGCCAGAGAGGCGACTCATCGAGTGTAGTAAACGCGGTAGTACAGCGTTTTGGAGCGCCATAACGAGTACGAGTTGTCAAACTTGAGGAGGTAGACGCCCTGGCCGGGGTACAGGTGGCTGCCCGCGTACACCTCTCGTGACAGTCCCGGCGGAACACCGGAATCACCAGACTCATCGATGACTGTTGCGTCAAATTGTGGGGGTCACCCTGCGATCCTTTCTCCACGTCTCCACCTTCCCCGGAACGCTCCTCTGTGAGAAGACAAAGAACGAAGCTGCGAATCAGTGCCTTTTAATTTTTCATCTGAGCATGTCGATCGCAATGCAAAGATTAGATCAAACGAAATGCATTTACAGCAAGACCTCGATGACATAGTTGATACCACCACTCCCCGAGCTTTGAAAAAAAAAAAAAACGACCTATGGAAAGCAGACATTGTGAACAACTCAGCCAAATCTTCCAGTAGCGCCCGGCAAGGAGAGTTCAGAAGCGGCATGCAAAGTTGCCCATTCTTTTAGGCATCCTGTTTTCTTGGAGACGTCTGCGCTCACTCTCTTCAGAGCTGACGGCACCTGCTGTCTGGCATCGCTCAACAGAAATGAGCATTGGGATCAAGATGCACTTTTGGCCTTGAGACGCCACCTCATGCTTGACATCACACAGTAGCCACACAATCGCTCGCAGGAATCACAACGGAACAGAAGCAATCACATTTCATGACGCGCGCTCAAGGTCACGATGCATGCTGACGTAGCTTCTTTTGCGGTGCTATCCCTCCCTGCGTAGCTTATCGTGAATTACAATGTTCATGTATACTATACAATGTTTATTGGTCATCTGGTATGTTGTGTTGAGTTGTCAATTTCTTTTTGCTTTGATTATTACTGCTTTGTGGTACCGGGTCTAGCTTGAAGTTTGTTCCCAGTCGTACGAAATGTACCACGATGTCATCTACTGCACAAGCTAGTCGTCTGCGCTCACCATTGTCATCACCTTCATCGTCATAAGCTTCATCATCATGATGTATAGTGGGTACCTTGTATGTGCTGTGCCATAATGGCAGAAAGAGAATGTGTTGTCTGGAATGCGCTTGCTCATCGCCATCAGCGGCAGCTATGGCCCACAATGCCAATGAACAAGCTTTGACTCAAAAGGGGCCCTGAAACACTTTTTCGAGTAACCATTAAATGGATCCACTAAAAGAGGTTATTACCTTAGGAACTCGATGCCGCAAAAATTTTAGGAATCCGTCCAGTACGAGCAGAGTTGCAAAGATTTGTCGCACGTTGCAATCGCATTTTCTCGTCTCGACGAAAGCACTGGAAGCTAAGCAGGGAGGAATGGCACGAGCAAATAAAACGCGTATCGCACGTCTCTTGACTTTGTGCACTTTTTCCCTTTCTTTTTTTTTCTTTGAATACACGGCTTTTTCAGTGTGATCACGCATGCACAAGTCACTGCCTCTCGCGGCGATCCCTGTTACGATCGAGTACCACGTTCAAATCAGCCAATGGCTGATAGATGGCTTTCTACGAGTGGTTATTATTAAGCTGCTTCCGTCATTTGTCTAGAGAAAGGAAACCAATGTTTAGCTGACTTTGAGGATTTAATGTTAATTACAGGCCGCGTGCTGCACTATAATATTTGGCTCATGTGATCTCGGGCAGTGTTTGGCAGTGTTTTCTGACCAAAGTGTTGCAAGGGCCCTAAGAAGCTCTGGCCCTAAAAAAACACTACATATTTCGATGTTTTTCGTAAGTTACAACACAGCGTATCATGGCCTCGAGTGAAGTCATGGCTTTGACAGTGCTGGCCACTATATCAGGTTTCAGTACGGGCCAACACCGTCATGTAGCGGCACCCCACGAGTAGTCGCATTGCCTACGCAGTTTCGCACAAGGGCTCCAGAGACCGTCCACTGGTAAAGACGCACACTCACACCTACGTCGACATTGCCAATGAAAAAGCAAGCGATTTTTGTCTGTCTGACACAAAGTTGCACATTCGCTTCTGAACACAGCACAAACACCATTTGGCTTGCATACATGCAGGAGCATTGACTACAGGTTGACGTTTCAGCGGTCAGAAAGAGTCACTGAAGGACTCACCTTCTTCCTCTTCATCTTCTTCTTCACTCTCGCTTACGTGCACCGACATCTGGTTGCCCGGTTCGGCGGTCCACTCAAAGTAGATGCCAAATCCCAGGTCGTAGCTGTCCGTCGCAAACTCCCAGAAGAGGCAGTTGCCGTTGGGATGCGTCGGCACGCGCACTGTCACCACCTCACCGTGACCCACCTATGGAGCATTAGGGAGTGGAGCTTGTTCAGCTATGGATTCTTAATGCCAAGGGTCGGCAACCGCAGGCCGCGTGCGGCCCGTGGAGCACTATTATGCGGCTTCCGGAAAGATGTCAAACCCCTACTCTTTTCCTAATCACTTCCTATCTGAAGGTAAACCTGGCAGTTTAGTTGGAAGCACATGCGTGTTTAAAATGCTAAACATGATTTCTCATTCAGTTCTTTTTTACATTATTTCTCAATAGGCCCAATTTCTTCTCTGTGCTCGCAAAGTCCCCCCCCCCCCCATTCCCATTTAAGGGGCACTGCAACACTTTTTGAGCATGGTCAAAAAACGCTGCCGATCGGTAGTAGAGCCTCCCGACAACATGCGAGCCAAATATTACAGCGTAGCACACGGCCTGGAATTCACAATAAATTATCAAAGTCAGCAAGAAATTGCTTTCTCTTCTCTCGACAAATCACGGAATAAGCCCAAAAATCACTCGTAGTAAGCCCATTTATCAGCCATTGGCTGATTTGAACATGGTGCGCTCGGTTATTACAGAAGTCGCCGCAAAAGACCGTCGCTTGTCCATGCGTGCGCGCGCGATCGCACTGAAAAAGCCTTGTATCTCAAAAAAAAAAAGGGCTCAAGGTTACGAGGCACGAGTGACATCCATTGTTTGCCCCTCCCATCTCTCCCTTCTTAGCTTCCAGCGCTTTCATCAGGATGAGAGAAGAGAGAATGCAATGGCAGCATGTGACAAATCTTTGTAACTCCGCTCGTACTGGACAGATTCTTAAAATTTTCGCGATGTTGAATTTTTTAGGTAATATGCTTTTCCAGTGAACTAATTCCATGGTTACTCAAAAACGTGTCTGAGGGCCCCTTTAACTTCTCGCTGTGGCAGCGTCGTGCAATTTGGCCCTTCGCCTCAAAAAGTTGCCGACCCGTGGTTTATGCAATCATTAATTAACAGAATAAACAATGTTTCTTCAACTCCACTCTAGCACGTTTCTTCAACTCCACTCTAGCACCTAAGAACTATAGTCTCATACCCAATTGCAAAAAAGCACTGCATTTCCAGCAAAAAGATGCTTGGTTATCCTGAGAAGCACGCACAAACAAAATACGGGCAGCAACGCTGCCTTAAACTTCTTACACCATGTCACCATGGCATCATAGATTTCGATTTTTGAAATGGTAATGATAACAATGGTAATAATTTTATAATAGTAAGAATAGATTACACTGCATTTCAGGGATGCCAGAGACATGGTAAGTTTCAGGAAATTGTACCGAACCAACCTGGCTAAAGTACAAAGTAAAAGAGCAAAACCGATGCTGTCAGGCTGACGATGTCCAAATGATAAGTTGGCCTAGACTGTCTGTTAAAAAACCTGTGAAATTAATGATGACAGAGTTCCGATCAACGATTTCTCAGACTAAGCCTGAACTTGAGTTTCACACCAGTTTCCCTTCTTCAGTTTTCCAGCTGATGCCTTTTCAAACTCTAGCAGCTGATAAGAACATGGCCAGTTCATCCTGGTATCTACACTATGTCTCAAGATTACTCAGTACAGCAATGCTGACCAAGTCTGATATGTTCTGCATGATACACATTACATACGCACAGGCCTTCTGCCAAAAGGACACAGTCTGCCACAAGCAAGGGCTACAGCGCTCACCTTTAGGATTCCGTTGCTGCCTTCCTTAGCGGATGCCCTCCTTGAACTCTTTTATGTCCTTGCGTGTCCACATGGATGCTGTGGCGATCGACGGCATCACTGCAGCAGCAGAAACGTTGTCCACTTTAACATTTAATTTCAATTTTTCTCTGTACATCAGGGAAGCGCTTATGCCACGTAAAAATGATAGTTACAGCATGCCACGACCACTAGTGCACCATAGGATTTCTGTCAGGGAGGCTCACAACTTGACAAGATGGTGTAATTGCGGAGGAAAAAGTGCGGACAGGGGGAACAAGGCACCTTGCTCTTTGCAAGGTGCCTTGTTCTCCCTCTTTCTATCTCTTTGCTTTAGCTGGAGAAACCCAAGAGAAGACAAAAAATCCCAGTTAATAATAGCGCGCAGTTTGTGCTCTTTCACTGCAGGAGCGAAAGAGTGAATGCAACACATTTTTATAGTCAGTCGGGAAAACTTGACCTCAAGCACCCCATGAATTGCAAATACGTCGTCAGCAGAACCCATTAAGATACTAGTATATGTCGGACACTAAGCAAAAAAAAAAAAAAACGGTGAGTGGGGAGGGGGGTCAAGTTGGCCTGGTATGGGTGTCATATAACCTCCCGAGACACCTTTACAGTGCGCCACAAGCTGTGCTTATGAGGCACTGCTAACTTCAGAGTGTTTTGAGACCACAAGCCTCGTGAGTAACCATTTTTAATGAGATAACTGAAGTTACCATTCCAGGAATAGCACACTATGCATACAGAGCAAAAACTCGTTCCACTGTCGCTATGAGAGGGCCGTGGCACAGTGCTGACTCGTATAATACAGCTGTTGTCAACACCACTAACGCACCTATGAAAATAGGTACACGTTAGAGCTGACAAAATATACTGACTAAATGACTCTCCACAGCCCATGACCCAATCGTCACGGTGTGCTGTGAAGAACACATTCATCACCAGAGAAGGTAGTAAAGCAACTTTGGCCATGATTGCAATCAACGTTACGGTCATGCACACGTGGTCCCAGTTGCAAGCTTTTTAACTCCCACCAAGGACCAATGGCAGATCAATTTAACGAAACCTCCGCTCCACGAAAATGCGTGGACACCAACCAAAAACTTCGATTGGAATTGCATTTCCCTCAGTCATACTAACGACCAGAGCTCAAAGTAAGACAGACCCAGCCAAACATAGAAGAGAATCAACAGACATGGCAGCAAGCCCTGCTTTGGACTTTAAAAAGGGCCAGTAAAAACTGGTACTTCAAACTTTTTTATCTTTATTTTTTCAGATGTCCCAAACAAGCTCACTCATTCATTCAGAAGGCCGTGGTGACAGTGTTCTGCAAATATATCATAACAGGGTGCATCCGCAGATGCCCCATTTTGAGCAACGATTCCCCAACCACTGTCCTGTGCCTGACTGCTTATCCTCACTAAGTGATGCAATGTTGCCCATGATCAACATTACATAGCACTGACCTTGTCAATTGGTCCTCTACATTTTGATTCTGCACTTTGGCCCTTTCAGTGAGGCAGTTTTGGCGACGCAGCTGTTGCATATTTGTTCACCTCATCGATGCCTCGCACCACCCTTCCTCACCGTGGCCACCTACAGCCAACTGACACCACCAAAACATGAAAGAAGCCTTACTAGGTAGTTGGCTGCACGCCTATGGCGTAAACTGCTGGTGTGTTAGGTTGCCAATGTGTGTGTGGTCACGGTAATGAACCACGCCTACCCTTCTGAGCGCCGGAGATGGGTGGCGAGGCCGGATAAGAAACCGATCATCAGGTGAAATGCTTGTTCTATCCACTGTCCCTTCCTTATTCATTCACTTATTTGCGAAATTCTTGCGGTAGCATGTTCATACCAGACAAGTACGAGTTATCCTCTCGCCGCAAATGAGAAATCGAGAAATTCAAAGCTAACACACCCTGTCCACCTTCCTCGGTGGACTCCTCGTCAGCCGAGCTGTCCTCTTCTTCAGCTTTGGTATCGCCATCGCCCCCGTTGGTTATGACGGCTTGCGGGTCTGCGGGCGGCCGTCCGTCGGCGGCATCGCCACCGTCGGCCATTCCCGTCTGTTGCTGCTGCTGCTGTTGTTGATTGAGCACTTGTTGCATGTATTGGTGATAGTGTTGCTCTTGTAGCTGCCGGATCAGCACGCCTTGCTGTAAGAACCAAAGATACTCTGAATGCACACCTTTGCGACAAGTCTTTTATCATACGAGGGTGTTCAAGGTTCAGCAATACAAGTATGAGGCACGTCCTTGTGAAGGAAGGTACAACTTGTGAAACATCTGACTCATGCAAAAAACAAGGTCAATCGTTCGCTGCAAGTAAAGATTTGTTTGATCTTTAATGCTTCATCCTGGCTCTGAGCTAGTGCTTCTTTTTGGTGGTCTTACTTACATCGTCTTGACTACGCCACTGCCGAGCGAAGGCCTCTCCCATGATCCGCCAATCAACCCAGTCTTGTGCTTTTCGTTGTCACGTTATACCTGTGAACTTTTTAATCTCGTCCACCCACCTAACTTTCTGTCTCCTCTTCATGCGTTTGCCTTCAGTAGGAATCCAGTCAGTTACCCTTAATGATTAGCAGCTATCCTGCCTACGTACCCGACCCATGTCCATCTTTTCTTCTTGGTTTCAACTATGATATCCTTAGCCCCGTTTTTTTCCCTGACCCACTCTGCTCTCTTCTTGTCTCTCAAGCTTACACCTATCATTTTCCTCACCATCGCTCGATGCGTCGTCCTCAATTTAGGCTGAACCCTCGTTGTAAACCTCCAGGTTTTTGTTCCGTAGGTAAGGACCGGCAGGGTGCAGCTGCCATATATGTTTCTCTTGAGGGTCAGTCGTAGATCACCATTCATGATTCGAAAATGCCTGCCAAATGTGATCCACCCCATCCCTTTTGTTCTAGTTATTTCACTCTCATGGTTCGGCTTCGCAGTTACTACCTGTCTTAAATAGACATAATAATTTACAACTTCCACCGTCTCTCCACCTATCGCAAACCGTTGCTTTTTGCCGAGACTGTTGCGCGTTACTTTAGTTTTGTACATATTAATTTTCAGACCTACTCCTCTTTTTTCCATGTCCAGTTCAGTAATAATGAGCTGTCCCCTCAGTTACTTATCAAGGCATTGTCATCAGCAAACCGCAGCTTACTAAGATACTTTTCATTAACTCTTATCTCTAGCTCTTCCCAATCTAGGGCCCTGAAAACCTCATGTAAGCGCGCGGTGAATAGCATTGGAGAGATCGTGCCTAACACTCTTCTTTACTGGGATTCTGTCGTTTTCTTTATGAAGAGCTATGGTGGCTGTGGATCTGCTGTACCATATATTCCTTCTAGTATGTTTTGTATGTTTATGTAGGGTACGTCGATGCCTTAATTCTGTAGTGCCTGCATCACTGTTGATGTCTGTCTGCGTGAAACGCCTTCTTGTAATTATGAAGGCTATGTATAGAAGTTGGTTGTATTCAGTGCATTTCTCTATTACCTGATTGATAGTATGAATATGGTCTATTTTGGAGTAGCCGGTACGAAATCCCGCTTGGTCCTTTGGCTGACTGAACTTTATTACTGTCTTAATTCTATTAGCTATTATTTTTGTAAATAGTTTGTAGAGAACGGAGAGTAAGCTGGTCGGCCTGTAATTTTTCAAGTCTTTGACATCTCCTTTCTTATGCATTACGATGATGTTGGTGTTCTTCCAAGATTTTGGTATCCTTCCCATCAAGACACACTTCGTATTGTCACGCGCTAAGAGCTCGAAGGAACGTACAAAGGGACGCGACTGTCAAAAATCTGAGAGACAAATAAGGACGTCTCCGCTGGCACGGGTTGCTCGTCTTCGTCTTCCTCGTTCACCGGCACAGAACCGACCCACTGTTCACTGGCATAGAACACCAGGTGGCATTACTCCTCCTCCCAGAGAGCATCGACCCGATGCTCAAACAAAAGTGTGCACAGCAGTGGGCCCAAGTAGGTCCTGGAAACGCGTGTGGAAATGCGTCCTGGAAACGCGTGTGTCATCACGCGTGAGGCGTAATAGTGGCTCCGCAATGTTAGAGAAATTTTCAATAAAGCGCCGGTAATACGCGCACAGACCCAGAAATCGTCGAAGACTTTTCTCGTCAGTTGGAGGTGGAAAAGCGGTGACGGCAGCAGTTTTGTCAGGATCAGGTCGAACACCAACGGCGCTCACGACGTGACCAAGAAACTTTAACTCTTCGTAGCCGAAATGACATTTCTCAGGCTTGAGTGTGAGATCGGCCGATCTAATGGCTTCGAGCACATTCCAAAGGCGACGAAGATGCTCGTCAAACGTTTCTGAAAACACAACGACATCATCGAGGTAAACGAGACAGCTTTTCCACTTGAGGTCTGCCAGGACGGTGTCCATCATTCGCTGGAATGTGGCTGGAGCGGAACAAAGGCCGAAAGGGAGCACTTTGAATTCATAAAGGCCATCCCGCATTACAAAAGCGGTCTTTTCCCGGTCACGTTCATCGACCTCTATTTGCCAATAACTGCTCTTCAAGTCGACGGACGAAAAATACTTCGCGCGTCGCAGCTTGTCCAGACAATCATCGACTCTGGGCAACGGGTACACGTCTTTCTTTGTGACATTGTTCAACTTTCTGTAGTCGACACAAAAGCGAAGCGTGCCATCTTTCTTTTTCACAAGAACGATTGGCGATGACCAAGGGCTGCTTGAAGGCTGTATCACGCCATCCTGAAGCATTTCCTTAACCTGAGTTTCAATCGCGTGCCGTTCGGTTGGCGAAACACGGTAAAGCTGCTGCCGTATGGGATGCGCGTCGTCGTAGGTGATAATACGGTGTTTCGTTATCGGTGTTTGACGTATCTTTGAAGAACGTGCAAAGCATGTGTGGAACTCCAGCAACAGCTCGCTCAAACGCTGCTTGTTCGCTTCAGAAAGCGTTGGATTGATGTCGACGCTGCGGAAAGGCGTTTCAGCAGTGCCGATGGCCTCGGAAGCAAAACACTCGGTGACATTGGCGACTGGGTCGGCGTAGGCGATGACAGTTCCAGGAAAAAGGTGCCGGTGCTCGTAGCTGAAGTTTGTGACAAAAACGTTACAGTGATCATCACGAAGGTCGACAAGGCTTCTCGCTACACAGACACGCTGAGACAGCAAAAGCGAGTGATTGCTTTCTACGACTGCTTCACCGTGCATCACTCCGTCCCACGCCACTTGAACCACAACAGTTGCACGGGGTGGTAACGTGACGCCGTACGTCGTCGACGACGCGATGAGACACTCGGGAGTGGCTGGGGTCGGCGTAAACTGTTGTGGCGTTTGTGGTCGCGAAAGTGACTAGACATCGTCGAATGTCAAATATAGCACCATGCTTCCTGAGAAAATCCATGCCAATGATCAGGTCTCGAGAACACTGCCGGAGAATGCTCAAACTGGCAACAAATGTACAACCACGGACTTGCAGTTTTGCCGTACACATACCGAGTAGCGTGACGATATACCCGCCAGCTGTACGAATTGGCGTTCGGTTCCAAGGCGTCGTTACTTTCTTGAGAGAGGCGGCCAGCTTTTCGCTAATTATAGAATAGTCCGCACCAGTGTCCACTAAAGCGCTGACTTCGCGACCATCTAGCAGAACAGGAATATCTAAGGAAACTCTTCCGCAATCAGCCGGTGGTGTCGTTGTCGATGTATCGTCTGTATCTTCAGTCCACGTCGATAGGGGGTCTTGAGCATGACCAGTCTGAGCGGCCTTGCCCCTGAAGGTCGCTGAGGCTAGTTTTCCCGACGCGGGCTAGGTGACCAGCCCTGCGCCACGCCCGCATAGGTGCGATGATTCAGCGGGAACCGCCGCGGTGATGGAGAGCGTGAGTGGTGCCGAGATGTCGATCCGCGCTGCTGAGCAACATAGTCAGCGATTTCCGGAGGCCGCTGGCCGAACCTAGGAGGTGGGGAGTTGGCCGAAAAACCACGAAGTCCCAGCTCTCGTTAAGTGCACTGTCGGTAGATGTGCCCAGGTTCACCACAGTGATAGCAAAGGGGACGTCGACCGGGGGCCCGCCACACGTCTGATTTTCGCGGAATCGGTCGGCGGTCACTGAGGTACGGGCCCGCTTGGACTGCCTGAAGCATGGCTGGGGCTGTGGTATAAGGCGGAGTGAAATGTGGTGCAGGTGGGCGCAGAGTTTGATCTGCCGGAAGCATGGCAGGGGCCGCGGTGGGAAGCGGAGGCAAAGGTGGTGCTGGCTGGAGCAGAGTTTGTGCATACGACATGCGAGGGAAGTGATTTAGGGGCCGCGGCTCTGTCTGACAGGACGGTTCTCGTAGCGCCTGCTGAACTTCATCTCGGACGATGCCGGACAAAGAACTGACAGTGGGCGGCGAGGGTACAGATAACTTCTGCAGTTCTTCGCGAATTACAGAGCGTATGAGCTCTCGGAAGAAGTCGACATGGGCCCCAAAACCACCCATGTAGTCCGTAGCAGAGGCAAAGTTCACTTGTCACTCATACGTCTGGGTCCGTTGCCGAAGCGTGCTTTCAATCAGGACGGCTTCAGCAAGAAACTCTGACGTAGTCTTGGGGGGACTGCGTACAAGACCACCGAACAACTGCTCCTTCACTCCACGCATCAGGTATTGCACCTTCTTCTCTTCCGGCATGTGAGGGTCGGCTCGTCACGCGTCATGTCCTCAACATACATTGCTACGCCTTCATTTGGCATTTGCATACGGCACTGGGGTTCACGTTCAGCTCGCTCTTGGCGATCGGGACTTGCATACGTTTCGAGAAACCGGCGTTTGAAGTCCACCCATGACGTGAACACACCAGCCCGGTTTTCGTACCAAACACGTGCACCGTCATTCAAACTGAAGTAGACATGTCGGAGCTTGTCTGTGTCATCCCACATGTTATGAGCGGCAACGAAGTCATAGTGGACTAGCCAATCTTCAACATCCTCATGGACAGCACCATGAAAGGGATTCGGCGTTCGTGGTTTGAACAGTGTATATTGCAATGGCGTTGCGCCTTCCATATCGGCTGTGTTGGAGCCGCTTGGGACGGCGCTGCCTGGAATAGTTGGGGCTGTCATCTCTTCTGAGAGAAGTCCGAACTCAGGGTCCAGTCCACGGATCCTGCGGCTGGCACAGTGAACAGGCGTAACCACCGGTATGGGGCTGGAGCTTCTTGTACTGGGAGGGGTTCGGTGCATAGGGTACCCAGCACCTCCACCAGTTGTCACGCGCTAAGAGCTCGAAGGAACGTACAAAGGGACGCGACTGTCAAAAATCTAAGAGACAAAGAAGGACGTCTCCGCTGGCACGGGTTGCTCGTCTTCGTCTTCCTCGTTCACCGGCACAGAACTGACCCACTGTTCACTGGCACAGAACACCAGGTGGCAGTATATAAAATAGCCAGTTTTCTAATACAATTTCTCCGCCATCTTTCAGTAGGTCCGTTGTTACCCTATCCTCACAGCCGCTTTGCCTCTTTGCATTCCTTCTAGGGGCTTTCCTTACTTTCCCTGCTGTAACTGATAGGATGTCGAATTCCTCGGGGCTATTACTGCTTCTAACGATATCATACCTATACCTTGTTGCCAATGATGGTGCAGATTTTTTTTTTTTTTCATATATACCATGCATTATTAGTAACTCCATCACACTAACGTAAATGAAACTTCCTGTATCGCAACAAGTTTCACCCAGTTATTCAACCACATCATCATCATCAGCCTGACTACGTCCACTGCAGGACAAAGGCCTCTCCCATGTTCCGCCAGTTAACCCGGTCCTGTGCTTGCTGTTGCCAACTTATACCCGCAAACGTCCTAATATCATCTGCCCACCTAACGTTCTGTCTCCCACTAACCCGCTTGCCTTCTCTGGGAATCCAGTTAGTTACCCTTAACGACCAGCGGTTATCCTGTCTACGTGCTACATGCCCGGCCCATGTCCATTTCTTCTTCTTGATTTCAGCTATGATATCCTTAACCCGCGTTTGTTCCACAATCCACTCTGCTCTCTTCTTGTCTCTTAAGATTACACCTTAAGCAAGCAGCGATGGCGTAGTGATTAGAGCATCCGCCTCGCATGCCAAAAGTCCGTGGCTGAAATCCCGGTGCCGCGCAGCTCCCAACCGGATAGGAAAAAAAATCCGCATGGTGATGGAACTGCATTACGAGGCCTGGGGTGCGGCCTCACCGGTAACCACCGCCGGGAACGCACTCCCTCAGCAGAGAAGGATTGGCCACCCTGGTGCAGTATCTGGCCACTACCTCCCACATGCATACGTCAAATAACTCATGGCCCTCAGTCCCTAGCAGCTGCGAAGCAACTGACCACGGCGGCGGTAAGATCTGCAACGCTGCAGAGGGTGCTAAGAATCTCTGGATCCAACAGGCCGCCATTGGAACCTGAACTTGGCAACGTTTAACGTTAGAACCTTATCTAGTGAGGGAAGTCTAGCTGTACTATTCGAGGAGCTAGAGGGTGTTAAATGGGATATAATAGGGCTCAGTGAGGTTAGGAGGACAGATTAGGCCTATACGGTGCTACAGAATGGGCACGTCCTTTGCTATCGGGGCTTGACTCACAGAAGAGAACTGGGAGTGGGGTTCCTAATTCACAGAAACATAGCTGGCAACATAGAGGAATACTATAGCATTAATGAAAGGGTGGTAGGTATCGTAATTAAACTGAATAAGAGATACAAGATGAAGGTGGTACAGGCTTACGCGCCTACATCCAGCCATGATGACGCTTCAGTTGAAAGCTTCTATGAAGACATGAAATTGGCAATGAGTAAGGTAAAAAAACAGTATACAATACTGATGGGAGACCTTAATGCAAAGGTAGGGAAGAAGCAGGCTGGAGACCAGGCAGTAGGAGATTATGGCATCGGTACTAGAAACGCCAGAGGAGAACTACTAGTAGAATTCGACTACATAGTGAATCACAAATGACCACGACTGACCTGTTCAGGGTTTCCGGGAAACTGCTGCTCAGCGTAGGCCTTGAACTGGTGATAGGTCTGCCGGTTCAGTGCCTCCTGGATTAGGCGTCTTCAATGAAACATAAGGGAATGTGTGAAACCCTACTCACCCTTGCACACACATTCACATGGCTCAAAGGACACGAGAGAAACTGCAATGAACATCGTTAATACAAAGTTGTGCGCATCAACATTACATTTGCTGCATGTCGATGTTTAAGAGAAATTATCTCGTATACCTCAATGTATCAGGCAATACGTCGCATGCAACCTTGGTCTAGACATTTTGTTACTGAGCTTTGCCATACCCTAAAGAGTGCAATAACGAAAATTCCGATTGGAGTCACATGAAAAGAGCAGGAAACGTCCCGTATTACGTCACTGGTAGAGTGGCACATCACTGTCAACTCTGGTTTTTGCAATAGTGATACTCACATAATAGTGAGAACGGCGAAGCAGTACGGTGTACGTTGCTGGTCTTATACTGACACAAGCCAACCACTGACACTGTCAAAGCAGCTATGCTTATGCAACGCCAGGCAGAATCATGTGCTTTGTTCAAACTTGGGCAGCAATGCGACATCACATGGGGCATTTCTGCCTGGGTCATGTGACACTCCTGCACGTGACGGCGACCAGAAGTCCCGCTACTGCATTATTCAGGGTACAAAAACAGGGTTTCTTGCTGTTGCACTTGATAACGAGACGTCACTCAATAACATTTGTTGCATACTGCATTGCCTGTATGCCAACAAATGCACGTAACAGTCTTGATTTACTTCGATATGCATGGTAATTCGTAATTAAGAAGTACAGCACAGGCATTTGAATACAATAAAACTTGATGAATTGGTGCTGAGTAAACAGGACCAGAAGATGCACACTCTACAAAGTGCAAGGAAGAAAGATGCATGTTTTACACTCAATAATGACAATAGAAACAGCAACTAATGGAAGTGCATAAAGCTGTAGCTACATGACATTTGAACAGTTAGACAATGATGCTTCTCATTCACATGTACCAATAGTAGCTGAATAAATACGGTAGTTCAATTCAATCGGAAATTACTATCGGACACTGTTGCACGAAAAGTGGGTACGGCCCCCAGAAGACACTGCCACAAAATATAACTACACTAATATTCTTTCGCACTATTTTTTTTACCGCCAGAGGCACGACGTGTTGGGTTGATTTGTCGTTAGAAATAAATATTTTTCCGAGTCAAACGTAACTTTCACAGCGCCACCTGCCGGTCATCCTAATAATTTCCGCATTCGCCGTTTAACCACTCGAAAACTTTGCGCTTCACCAAGTCTGGCGTCGTCAAGCGTTAGCGCGCGTCAAAACTCCAACAACGCGCGGTCCAACCACGGCAACGGCAGGCATGCGCCGTCGCAACAACAACAAATAGAAAGGCGCTGTGCGAGCTGGTCAATACACGCACAATGCGCCCCGCGCACGAGCTGTTCCAGTCGGATCGATATAGGAGCCAGTCGGGATCGTCGTAGCCGCCTCAGCTTGAGCTTGCGCACCTGACCTGAGCCGCCCACCCAAACACTCAGGGTAGGCCGCGAAAAAACAAACAATAAAGGGCAACTTGACCGAAAGAAACGTTGCCGCGGCAAGCGTAGCGCTTGCACCGCAGGACATCGGCGTACCGTGGGAAAAGCCCGCTACGCTTTCGCTTCGCATTCGTGACTTGACGAGACGGTTTATGGGTTCACTGGTACACCACTCCACGGTAACTCGGCAAGTGTAAGGACTACGCACCGACTGGCAAACTAAGCCTCGACTGTCAGACAACACACGACGCTATACGGCAGGACACCGACGTACCGTGGCAAAGCCCACCCATCGTTTCCTGTCGGTTTATCAAATACGGTTTCCGACGTCACACGGCGGTTTTCTTTCGGTCCGCGAACGGTTACTACGCAAGGCACGCACTGCAGCCTTTCTTGCGCGTCAAGTGCGACAGGCGTAGTTGCTACGCGCGGACAATGCATGATAGACCCACCTGTAGGAAAAGCGCGATCACAAGCCCGGTTCCCGCACGCAGATCAGCAGGCGGGGGTGTGGATCGAAGCGCTCGATGTTAAAGCTTCGCCCGGCTCCCCCAACACGAACGACTAAACAGCCTCTGGCGGCGGTGTCGACGCGGGCCTCGCGGCAACGATTTTCCCGTTTTTACTGCGCCGTCGATCGAGTTGTCGAAAGAGGCGACATCTATAGCCCCCGCAGCGGGCACCCGCGCGACTGGGTAGCAACGCTATCACGGGCGGCGATTTTGGATTGCAAAGAATGGAAACAGCAACGAACAAACTAATGAAGTGCGTGCAATTACGTTCGAACATATGATGCATCGGAAATAAGTGCGAACATGTGCGCGAACACAGCAGAGACGGGGCCGTTCCGTTAGACTTCCAGACCGGCCGGGTTATGCTGGTTTCGGTTTCAGTTGCGGCAGTTTCGGTTACCGTTGCACTAGCCAAGTAGCATCAACAGATGAACACGCTTCCAATTGTAGCGTAAGTGCTTCTATGTTTTGGCGTAATATGGCACAACATGCATCATATATGCACGCTTCTGTTCTTTAAATACGCACTTTGCATAATACTTGTTTCGTACGCTCTTGTATCGAGTGTGCCGTACAGTAAACCATTTCTAGAGCGCGAAGGCGAGAGGACAACTCTCACAAAAAGGCCTGGTCACGTGACTGAAAGGGCTCAAGGGCTGCCAGGGAACTTATTAGGCGTGCCATTACTGTGACGAATCAAATGTGTACACGTTCGTCGGTGCGCAACGTTTCACCGCATAACACAACTACGTGACAGCAAAGCTGACCATTAAAAAAAAAGGGAGGGGGGGGGGTTATTTGCAATGCACGAAAGGCCTATAAGCAGAGCTCGAAACCCTGTTCATCGCGCAAATGGCACATGCCACCGCTTTATGATTCGCCATTCATCGTCAATCAATAATTGTCATAACTATCTATCACAGGTGGTGTAGTGTTACCTGGTCAGCAGTCTATATAAGCATAAAATGTTTAGGTATTGATGGGAGAAAAGCAAAAACAAATTTAGGGATCTTATGTGTTACAACCACAATATAATTACAAGGCACGGCATAGCAGTGTGACCTTGGATCAATTTTGACCACTATTGCTTTCTTCACACACACCTAAATTGCAGCACCTGGAAGAGTTTTTTTCTTGCTTCTCTTACTTTGTCTTTAAAATCTACAACTGTATAAAGCTTCGACCCTTCGATATTACTTAATAAATCCTGCACAGTATTACTGTGAGCATCCCAATTTATTACCTCACTGCTGTAGTTCTGCTGCTCTGCAGAAAACTTGACAACCTCCACTTTTTCTACACAAGTTGTAAACAACACAAGGTGGTACAAGCAGGCTCCCAAAGAGCGAAATTGTCTATAGTGATTTGGTCTCAGTTTTGCGAGGCCAGCCATCTAATCGTAAAATGTCTTTTTTTTTTTCTCCCAAGGACAAGTGAACAGTGCGAGTGACAATGAATGGGTAACTAAACAGCGGTGACTTGCAGAGTTCACCTTCGAATGAGAACAATGTAGGAATACAAAGTGGTGTTGCAGTGAAAGATACTAAATAAGAAAAATCCTTACAAGCAGTAAAACCCATTTGTGCCACGGAGTAAGATAAGAGAGGAGTGCCGACTCCGCCGCCACTTCCCCACGCTATTGCGTGGGACACATCATGCAACGCGCACGCAGTGATCTAACTCATTCCTTTGCTTTCCTCCTCCGCTCCACCCCCCAGCTTTCACACATGTTTCCTCCTCTCTCGGCGCATATCACAACGCGTAGCGCCATCTGTACAGCTGCGCTAATAAGCACATGCGCGAAGTGGCGAAAACCAGCGGCGGCAGCAGCAGAAAGCACAGAGCGTGTCGTCAGCTAGAAAATCGTTTGCTCAGCTGCCTCAGTACGACAACCAAACGAAATGTATATATGTATACTCATAGTGAAATACGACATAAAAACATCGTACTCCTTTTTTTACACATATTTGAAACACTGTTACAGATCTTTAGACAAAGCAGACAAAAAATTCTGCTGAAAAAAAAAAAACGGCAGAGCCGACGTATGCTTGTTTTCAAGAGGGACTTCAAGAGGGAGCAATCGTTCCATCTTTGGGATAAGCGTGGCTCAACTCAATGACGCTGATTATCAAAAGAAACCTACAGAAACCGGTGCCCAAAAGCGAGAGGACATTAATTTGTCTACAACCGCACACAGAGTGGACGCCTTTCTTTGCCCAGATAATGGAAATTCTCAGCCTTGCCTACGAAAGGACTCCTTCAGTTGGTCGCCTGGCAAGGATCTAAGAGAAGACAACAGCTCAAGTGCGCCTGCCAACGAACAATGTGCGGCAGAAACTGGTGCAAGTAGCTCTACTGCTATAAGCAACAACAGAGACTCTCTGTGCCCAGATCGAAGGTCACTCTTCGCAATGTTATTTGATGTATTAAGTCTATGTATATATTATCTTTATGTATGTTGTAGCGGCAATGAATAATTCTGTGTGGTCCACGTCAGGCATTTGTCTTCTTGTCAGGCATTTTGCCTGTTTCGAATAAAAGAAGTAAAACGATACATTTGGGTTATTTCTTCTATTAACGTCAATCCACAAACAGCATTAGTCATGCTCTTTACAGAGACGAATTGGTAGCAGACGTAAGGCATGCCCGGAGCAGACGACAAAACGGATAGGCGAACCGACCCATGAACGCGGCCAAGCGCGCGTCCGTGCCGTTGGAAACGACGAACCGAGCCCCCGCCCGCGACTCTGCTTGAGGGCAGCGCCTCCTCTCTGCGGCTTTCCTCCATTCGTAGTGCCACCTGGCAGACGTACCGCGAAGCATGAAGCGGCGTTACAAGATGTGCCCCTTCCAAAGGAGCGGAGTCGGCGCTCCTCCCTTATCTTACTCCGTGCACATGACTGAAATACTATTAAATATACCTTTTTTTTCCTCTAATACATGCAGTCACTAACAATATAAAAGGAAACACTGAAATAAATTTCGATGTCTGAGAGTTGCTAAACACAGTGGGCAAGCACAAAAGTGTGCAAAACACATGCTGCTACACTGAAAAGATTTCTCGTGTAATCAGAATAACTCATTCTTATATGTATTTTACGAGTGATCACCACACAAATTTGGTATACCTCTTCACAGTGCTCATGTCTATGCTTTTCCTTTTTCTCGAGATATTTTCCCATTCCTAATAGATTTATTACAATTTAATAGGTCAGTAGAATACATATCAATCACTGCAAGTTTTTATATACAAAAGCATATACCAATATATGCATATTAAAAGAAAAGCGGCGCACAAAAAGACAGAGACAAAGAAGAGAACCACACACAGCAGCGCTGTGTGTGGTTCTCTTCTTTGTCTCCGTCTTTTTGTGCACCGCTTTTTCTTTTAATATGAATATACACCAACTCGCCCAACTTTCTATTCTGTACCAATATATGCCCTTTCATATATTAATAAGGCATCACACTAATTAGTGTGATGCCCCTACCACCTCCTGCATAATAAATTTCTGGCCTGTTGTGTTTACCATTGCTGCATGGTCAGGGCTGGTCACTTAGCCTGTGTTGGCAAAATGATAGCCAACATCAGCCAGTGCTTGTTAAATGGTGTGAGTGTTGATTTATGTAGACTACATGCCATTAAATCATCAACATTGTATGCATTTAATCTCAATTCAAAGATCCTCTTGCATAGCATAATGCTGCAATGTCAGTTAGTTCTGCCCCAAATTTTTTCATTACACAAAATCTTCACTTGTTTATTGTGATTAATAGAATCATTTGCACACATCTTTTTGTAATGTAGTCTTTTTTTTTCTCGGCCCTTTCGCGTCGTCTAAAGACGTCTGTGCACTTACTTTTGCTCAAGCTGCCTCAGGCGCTCCTGTTCCTGTTTAGAAAGTTCCTCTTCTAGCCGCTGCCTTTCCAACTCTTCTTCCTGCTCTCTCCTCCTTTCCTCCTCCTCTTCCTGCCTAAAAGAGGAACTGCAAACCTTAAGAGCCCGCAAGACTTGAACCCAACATGGGTTTGTTCAAAGTACGAATTAAGGTGCCCGAAGCATCGGCCTCTGCGAAAACATGACAAGGATGGTTGCAAGATTCATGCACAAAGGTAATGATAGGATTAAACACTAAGAAACAATAAATACTTCTTAAATTAAATCTGCATATAACAAACCTCCATATAACGAATTCCTCGATATAACGAAGTTTTTCTATTCCTCGCCGTTACTGCATAGAAGCATATTTATTTGCGACCCCTATGTAACAAAGTAACAGCGTCATACATCCTTGATATAACAAATTTTTCCCCTGGACAATCTAGGAATTTCGCTCTGGACTTCGTCATTTTGGCATGAGCATGCATGCTCAAGAACACAAAAAAATAAGATGCAAAATTTTTGTGTCACTGCTCCTTTAAAATAGGTCTGACAAGTTCACCTTTTGCGTTCCTTCTCTTCCATATCTGCCTTGTGTGCTTCGACGAACGGCCGGAACAGAGGACACTTGAGGTTGAGCAACTCAATGAACTTCTTCATGGCCGTCTCGCGGTCCGTGTCTCCTAACGAAATCCAGGCTTGCCTGTCACGGAAACGCAACGCAACTTCATTTCAGTCAAGACCAACCACCCTGGAGCCTTCTCGACATACAAACCTCCTGTCCCTTCCTACGACATCGAGGTAGCCAAGAGGTTTACACCGCTCCGGGTTGTACTTTCCATGTGTAACTTGAAGCGTGTGGGCTACGAGATTGACCTTGTCTTCGTAAGAAATGTGGAAGGCTTTTCCTTCGTGTTCTGCGCACGTGAAGAAAGTATAACAAACAAAACGAAAGCACTCATCAGAAAATGCAGCCAATGGTGGCATGTCAACAGCATTCCCGACATCTGTAAGTACTTAGACTGGAATAGTTCAACTGGGCATCGGCATCCGGTGACCATGTCAAAAACACCAATAACCTCGAACAGCATGGGGGGGTATCCAATACCATTTATCACAACTGCTCATTGCGGTGTCTCCAACAACAGTCGCGGTCGAACGCCACTGTAACGAAACTACATATACAACGAAATATTCCCAAGTTACCCGTACGGGGTTACAGCCTACGTTGCGAGCGTCGGGGTGCGGCACATTTACAACGAAGCAAGCTGCCCAATAAGGTCTTTTAAAGGCCCCTGTTACGTCGTTGCAATGTTGATGCTAGTGACTGTATACGTCAGCACAAATGTCATTACTGCTTACGTAGCACTGCTTTTTGTTGCGCGTGATTCTACGAAAACACACACACGACTTCTATCTTTACTGCGCGAAACATAAGACACGAGACGACGATCGCACGATTTGCTTTTCCCCGTGTTCTCGCGTAGTCCACACGACCTTCTATTTATCGTAGCTTGTGCGCTCAAGTCGTGACCTGTAAGCTTAGTCCCAAGCTTTGCGTCGGGCGCTTCCCTTTTCACGCGTTGTCACTAACAGATGTCCCCGGGAGCGCGACACCAGAATGAAACTGCACACCGCTGATTTATAGAACGAACACGTCGAACACAGTCGGCGGAAGTAGAGACAAGCGCGATCGACGGGGGAGATGACAGCGCTCACCCTTGAAAAACGCGGTGGCCATTTTGTACAGTTGATCGAGGGTGAATCCCCAGGTGACAGTGCAGGCATCCTGCTCGCTGGTGACCTGTGGTTGTGGAAGACTGCTGATTTTGGACCCTGTCTCTTCGCCGCCGGGGCAACTCCGGACCGGCCCATTGCTGGCGCTCGCCATTGCTGCAACGCTGGCAGCGGGTACCGAGGCGCCAGAAGCGGATTGAATGAGAAACCGAAAGCGAAACCGCGTTCACCTCCAAATTCTGGTCAATGACCACGCCGCTCGCTATTAAAACGCGAACGTGTGTATGCTCAAGGAAGATAGGTACGGCGCTAAAAGGACGAGAATGCATCTAATTTTTCCCTATTTCTTTATTCTCTTACCACTACTTTAATCCCAATCTCCCCCCTCCCCCGTGCACTATTGCTGAGGTGTCCTCCCCCTGAGAGACAGTTGCGGGGTGCGCGTATATCTTAATTTCCTCACCAAAATCACTCCCCCCAGGACGAGAACAAAGTAAATACACGAAACAACTAGCACGTTCATCTTCACATCGCCCTTGTTCTTTTAGCACCATGAATATTTTCCTGAAGTATTGAACCAACCAGCTCAGTAACAAAGCCTGTTATGGTGTGTACGGTTATATATAAAAAAACGGACAGAAGAAAAACATTATTTTATTTACGATGAAGTCAAGTGACAGGCGAACTAGTGAATTGAAGGTTAACCGCGTTGCGAGAGAACATTAAAAATAAGAAACGCCGATAAGCCGGTGTCGTGACGTCCTGACCTGCTGATTCAGACTAGTCGCAAGAGTGTACGCCACTGATGTAGGAACTTACCAGCACGAAATCATCAATAAATATTTCTGAAAATGTTCACTTTCTTGAAACCTTGTATCTCAGCACGGGCATTTGATGGTGTAGTTCCAACGAAGGAACTGCGATATCTACGTTATTTCCATTTGTTCGTAATAGCGAGGTGCTTCATGTCATCACCGTAGACGCGCGTAGGTGAGATCTGGCACAAGTGAGACACCTTGCAACACACAAATACCACTCCGCAGAAATCTTTGCACGATGCGAGCATTCACTTTTAAATGTGTTCAGAACATTTCAGTGTTTAGGATAACTTATAAAAACTTACCTGAGCTGAAGGAATGAATTAACCTAGCAATAAAAACAAAAACATGCCCCACCGCGGTAGTCTAGTGGCTAAGGTACTCAGCTGCTGACCCGCAGGTCGCGGGATCAAATCCCGGCTGCGGCGGCTGCGTTTCCGATGGAGGCGGAAACGTTCTAGGCCCGTGTGCTCAGATTTGGGTGCACGTTAAAGAGCCCCAGGTGCTTAAAATTTCCGGAGCCCTCCACTAAGGCGTCTCTCATAATCATATGGTGGTTTTCGGACGTTAAACCCCACATATCAATCAAAAACAAAAACATACAACTTAACAAGGTTTGAGAACTAATTCGAAGCCCGAACGCAAGCTTGGAAATTCATTTACACCACTATGAATTGCACAAATAGAATTTTATACCAGGGGGGAGGGGGAGAGAAGTGACCTTGACTAGTAACTGCTTTTCTCCTTTTGACAACAATCTTGTTCCTGCAAAACTCTAAGAAATCATGCAATGAAAGAATACTACATCAGTGTGAATTGGCTTAATTAGCACTTTTCAAAACAAGAAAGCTACTGTCAACAAATGCACGCTTATACATTCATTAACTTCCAAGATTCGCTGCTCTAAGTAACGGAAGACGACTCGATGGGTAACTTTCCAATCAAATGTGAACACGAAAATTGTTAATTCCAGCAGCTTTGAAATTTCCCACATCCAATCCCTGTGCAAAGTCATAACATATATTTGCTTTTATGTGCGTACACAAGTTGGATTTTGCATCTTTGCTAATGTACAGCAGCTGAGCTGTCATACTTCATGTACTTGCCAATGAGTGAGAACCAACACAGAAATTATTTACACTACTTATGCCTTTTGTCTTATTTCTGGGGAGACATGTTTACATCATACCACTTGTTTGAAGACGCACACGTCACATGTTCTACGCCAAAGAAACAGAGTGCCCTTTTTGACTGTTGCTTTGATGTCAACAAACAGATTTCCAAGTCTCAATCTGCAGGTTTAGCGAGAAGCACTGACTTACTGTTCCTTGGTTTAAGGCCACTTGATTTTGTCTTGTACATGTCTCGAATACTTAGCAAAACCAGCTTTCAATAGTTTAGCCCTTCTCATTTTCTTCAACGCTCATGTACCTGATAAAGAGGACTGAATGTTTATAATCATAATAAAAAGAATTGACATAACTTCCAACATTAATGTCCCTTCTCAAAATTTATACCAGTATGCAGACTGTCAGTTATATTGTGAGTTGTGTACACTATAATCGAGGTCTGACAACAAATATGAAGGTACAAAGAAACAAATGAACAAGTGCTGGAGGGCTTCAATGGCAACATTTTCTTTATTGGCATTCAACAAAAAAAACCAAAAAAATAAATGCTCTTACAGCTCACTCCAGGCTGTTTTTTCATCATGAAATAGCGAAGGCTGTAATTTATGTTTCCTTCAGGTAGCTCGAATACTGCACGCCCCAAAAACAGGCAAATTAAGTGCACATTAAGATTACTGACTGGTTCACAATGCTTATAATCTTGTTAAGATCCAGAGTATTTTTTTCTTCAAATGCCTAATGACAAAAAGAAAAGGCCTTCAAGATGTTTTGACGATATTAAACTCCTTATTCGCCCCCTTCCTTCATTTCATGTGGAGGTGACCCTGCTGCACGTTTTTGCAAGGAAGAATTATGTCAACAAGACAGAGTTCTTAAAGTGCACTTCAAGTACACTCCTTGCGCAACAACTTCGGGCAGTCCAGGGAGCCTGTGAAATGATCGGGAACCTTTGGTCCGTGACCCCGTCACGGGTGCTGCCTTCGGTGGGTTCTTAGGAACCTTCTTTCTGGGTCGCAAGTAAAGTTAATCTGTCTGTCCGAGGACACTTCCCAGCTAACTACTTCAACAAAGTGTATTCGGTATGCACTTGCAACTGGCAACATTGTTGGAGAGCTTTAGCTCAGCATTTCCAGACCACTCAGCATTAGCTAGCGTACAACAATTTGCGTTCAACCACTGCACACAACCAATTTACGTGAAACAATTTGCGTGCAACCACTGAGCTGAAACATACCCAAGACTCGCCAGTTGCAAGAGGCGAGGTGGTGCCCTAGCTCTGAAGTGACTAAAGAGACTGACAACAAATTTTCACAGTAGTAGTTCATTTTTTTTGCTTCTTAATGTTGCAAGAGGGGTGGAGAGTTCAGTCATACAGTTGTAACGAGAAAAATTTTGTCCACCACCTTTTATGAGAATTGTCTGATATCCATGATGGTAAATGAAGTGTGTTGGCGGCATGTGGGAAAAAGTGGTAGCTCAGCATGAAAGTGATTACCGTACAAACCTTGCATGGGGGTCACACTCGTATGAAGGTTACATGCAATCTAGACATATAAAAAATCGAAGATGACAAAAAAAAGACAAACATCAGAAATTCTAAATGATGTCCTCCAAGTTACGGCACATATCTATACAGATCAGCTGTGTAATTATTAATATTGTTACAGTAAAAGGGATCTTCAATGCCACAATTAAGTGGCACGGAAGATGATTTAAACGTGAATGCGCTGGTTAATTGAATGCAAGCAGCAGTGGTAGCAATAATAATAATTACTCGATTGCACAATGCTCTTGCATGAATAAATTAACTAATGAAGTTATTAGGAAAAAAGGAGCATCCAGTCTTACGGTGGTGCGTCTTACGGCATTTTTCGAGTCTGTTGTTATAATCCTTAATATAACGACACCACCGCTCATGAACGCAAAGTTTCCTTTACCACGTAGTATGCATAGAACAAAACATGAATGCTTTAAATATCTTGAAAGACTGTAATTTTAAGTGTTAAGTATAATAGCACTAAGTAACAGCCGACTATGTCCAGAATTTTGAATGCCACAGCTGCAAAGTGCCTGGGCTTGTAGCAAGATGGTACATCTAGCTTCCTTTTTTTTAAAAGAAATTGAAGACTACAATTCTTACTTAAGTTATAAATCTTGCATGATTGTTCCTGGCCTAATAAGATGTCTTTCGTTTCTTTATTACTTTATCGTGACACATTCTTGGTGGTTTTCAGTCTCTTAAAACCAAGTAAACCACATGTTGCTAGCATTTCCAAAGAAACATGCTATCGCACATTAGTTGAGAAACATGAAATGAACACAGTTGTGCGTAGCACCTGAGAACACAAAATGCGAGAAATAAATGTAAGAAATGCTCAGCCAAAAATGACTGCTGTCGTGACAGTGTAGAAGGCACTTTTGTGAAAAGATCAACAATGACAACAATATAAACTCGACTATAGCTCCATGTTTTAAAACACAACCTGCTTATAAATGCAGCAGGATCACGAAAGCTGGCCCGACATTTACATTATCATAATCATCAGCCCGACTATGCCCACTGCAGGGCAAAGGCCTCTCCCATGTTTTGCCAATCAACCCGGGGCTGTGCTTTGTGTTGCCATGTTATACCTGCAAATTCCCTAATCTCGAATTTGCTTAAAGATTAAGGATTAAGGAATCTGCCGGATGGCAGGCGGATGCTCTAGCCACTACACAGCAGCGATGGCGTAGCGGCTAGAGCATCCGCCTCGCATGCAAAAAATACGTGGTTCAAATCCCAGTGCCGCGCAGTTCCCAACCGAATAAAAAAAAAATCCACGTGGTGATGGAACTGCATTACGAGGCCTGGGGTGCGGCCTCACTGGTAACCACCGCCGGGAACGCACACCCTCACCAGTGAAGGATTGGCCACCCTGGTGCAGTATCTGGCCACTACCTCCCACATGCATACGTCAAATAGCTCACGGCCCTCAGTCCCCAGCAGATGCGAAGCAACTGACCACGGCGGCGGTCAGATCTGCAACACAGCAGAGGGTGCTAAGAATCTCTGGATCCGGACAGGTCGCCATTGGAACCTGAACTTGGCAACGTTCAACGCTAGAACCTTAACTAGTGAGGGCAGTCTAGCTGTACTATTCAAGGAGCTAGAGGGTGTTAAATGGGATATAATAGGGCTCAGTGAGGTTAGGAGGACAGATGAGGCTTATACGGTGCTACAGAATGGGCACGTCCTTTGCTATCGGGCTTGACTGACAGAAGAGAACTGGGAGTGGGGTTTCTAATTCACAGAAACATAGCTGGCAACATAGATGAATACTATAGCATTAATGAAAGGGTGGTAGGTATCGTAATTAAACTGAATAAGAGATACAAGATGAAGGTGGTACAGGCTTACGCGCCTACATCCAGCTATGATGACGCTTCAGTTGAAAGCTTCTATGAAGACGTGGAATCGGCAACGAGTAAGGTAAAAATGCAGTATACTATACTGATGGGAAACTTTAATGCAAAGGTAGGGAAGAAACAGGCTGGAGACCAGGCAGCATGAGATTATGGCATCGGTACTAGAAATGCCAGAGGAGAGCTACTAGTAGAATTCGCAGAATGCAATAATTTACGGATTTTGAATACCTTCTACCGAAAACGAGGAAACTGCAAGTGGACATGAAGGAGCCCTAATGGCGAAAATAAGAACGAAATAGACTTTATAATGAGTGCACACCCAGGCATTGTGCAGGATGTGGAAGTGGTTGGCAAGGTACGATGCAGTGACCATAGAATGGTACGGTCTTGAATTCGCCTAGACTTGAGGAAGGAACGACAGAAACTGATACGCAAGAAGCCAATCAATGAGCTAGCACTGAGAGGGAAAGTACAGGAATTCAGAGCTTCGCTTCAGAACAGGTACTCGGCTTTTAGTGAGGAAACCAACCTTAGCATAGATACAATGAATGATAATCTGACGAGTATCATTACAGAGTGTGCAGTGGAAGTTCGGAGCAGGGTAGTTAGACAGGACACTGGCAAGCTTTCCCAGGAAACTAAGAATCTCATTAAGCGTCAAATCATGAAAGTCTCAAGTATAACAGACAAAATAGAACTAGCAGAGCTTTCGAAGTTGATTAATAGGCGTAAGGTATTCGATGTAAGAAGGTATAACATGGAGAGAATTGAACACGCTCTGATAAACGGAGGAAGCGTCAAAGCAGTGAAGAGGAAACTTGGGATAGGCAAAAATCGGATGTATGCACTAAGGGACAAAGAAGGCAAAATAACTACCAATATGGTTGAAATAGCAGAGGAGTTTTACAGAGATCTGTACAGTAGCCGGGACAACCACGATTTTAATACTATAAGAACTAGCAGTAACCCACATAACACCCCACCAGTAATGAAAGAAGAAGTCAGAAAAGCTTTGGAGAGCATGCAAAGAGGCAAAACTGCTGGTGAGGATCATGTAACATCAGATCTGCTGAAAGATGGAGGACAGATTGTGTTAGAAAAATTAGCCACCCTGTTTACGAAGTGTCTCCTGATGGGAAGAGTACCAGAGTCTTGGAAGGACGCTAACATCATCTTAATACATAAGGAGATGACAAGGACTTGAAGAATTACAGGTCGATTAGCTTGCTCTCTATAGTATACAAGCTATTTACAAAGGCCATTGCTAACAGAGTAAAGAAAACATTAGAATTCAATCAACTGAAGGAACAAGCAGGATTTCGAACAGGCTACTCAACAATCGACCACATTCATACTATCAATCAGGTAATAGAGAAATGCTCAGAATATAACCAACAACTATACATAGCCTTCATAGATTACGAGAAGGCGTTTGATTCAGTAGAAATATCAGCCGTCATGCAGACACTGCGGAATCAGGGCGTTGATGAAGTATATATTAACATCCTGGAAGAAATCTACAGGGGATCAACTGCTACCATAGTGCTTCATAAAGAAAGCAACGGAATACCAATCAAGAAGGGTGTAAGGCAGGGGGACACAATCTCCCCAATGCTATTTACCGCGTGCTTACAAGATGTTTTCAGAAGCCTAGAATGGGAACAGTTAGGGATATGAGTTAATGGAGAGTACCTTAGTAACCTGCGCTTCAACGATGACATTGCATAGCTGAGTAACTCAGGGGACGAATTGCAACTCATGATTACGGAGTTAGACAAGGAGAGCAGAAAGGTTGGTCTTAAAATGAATCTGCAGAAAACGAAAGTAATGTACAACAACCTCAGAAAAGAGCAGCGCTTCGAGATAGGTAATAGTGCACTTCAAGTTGTAAAAGACTATGTATTCTTAGGGCAGGTAATAACCGTGGAGCCAAACCACGAGATTGAAGTAACTAGAAGAATAAGAATGGGGTGGAGCACATTTGGCAAGCACTCTCAAATTATGACGGGTAGATTGCCACTATCCCTCAAGAGGAAGGTATATAACAGCTGTATCTTGCCGGTACTTAGCAACGGAGCAGAAACCTGGAGACTTACAAAGAGGGTTCAGCTTAAATTGAGGACGACGCAGCGAGCAATGGAAAGAAAAATGGTAGGTGTAACCTTAAGAGACAAGAAGAGAGCAGAGTGGATTAGGGAACAAACGGGGGTTAAGGATATCATAGCTGATATCAAGAAGAAGAAATGGGCATGGGCCGGGCATGTAGCGCGTAGACAGGATAACCGCTGGTCGTTAAGGGTAACTAACTGGATTCCCAGAGAAGGCAAGTGGGTCAGGGGGAGACAGAAGGTTAGGGGAGGCAGAAGGTTAGGTGGGCAGATGAGATTAAGAAGTTTGCGGGTATAAATTGGCAGCAGCAAGCACAGCACCGGGTTATTAACTGGCGGAACATGGGAGAGGCCTTTGTCCTGCAGTGGAAGTAGTCAGGCTGATGATGATGATGAATCGTCAGCCTGACTGTGCCCACTGCAGAGCAAAGGCCTCTCCCATGCTTTGCCAATCAACCCGGGGCTAGTGCTTTGTGTTGCCATGTTATACCTGTAAATTCCTTAATCTCATCTGCCCAGCCTAATTTTCTGTCTCCCTTTTCCGCATTTGTCCTGAAATTACATTTATGAGCATTACTTATTAACTTTATGGCAGAAGGTTTTCCTTTGTGGTTATATTTACCACCACTTGATTAATCATCCTACGCAACTCACAAAACCTGAAAAAAGCACTTCATGCTTTGAAACAACAATTCTAAAGTAAAATTTGGATCCCCTAAGATACTCAACGAGATTCACTAAATAAAAACAACAGACCTTCCAAGTATAGGTGGCATTTTGGCCAGTCAAACTTAAAAATGCATAGCACTCCTATGCGTACCTGGTGATACATACAAAACACTATACGTCGGTGCTGTTTGGTGTAAGAATTCACTGAGTACCAGTTTTGGCCAAGAGGCACACACGCTCAATGTCCGTCGCACCACATTGGCCTCAACAGTGGCAACCTAAGAGATGACTTTTCAGAGCTTCTTCACTTTGCACAGATACGAAGGTACACATACGGATGAAGAATGACGTGTGCTTCAGTTGCTTGACATACGGACCACCGGGTCCGTATGCCAAGCGGTGTACCGCAGGGTTCGCACGTGTACGGAACTAATGTTCTTGCGAGATAAATAAATGCACAGTTTCCCAAACAACGTTGTGGACTCATATCACAGGTGCTGCCAGAGTCACACGCTCGATGATATGCCGTCACCACAACTTCTGCACAAGCAACCACGATGGGAGACGACAGCTCGGAGGAACACGTTCACATCACAGCAGTTTGATGAGGAGAACCGAGGTGAAGCCTCCGATCGTCAGGCCAGTCATGATGGCCGAGCACATCAGGAATCCTGTTTTTTCCTGGAGGTAGCTGGCCACTTTCCTGAAACAGCGTGATTTTGTGGGTTGCACTCCGAAATTCGGTCAACGTGTTCGGCATGGCTCAAGTACATTCACAGCAAAAAATCTGGTGTCGTGCAATAGGTTGATAAAACATTTAGAGTTCACTGAGGCTCACTTATGAAACATCCACCGCCCTCAGGGCTCGCTTGGACATGCCCTGACAGATGTTTTCCTCAACTGGACTCATTCGAACTCAGACTATCATTTTCTTCAATCATACTCAGCTCAGACTCACGGCTCGATCCGAGTCTGAGCGAATTGCGAGTTCGCCAAACTATGGACTCGTGCATTTACATAGTACAGCATGATACAATGGAACACACCAAAGACATCTGTTCACTCCTAGACAAGCAGAAAATTTTTTTTTACACTGGAACAGTTGATCTTACAAGCAAACCCATGCTGTAACCATAAAGACAGACAAATACTAATACTTGACCTGATGGTAACTTTACGGCCACAAGGTTTGGTTCAAACATATTCATTAATTACGGTTGAACTTCAGTATAACAAAATGGCAGGAGTTGGAAAAAAACTTCATTGAATCACAAACTTTTGTCTAGGTGAAAATACTGGGTATTTCAATTGCCCTAACGATGTCACCATTTTTGAGACATACTCACTTCACTTAATTTTGTGTCGGGCACTTCTGTTAAGATTTTCCTGTGAGGAGTTTCCAAATAAATTGTGGATAGCTCAAAATCATGGCCGATGGCTTTTTAAACACAAATAACTTTTTTTCTGTTCATTTAAAAAAACAATATTCCTCAAAATTTATTATTATCTTTTTTTTTTGCTCATCAAAACTTCACTGTAGGAAAGCATGCTAGAAAACAACTTTACTAAGTTGAGAGCAGGCATACATACATTCCAACTGAAGTAGGAAGTGCAACAGAAAATGTTCATTTTACAGGATAATGCCTTTATAAGCGGCATTATCCGGGCAGCAGTCCATGCTTTTTATATGAGATGTCTCTTATAGGCACGGTGCCTCTTATACATTTTCTTATCAACCTGTATTTTAATCTAGTCACACTTGTGTTACTTTTGCCCATTTGTCTCTTACATCAGTGTCTCTTATAAAGGTGTTCGACTGTAGCAGAAAATTCATTATATTGAGGTTTGACTGTAGTTACTTTAAGGTGACGGTACCACCGTCGCCATCTTGCGAGTAGTTTCTGCTTGAGCCACCAGAAGACGCCACTAAGTCACGTTTGGAAAAAAGGGAGGAAAATGCACTCTCCGCCGTCGTAGCATGCAGTGGCGAAGAGCCTGTTCCTGCTGGAACTAATCCATTCTTTTCGGGGGTGCTGCTGCTCCCATATCTCCTTTGAAACGTTTCAAATGTGCGTGACGCCCTCCCCGCCCCCCCCCCCCGCTCCCCAATAACAACAACAGCAACAAAAAAAGGCACGGACCCGAGAGCCTTTGTACTCCCGTGCAACTGTGGGGAAAAGAGGTGTCCATCTCTCTCTCCTGGTAACGTATAACTATTTACAATAGAGCGCTGAACCGCGCTGCCGCAAGGGTTGCTGGAAATAATGGTTTGGTTTCTGAACCGACTCTTTCTCTTCCTCGCTAAAGAAGAGTAGAAAGAAAAAGAGTAGAAAAAGAGTAGTTCTCGAGGAAGTTCTTCAGTGGCCCTGAATACCGGCAGTGTTGGGTCGCGTGGAACAACGCCGACCTTGTGCACGTGCATAGTAATTATAGATTTCTCCACTGTCAGCAGCTTTGGTTCGACTGTGAATGTAGTGTGGGTGTCGCGCATGGTCCGCTTGATACTTATGTCGCTACATTCAGAAGCTACCCAGGAAGCTCCTTTCCACTACTTCCTGGCTATCATTACACAAAGCCCCTTTTCGGTGCCTTGCAGTGAGCCAAAAATGGTGATTTTGTATGCATGAACGACAGAAGGGCTTTGCCTTTTTGCTAGCGAGAACACTATGAGCCTCATGCATCCCAAAACAGATGTATGGGGCGCAGGTGGCTATCAGTGGCGCCTCTATAGGCGGTGCACAAGGCGTATACACGAATGCGCTGCTCAGCAGTGCAAGCTTTATTCCTGTGTTTCCAAACTTCAGTAGGCGTCGGGACGCGTTACGTTTGTTTTGCTACGCGCGGCTGGGAACGCTAGAGTTCACGCAGCCATCCGCACTTTTCGCTGCAGTCGGGGAAATATGGCTCGCTAACTAACGGCTTGCAAAAGAGTTACTGCGCATATGCGAGTAAGCTTGTTTTCCACACGAAAGCCTCAACCACAAACTAGCAGACGAATAATTTTTTTCCCATTTACCACTAATCCCTGTCTTTCCTTTCTTTCGTTTTCTCCTTTCTCTCAGTGGAAGAGGAAACTTACAATGAGGCGTGACATTCCTGAAGTACGTTTTGAGAAGTCTTGGTGCTGATCCTGCCCCTTCGTATGAATGTGGAGTGGTGAACACGTTTAGAGCGAGAAAAGCAGTCAGGGAAGCAGAAGTTTTACAGGTGTTTGCAAAGTGGGCGCCAGGTGCAACACCCTCTACGACGGAGTTGCCTTGTCGGCGCTTTCGGGAAACGGGAGACAGCATGAACGAATGGATTCGCAGCGCGCCGTTGAGTACACAACGAGCGCGTAGCAATGGGCATTTCTGAGAACGCGGCATCCGCTCCCGTCCTAGTGTGATGACGTCAAGAGGCCTCAGCTAGTCTAGAGGGTATTGGCCAGGGGTCGCTCACTATTTCGCAAAGGTCAACATAAAAAAAAAAGAAAAAAAGAAAGATTTTTTTGTCGAGCCAGGTGGCACACTTGTCACCACCCCATTATAACGGGGACGCTCATATCATCCATCCATCCAACAAGGCTGTTGCAGTGGTGGCGCGCGACGCAGAGGTAGTGATTTACGTGGACAAAAATTGAAGGCGTGCAGACTAACTATACGAACTGGTACGGGGTGTGTACGCCTGTGGAGTGTTTTAGTTTATTTACTTGATAGGTGTTTTTTTTTTTTTGTTCTCTGGTTAGGGCGAATTAATCTTGCCCGCCCGATACAAAGGGATCAGCCTCAAATCATCAGAGTCAATGGGCCTTTTTCAGGTCCGAACAGCGCCTCCAGTGGAGATCACCGAAATCGAAACTGGGAGTCCGTGGCCTCCGAAGTTATCCGCCACGGCCCGGTAGAAAAATCTCGTAGGCCTGGTATTTTTCGGGATAATTTGCAAACGACGCCAGGTGCCCTTCAGTTCGCACCTGTCGCCGCCCTGTGCAACGTTTATAGAAGCTGTTTGGCTCTGTTACTCCCCCAAAACATGGCGTCAAGTCACCACCACTTGCACCACTTCGCATGCGCAGGCTAGTCTCCCGAAAAAAAGTCCATTGTTATCCTAGCTCAACCGGCGTCACGTGAAATATTCAAACACACATACACTGCCAGACACTCGTCACCTCCCTGCGATGGGAAAGCACGCTTCAGATAATGTCCTACGGGCTTCAAAAATATGGGGAGGCAAGGTCCAGTTCTTTGTGTCCTTCAAAAACGCTTCTACAGTCACCTGAGTACAAAGGCGAGCAACCAAGCAACTCCTGGAATCTTTGGCACAATAGCCTAACCTGCTGGCTATGCATTCCTGATGTACAGTGCAACACGCTTTATTCCCTTCTTCCTTTCTCTCTCTCCTTCTCTTTCTTTCTTTTTCAGCAGGATTTAGCCACTGAAGTCTAAAGAAGTCCATCCGTGTTTTGGCGGCTTAGTTATGTTTAGAAGCGCCACTTTTGACGAACGTCGGAACTGACGTAAAACAACTTGATGTTTTTTTTGACAGAGGGCGCCACCATCAAAAAGTGTTTGCGAGCTTTATTATTTTTGAAAAATCTTTTGTTTCAAGCACCGCATCGTAAAGTTGGTGAGTACTGGTGATTACAAGACACTACATGGTCCTGCTAATGTGCAATACTTGTTGTGAATTAGCCTACAAAAGACAAAAAAAGGAAATTTGCACGAACCTGGCAAGCAGAAAAATTAGCTAAATTCACTGCTGTCCTACAAATTTTCCAATTAACTTACGACAATTTTCTCTTCATAGAAACCTAGGGAAAGGCTTGCTGATTTATTATTGAAGATTTCAGAGTTTCAGCTTGGATAGTTTTGTCCCTTCGTCGGTAATGCCTGACCAAGTAGCGCCATAAATTGCCGTATTGAAGGAGTAATAATTCAAGAACTGTTCATCAGAACACAAAACAACTTCGCGTACACATAATGTACATTGTAGCCTGGAAACTCATTTAATATTGTTGTTCTGCACAAAATAGAAAAAAAGTTATTTACTCATAAACTTTCATTCTTTTGCCCATTTTTATTAGAGCGTGCATCAATTTCTAATTGCTTTACTGGCAATATCTCTTCATAGAAACCTTGCATAACGCTTCGTTAAAAGGCTCAGCAAATTTCATTTCGTTATGTTGGACAGTTTTGCTGCACTGGCAGTACAACGGAGGCTTGTACAGCAAAAACGCTGTTTTTTGCTCACACTGTTTTAATTGCCATTAAATAACACTCCAGACTAGGCGAAAATACTAGTTGTCATTAGAACGCGGAGAACGTAAACTTTCTAATGCAATAGAACTCATATTCTTCCATTGAGCAGAGCAAGCACAGTGAGCCAGTAAACAACGACTAAAATGTCGAGCTCTTGCCACTGGAGTGGGACCGCCACCTTAAGGAAACCATTCTACAACTGCACGGTGGCAATCACGTAGAACAGGACATTCGTGACTGCCTGCTTGCCCAGCATCTACGGCATCTCCAGCAAAGCATCGAGTGTAGCGGCATAACCTTTGCTCTAATATTTTTTTTATTGTTAAATTCCACACCATTTCTCCAAGCTTAATTACAATGGCCAAGGTCATGAGTTGCACATCAACCATGAACTTATCGATACTCACCTAGAGGCCTGCATCATGGACGCACTGAGCAGGTACCCATTGGTGAATGCGAATACGGTCATGAGAGCAATGAAGGCAACGTCCGAGTCCAACACAACAGGAAGATAATGCCGAGGATGCGCATTGCACAGCATGAACAGCGGTACGAACACCGTGCGTGCCAGGGTTAGCCACAGAACTGTGTGCTCGTGTTTTTCGTTCTGCAAGAGAAAATTTGCACAACTGCTTGTCACCGGTTACGCGAAAGCGTGTCTCACGGATCACGACACACTACACCTTAAGAGAGATGAAATACTCATGAGCACGAGGTGTCGCTGGAGTTCGTGCTTCGGCAACCGCTTGTCGAAGGCTGCAGCCTTGATAAGACAAGTCCGCTTGCTGAAATGTGGGCTCCAACCACATCCCACGTTCCCAAACTTTTCATCTCTTTAAGCTTTCATATTCTGCAAGACCTCTGCCTTTTTTTGAACTACTACGTATAAAAGAACGACAGGCAGGACAGTGAGGAGACACAGTGAGTAATCTGACTCCATGCCATTCCTGAATTTTCATTTCTCTAGTTATCTGATGTCCTCGTTTGTGTTTTCTTCCCTCTCTGTTACTCAAATGAAAAACGTGTTGCCAGCAGTATTTTTGCCTTCCTGGTTTCACTTGAATTCTGTAGAGGAAAATGATGGGACATCTTTGACCGAATCAAACTACTATATTTAGACCCATCTTACCAGCACTAATCAGCTCTGGCTAATTAATGGCTAATGTCAGCTAAAGATAGGCTAAATAATTGCTAATGCTGGCAAGGAGTAAGCTAACTTCAATAAACGCCAGCGAGTGTTGCTGCACGACTGCTCTAGTGGCATGCGCGACCATCCACAGCAAAAACACCCACACTATCGCCACTAATCTCAACTCAATGACTCAGTTTTCAACAGTTTTTGGCAAACGAATCTCCGAATGTTGCCCGAGGAAATTCCTATCTGCAAACCAAATGCCGCTGAGAGTAGTATTCTATGTACAGCATTACACCTTTTTATTGCATACCTAAAACGCAGAATACTTCTTTCTAGTGAATTGTGAGTATTCCTAAAAAAAATTGTGCATTTTTTATAGACAGGACTAATGGTGCCACAATGCAGTTTACCAAGGCCAACCAATCCACCATTTTCTTTTTTGTGTGCAGCTCTCCGCTGTTATGATAGGGCTTTCGTAGGGGACAGGGCAACTGGTATAGCCAGGACAAAAGCATTCGAGATGAATAGACATTTCGAGACTTTCCTACTAGGAGAAGGGCCCATGTGCCGTAACACTAGGATTAAGTTGGCAAGAGGAAACTCGATCGGTTCTAAGTTGCCAATTCAAATAGGAACCCGGTTCAAACTCAAGCGGTTTTACGATAGCATCAGCTTACTGGTAGCAACTGCTGCCTGTTCGTGTGTCTGTTCACATGTTTGTTTGCATGTTTGCATATCTCTACAGAAAGCCCGACTCCGGAAAGTTTTATGTCTAGTGTCTGACATATGGCTGATCTACAGTATTACCTGTAGACTGCAACGAGAATGGTTTCCGCGCGTTTTTCAAATTGTAAACTGCCGGGCAGGCCTCGTAGAAGCACATCTGCACACCAGACATTCGCGCAATTTACGTGTTTTTGATTTGTGGGGTTTAACGTCCCAAAACCACCATATGATTATGAGAAACGCCGTAGTGGAGGGCTCCGGAAATTTCGACCACCTGGGGCTCTTTAACGTGCACCCAAATCTGAGCACACGGGCCTGCAACATTTCCGCCTCCATCGGAGATGCAGCCGCCGCAGCCGGGATTCGATCCCGCGACCTGCGGGTCAGCAGCCGAGTACCTATAGCCACTAGACCACCGCGGCGGGGCGCAATTTACGTGTACAACTTCACTGACAGTAGGATGCATGTCAGAAAAGTATAGTTAAAATATATTTGTATGTCACGTGTGCCTGAGAGGGTCGGTACAAGGTAAGCCAAAATTCTGTGTGCTGTTGATAATTATTTCTCGGTACTATCATCATGGGTCTAAGTGCATCCACTGTAAGACAAATGCCTCTTCCAGCTATTTTCAACCCCCTCTGTACAGTATCAGCCAGGTTCCCCGTACTAATCTTGCTGAATTTATTCAACTGTTCACAACACAACATTGTTGTGAACATGCAAGACGATCGAGACATAAAAGAAGAACAAGTGAGTAGCGTTTTGTCGCACATTTCCCAGCAATGGACTTGCACCGACTCTTCACTTTCAACACTGACTACTAAACTTGGCATGCTCGATTAATCTGCCGTAGCGGTGGCGCAGAAGAATAAATGAAAATGGTTCTCACCAGGGGCAAGTAAGAGCAGACAATCCTTCCAGTCAGATCGCCAGCATTGAACAGCAAATATCCACAAACGGGCAAGAAGAACCTGCCTAAAAAACATGATAGAGAGTCGTTAAAACTGCAAGCCCGCACTTCTGTAACACAAGTACTATAATCTCCCAACCTGCGAAATTCAATGTTAATGAAAACCCTAACGACGTAATACCAAGGGAAAAAATATGAAATGCCATTGAATTCTTTAAGGCTGGCCCTGAGTCTATGCCTTCTCTAGGGTACACAGACGCTCATTAAGAATCATCTACTAGAGCTGCAATGTATAGGTCTAGAAAATGGCAAACAATACCCATAGGACAAGAAGGGAAATCTGGAATAGTTGGTAATAGCTCATTTTCGATAACTCGCAGGTGCGAGAAGGATGCAGACGAAGTACAAGACAACACGAGCGCCGACTATCATCTAAAGTTTATTAAAAGAAAGGCACGAATATGCACAGTTGCACATGTGCAGTTGCTTTGTCGAAGCGGGTCGAACTGTGTATATATTCGTGCCTTTCCTTTAATAAACTTTAGTTGAGAGTCAGCGCTCCTGTTGTCTTGTACTTCGTCTACGTCCTTCTTGCGCTGTGAGTTATCGAAAATGAATACCCATAGGACTGGCAAAGAATGCACTGTTTTAGTTTAGCTGACAGTTTCAACTAACTGTTGGCTCTCAGCTTAACCTAGTTACGAGAACATGAAATATACGACATACATGGTATTAGATATGACATACTCTCTGACTCGCATTTATGCCTAACGCATACAGTCGGGGGCAATCGTTCATAGATGTAAATGAGCTTTCGGTGCCTTTAAAAAAAAAAACAGACATGTCATGTGTCCTCAGCTGATTCGCCTTGTAGTATTCTTCATCCAAGTACTGTTTTACACAAGAAATACAGACTTACAAAATGACTTCACTGTAATTGTATTCTGTTAAGACTGAAATCAGTACCAAAACAGAATTTCTAAACATTCACTCAGAATGTGCGGGATATGCACCTAGTTCTCCTACAGCAGAAAGAATAGGGAAGATGTTTGTTCAAATAGAAGGCTCTCTGATATTCCTATACTAAAATGTTATTTGCAATGTCTGAACAGAAACAAATATTCAATAATTTCAAATGGTGAGTTCCCCGATCAAATGCGAATTGAGTATGAATCCAAGCAGCACGAAGCATTTGATTTGTATTCTGCATTTAGAATTTTCATGCACTCCCAACTATGATAAACAATATTCACAGGTGTTCTAGTTATACGTTTCTCACGCGTAATGCAAGCACTCATGTTTCCAGTAGATTGCACCGTGCCCACAAACACACCACTTCTGCTGCCTTGGGGCACGGATGACACTGGCCGACACTTTCAGGGCTGATTGTTAAACGCGAAACCCAAGACAAAAAAAAAAAAAACTGTCACGCTTGCTCTGTCGGGAATATGGGGGACAAACGAAGCTTGGCATATGCATGCCTGACGTCCCAGTTCTATTTTTTTCTTTCTATTGTATTGTGCAATGCTCCCGCCTGACATTTTTGTCTTCCGCATGCTGAGAACTGGACCTCCATCCATGTGCACGACAGTCATCTATTCATATCTAGGCAACAACGAAAGCGTAGGCAATGGGAAATGACAAGTCAACTCAACAAAACATCAGACTGCCATATCAGAGACAGCCCATTGCCGACAAGCCCACAATCTAAAGAGCATCAGCTATTCGAAAACGGCGCATGCAAATAGGCGTGGGACCACCGCTCCCTCGAAGGCCGCAATTCTAAATGGTCGTTAGAGCTAGGTTTTCTTGCGTACGATGCCAAGATGTGCGAGCTACAAAACCTTTGCTTAGAAAGGGCTGGCCGTCAGGCTAGTCTCGTACGAGAACAAACCAGCCGACCTACCTGTCCACACGGATCCCGACTCGACGTTCCGATGACACCACGAGCACGGCGACTGCTGGGAAGACGGCCATAGAGACGGCCATGACGTAAAGCGCGGACGCTGCCTGTGGCCAAACCTGCAAATTAAATTTTAAATATTGAGCGTTGTTTTATGTGCCAAAGGCCGGATATGATTGCCAGGCTCACGCAACGGGCAGTCCAGATCGATTTCGACCACCTGGGGTTTTCTGACGGGCACTGAAGTACACGGGCATTTTTGCATTTTTTCCCGTCAAAACACAGCCACTGCGGCTGGGAGCTGCACCTGTGACCTCAAACTGAGCAGTCCAACTCATTAGCCACTAAAAACCTGTGAACGGATATTTCCATGAAGAACGTTACAGTCTTACGGTCACTCGCTCAAAAACAGCATGTGCCAGATAATTCGCTTTCAGTTGTGCATTTTTCATATTTACAGACTGCTTTTAATTTAAACACTTTTTTTTGCAAGGCAGACAGTTACGACACTCGTTTAGGTGTGGTGGCCCCGTTAGGCTAGTAGGAACGTGTAGCAGCATTACTACTATACAAGTCTACGTACAAAACTCAGCAATGACAGCTCGCAGGGCACGGGGTTCGAAAGATTGACCCTCTTGGCTTGGTAAAATAGCCTCCAATTAATAATTTCAGTTCGCAGCAGTTTTGATGACCTCCACACACTCATTCAACAAATTAAAAGCGTCGTGCATTAGCAGAGGAGATATCCACGCTTGACGTAAAGCCCGAGTACCGTAATCTTTTGTGGCTGGGTGCCCATGCACTAATAGTAGTGCACAGGCTATGTAGTTGGCTAGCAGACAAGCACATTGACTGGAGTGGCCTAATACATCAGTGCAGGTCATCTGGCCAGTACACTCTACTGGGCTAGAAATATTACATTCCACTTTCATACGCCTTATCCTGTAAGCCTATTATGTAACACAGATATCCACAAATACAAGTGTTAGTGACTTACAAGGCTTAATTAGTTAATAAGACTAATTGAACTACATAATCTGCAGCACTGTTCTCGTGGTGTCCACTATGTGGCCATGGCCACATAGTGGACACCACGATAGTTAGTTAGAAAAAAACAGCGAGTCGTGACGTCCTGGCACTCTTGACCACGTCGACACACCGAGCCCGCCATCCCATTCCCAGCATAAGGAGAAAGAAAGCGGACGAAATGCGCAGTAACAGGACCTTTAAACACACTTGACAAGTCTGAACTTGTGCATGAACATGTTGAAATGTTTGAACAATGACACAGGGATGCATACCGACCTTCACGGTGAGTCAGGTGGGTGACCTCATTAAACCCAATTCAATAGGCTAACGGGATTGGAGTTCATGCACAGCCTCCAAAATGTGTGTCCAAAAGCGGATCTCTCGGGGCAGCATTCCTTGTTGCGAAACGCATTCGGTCTTTCTCGTTTGTGTCAGAAACTGTGAAAGCAGTGTGGCGTCAAAATGACGTTCCGAAAGAAAGATCAAGCCGGCGCTCTGCTCACCGAGCTCCAGCCAATCACTGAAGGCCCATGTGGCCATGTCCACCAAGTAGACACCACGAGAATTATTCCCCTCTCATGAGAACATAGGTCAACACCATCCTCGTATTTATATGCATATCAGCTGGAATATTATTTCTTATATCGTTTGCTTCATTTTACATATAGTGATATTCCATTTCACTACTTCTACATATGCAATGTTGACTACCATATGTCATTTTACATATTATCTTGTGCGACAGATTCCATATGCATTGCTGCGCATAATTTTGGGACATTTGTCTGTCTATTTTAAGTAGAGAACTGTAAATAAGTATTTTGTATTTGTGAATGCATAAGTTTTTTAATGGCCGTCGCAGCCCAAAAAAATGAAACGTTCCTGCGAAACTTTAGTGGTAATGAAGCACCAGTTTCCCGACAGAAAGCGTGCGTTATTTTACACAATGCTGCAAAATCACTAAAGCGTGAAAGAGCACAGCGTTACTCACCTTTCGTAATATTAGAGTAGTAGAGGCCTTGATCTCAAGGTCACTTTCTGTAATCAGATCTTGGATGCTCGCTGAAAAGTAAGACAGGAATTGCTTATTCGAACAAGACATTGCATGACAGAGAGTTCAATACTTTAGGGCATGTTTTCATACGTCCTTTCCAATTATTAAGTAGCGAAATTGAAAGCTAATAAAGCACTGCTTCATCAAGAAAGCATAGTGGTGTTCAAAAGTAGTTCTACCCCTCTTCCCTACTTTCATGAAGCGTAACCTGATTTATTCGAGTTTGATATAGTCTTGTCTGACTGTATGCAGCGATCAATGCCCCTGGAACTCAACAAGTCACGGATAAGCCAACCTTTAACTCACCTTCAGGGTTCTTCACGCAGTGCACAAAGAAGTCCTGCAGACAAACGAAAGGCATAAGCACAAAGTTTTTCAAGCCGGAATGCAATGCGAAGCCACATTTATTGTTTCATGCAGCGACACGGCACACATGCCCTAGCAGTTGAAATTCGCTATCGGAGGATGATGGAATGTACGCTCATGACACAAGAGATGATGCAACACCTGCTCATGATGAATTAGTATGATACAATGCATGGTCTTGATGTGACTACAATAACTACGATCAAGAAAGGATAGGCACACAAACTCGGACAAAAGAAAAAAGTTCCACAAATGCCGGCATTCGTGTTGTCCCAATTTCAGTCTTGCATCCGTACTTGCGAGCCTCCCTTCTTTTGATTACAAATTTTTATCAACTGGCTCAACTTTCTCTTGTTTTACTAATAATCACTCTCTCAGCACACACACTTTACAGAAGGCATGCCGGGAAATCAATCTCCACACCCAAAGGTGGTTACGCCCTCTTACGTAGACGATATCACCATTACGTATACAGTAACTGACCCAATCGTTAGTTATAACAGTGCCCCTAATGAAAGGGGTTAAATTTTTTGTAACTGCGCTCCCCAGACGGTTACAATGCACAGCCAAACCAATTCAACCAACACGGTTTCTGGTACGTGGTAATGAAATGGCTAAACATCCCACCGTGAAATCGGGTCTGGCTGCTTACCGAAGACAGCATGAACAAGAAGCACGCCAGGGCAGCCACGAAGACAAAGATGGCGAGGAGGAAATAGGCCAGTGCCGCAGTTGTGGGATCCGTGTGACCCAGCAGGCAGATGATTTGCATCACCGAAGCAAACAGGCCACCAACCGCCTGCAGGAAATAAATAAAACAGGCGGCTCTACGAACGAGGTTTTGAAGCGGGACACGTCAAAGGGCTTCAAGAACACGGAGTGCTTGAAAGATAAGTACATTCCAGAAGGTAAGAGAGATGAGAGCGAGATTCCTCTAAACAAGTATTTCCCAGGAGGCATGATAATAGCTTGTCCACTACTGAGCGAAAGCCTTCACTATTACCTAATGTCAAGTTGCGATTGCGAACTTTCCCATTGCATCCCCACACCTCACTCACTGCTGCCCTGACAGCGCCTCTTTCCCTCGGACACACATACTGTTGTTTTAGAAGATTTGATGTCGGACTGGAATATGAGCTAGCCCAATTAGGTCTCTAATCCGCACCGCCAAACCTCCTGCCCCTCTACGCTACACGAGACATTTGTTCTTTCATCACTTGACAGTGGGGTACACATCTCAGACTATAGTAAGAGGGGTAAAAAATTAGGCGAAACGTACAAGCGATAAAGGAGAGAGGTCTTGTTGTTTCCTTCCCTCGTCTCATAGCGAAATCACTAGCACCCAGACGAAGTAGACTCAAACCTTGGTATATAACTAGCTATTGGTTGTAATGAAGTAAATAAAGAATAGTCTTGCAATAGATGCAGCGTTAGGAATATACCTTTATAATGAATTTTTGCTTATGACAAACTAACTTTGATGTAATATGCAAATTTGTTATAATGCAGCTTAACTGCATTTCTTTTCTTTTTTTAAGACCCTGGCCTTCGGTCTGATACGTTATAGAAGTGGTAGCCACCATACTCCCAGTGAGGAATGAACTCAACACAAGTAGACAGACTAAACTGAAGCTGAATGCCACAGAGCACTGACCGCCTGACAAGCTGTCAACATTGGTGGGGATGGATGCAGGGGAGCGAAATCGAGGGATAAGAGAACACCAATTAACGTGAGTACTATATAAAACACAGCGTCTATGTTGGGGTGCGTCTACAGATTGGTTGAAGGGTCTCTACCTCAAGAGACTTTGTCCAAGGCCTAGCACACTGCTACTGTTAAACAGTAAAGCCTATGTGCAACAAATTATTATTTAACAAAGCAAATGTAGAATAGCCTTGCCATCAACACATTATCAAGAATATACTGCATTTTTCTGCCTATGACCCCCTCTTTTGTCTTCAACTAAAAAAAACATGCACATGACCTTGCATACCACTCGCACCTTCTTCACTGTTTAAGCACATTTTCCCACTTTCTGGTGTGGGTTATATGGGAGAAAATATGGTACATTGGTAATGAACATTTTGATTACGTCATGTGGTGCGACTTCGCTATGATGAGGTTTGATTGATGATAGAGAGCACGTAGGTTACGAGGCCCGACTGTCAAGTCGTATTTTTTATCAACGAACACAAGCCGTTCAAACTGGGATTGGGGTCACTGCAAGCATACCAGAGAAAAACTCCTTCAATGCAAAACACTGCTACAAGAAATTTAGGAAACTCCGTGATACCAAACATACCATTCCAATGACCAGACTGTGCATGTAATCCGAGGGCAACAGTGCTGCCAGTCCGATGATTCCTCCTTGAAGCCACGACACGAAAGCTATGGAGAGAAAAAAAAGATGAGTCATCGGAGCAAGTGCAATATAAACGAAGAAGGGAACGAATTGTGTGGACCGTTATTTTGCCAGATGCAACCTAACGAACTCAATATTAGGTTATTGAAAATAATCAAGCCAGCATTAGGTTAGCAAAGATTCATGAAGAAACCACCACAATATAATTGATAATGAAGCCATGGAAAGCATAGGGGGGAGATACATTATTAGCAGATTTTATTAAATGGGAAGAATTATGACATAAAGAGAAATCGATTAGTGTGGATGAGAAAACAGCTCCTACTGATGGGGACATTATAATTGCATCATTGGCAGGGCACTGGACCCGCCACTTGAAGGTTATGCATTTGCAGTACGTAACTGGCTGATGAGCCGGAGTCACATGACATGGTCAGTGACACCGCGAGGAGCGTGCGTGGTTACCAATTAAAGTGGGCCTTTCACAAGAGAACAGCATGCCCTTTATCTGCAACTTTGAACACTTCTGCATAACACAGCTGTTTCATACTCTGCAGGCACAATCGCCACCAAGCGATCTACGAATCAAGTTTGTCGGTTTGAAATTCCCAAATCCTGGGTGAGGAAAGAGACAAACGGGTTCAGTAGAGGGCTTTTAAGAAGGCTTCAATGCCGTAGAAAACTCATTCTTGACCTGCTGGTTGACCAGGCAGAAAAAACAGAATGTGTACTGAGGAATCGAGTCGCGCTTAAATGTCGCAACTTCTTCGTCTAAAGTTGCAACAGTAAGGGGCCCTTCAAAGCGTTACACATTTGCTCTAACATGAGAGATAGCTTATCAGAACCGGGAAGAAAACAATTGCTGATAAGGACAAACATGCCTCTGTTTTTTATCTACCCCCCCCCCCCCCCAACATGCGGATCAAACATGCGTGTCAGTGCCGGCCATACACATACATACAAGGCACAGTGACGATACTCACCATTCAGGAGTGATATGAGGACGACTGTGAGAACTGAAGAATCCAACTTGCCCTGAAATAGGAAACGCAATCACATTGTGAAGAAAATTAAGAGAAAACAAGACGATATTGCAGTCTACGTATAAGTTAGAGCATCTTTAGATTGAGATAGATTGAAAATGTGATCGCTGATATGACAGCAAGTAGCCTACATTAGACAACATTACTTTTCGTTCTGTTAACAACACAAGTACCAAAGTTCAAGTTGTCTGAAAAGTGCAATAACAAACAACTTTTTTTAGTTTCACTCAATTCTTTTTCTTCCACGAAGTCAGCCCTCGTGTTAGAATCGTGGCGATGTTACAATCGGGTAACTACAGTATATTTGCGAACATTTTGAAAAGGCTTGAAGGTATGCACTGGCACTAAACAACGTACGGTGTTATCAACTATAATTTCAAGCAACAAAGCTTGCGAAAAGGATGCATGAAAATTTTGTCTGTAATAGAAATGCCTTCAGTGGTAAAATTAAAAGTAAACAGAAAATAGAAATGACAGAATGTAACAGACTTAAAAAAACAATGTTTTCATGAGATTCCAACACAGGATCTTTTAAAGAGAAGTTAATACTATAATCATCACACGATGGACGATGCTTCTTTTTGTCCTCATTGACGAATAGACAGATTAATCAGCCACCCTCAAGATATTCCCACGTGCAAGCTAGTATGGCGACAGTGTTTTTATTTTTCATAAATGCGTAGACACCACACGTTCGATGCCACATATGCACCCGTATATCGTGTTGCGAAAATTTTGGCAATGTTTCGCTAGTCATTCACACAGCCATAGATGATGCAGCAGTACTGTTGTATATGTTTCTGTTCTTGTTTTTTTTTTTTCTTTTAAGGAGGAACGTGGCAATGGAAACTATTTTTGTTATTTATGACGAGAAAGAGATAAAACTTGGCATGCAGATGTCACTTATCGTGCTGATATTACAACTTAAATCTATTTTGAGCCATCTAATGTAGTTTTTTAGTTTTGATAAACTCTTCATGTTATCCCAAAATTATTTAATTAATTAGACATAAGTTTATCAAATTTTTTTAATAAGGATATTCACAAAAGCCCATTCCATGCTGTAATGCTATTGGTTTATTTTTAATATTTAAGTGAGCACACAAAAATATTTTTGAAATGTCCTGGGCACATTATTTTTACTAACAACTTTTACAAAAAGCCAATTAAAATGATCTGTAAGATGTCGACACAAATATGGACAGCTTTACGGCACTCACCGATGTCTCAGGATCTAATTGCAGAAAACAGAATGGCTATATATCTTCATTTGTTGCAAAATGGCACAGGAATGACTGACAGCAACTGCTCAAAAAATGAAAGCTGAGAAAATGAAGCTCAAAGAGATCGGAACTAGAAGCTAAGAATACGGAACTCAGAAGAAGGTGGCTTTATTTTTCATTGAAGAAATGCGGCTTTGTAGCTATCTTGATCTCCGATCTGTCCTCTTTACAATGATGCCAATATAGTAGCACTGCACTAAGAGAAAGCTGCCAATTTGCATTTTCTAAAGTGCAATTTTGTCATAGCTTTTGACAATAGCTCACCAGTAAAATGCTTTTTTTTTTCATTTTATACTACTTATTTTGGTCTGATTTTTCACCATAATGTAAAACATGATCTCACAATTGCAAAAAAAAAATTCAGAAATTGAACATTTTGACCAAATGTACCATTGCCATTGCCACGTCCCCCCTTAAACAAGCATTACATTGTCCTATGGCGCTGATGATAAAGAAAGCAAATACTTTAAAGCTGGTAAAGATGAAACTATTGGGGAAACCTGTGACCAAGGAATTCTGGGGCAAAAGTTCTAGGCACCTGTGCCCAGAACATTCCAACTGAAAGAAAATCTACGCACAGAGTCATCAGCCATCTGCGAAACCGATGGCTAGCAGAACGCATCGTCTTCTGTACGCGAGTGACATAAAATTTCAGGGTTATTACTGAGCCTCCACCGAGCGGCGGTAACAGCGTTTGCGAGTGAATCCCAATCACAAAAAGAAAAAGCAATAACCAAGCATGGCAATATGTTGGACTGCCCAATACAGGCTACATTCATTTCTCAATACTTTTGCGCACACAAAGAAAAAAAAGAAACAGAAACACACGTGCATATACACAGAAAGAGAGAGGTTTAATATTCTGAACCGGACAGACTTCTTGAAAATGAACATGCACCCGATCAACAAGATGAACGGTCCAGGTACTTGTGTAGTGGCCAGTATAGTGGCCTTCATGAGAAAAAGCCCTGCCCTCTGAACTACTCTGAATAAAGCTAGTCCATCGGGATCAACGTTTGTAAACGAATTGTTACAGTTGTTTATCACGTGCACGTTCACATTCAAAAATGTAAATATATGTTCTACAGCCTTCAATGACTTGAGTGTTACAAGACATCCTTCTAAGAACAACTATCATATCTGTAGCCTTCGGTGACCTAGGTGTTACAAGACACTCTTCTAACAACTATCTCATACTGCAATAAATTGAGAAATCGATGTGCAAAACAAATCTGACCGATGTTTATGTGAAGTCAAAGCCGCTGTACTACCTGGAAAAAGCAATGAAATCAAAGCGAAAATTATAAGTTGTGCGCATAAAGCGAAGCTTCAAAAAGAGGGTCTTACAACTGTCAGTGTTGATCTTCACAAACGCAGTCACTATTGCGAAGAAGGTGATGCACAGAACAAACCCCATAATATTCCGAACGTCCTGCCCGATTCTGAAAAAAAGAAAGGGGAAAAAAATAGAGAGGAATTGTTAATTGTTACTTGAAAGACACTCAACTCGAAAGCTCCCCTATTTTCAGCTTGTACTAAAGTAAATACGGTATGCTAACACTTTTCATTTCTATGAAAATGAGCAAATGCTGCGATATACACTGTCGTCCTTAATGAAAGAGAACACAGAGCACATGGCCTGCGCTCTGCGGCGGCTGCCAACAGGGCCATCATCAACCGACAGCAAAAGAGAGAGGGAGAAATATTTGCGACCAAGAGAGGAATGTCGGTGAGTGGGATCCTAATCCCCGATCCCATTGGCACGGGACGCTGTCCTCACTCGTCTTACAAGGGTCTCTTGGGTCTTCGGATCCGAGCTGGACAGAGCTGCCTCCCACCTTTTAGTGTTGTGTTGTGGTCTGGGTTGTAGAGATGGACGTTCGCTTTGGGCGCCATCTATTGGCAAACAAAACAATGAGTTATGGCTCCTGAACAAGCACTGCAAGATACTGTAGGCAGCCGTTGTAGAGAGAAGGCCACGCGATCGCGTGTTCCCTTTCATAAAGAACGACAGCGTACGCCTGTCCACAAGTTCAGCAAATCTAGGGAGTAGGAGAAAGAAACAGATGGAAAGACAGAAAGAAATCCTTCTGTCTTTTAATATGTTTTATTGAGGTTTGTGGTTAATGGAATGGGTTATGCACAAGAAAATACGGTACCGATATGCCTCTATGCCATAGCTTTCTACACTAGGCCAAAGCAGCCACAAAAGAGGGTTCAATGCTTCACCTGTGATTAAAAAGTGTTCCCAGGTAGACAGCTATGAGCGAAGGAAACGAGCTGGCCACTGAGAAAGCACCGAATAGATGCGCTTGCAGCTCTGTCTTGTTTGTGAACGTGTAGTCGTACGGCAGGGACACGTTCCTGAACTTGTACATCCAAAACTGCAAGGAACAAAAACAAAGAAGAAGAAGCGTGGAGCAGGCAGTCAGTAGAGTGATGATTGGGGCTAGTTAGTTCGTGTCTAAGTCTTCGTTATGCGCTGTTTTAGATAAATAGTTCTTTGTCTCACTTACTTCTGTTCAGTCTTCTTCATCGGTATTGTTTTTTAAAATGGCACATAATCAAGACGTAATCAGTAGACCACAGCACAAGGCACCCCGCTACATCAAATGACGCTAAAAGAGTGAGAAAAGTGCTACTTGCCTGCAAATTTTAAATATATAACCCCTTCCAACGACTTTCAGCAATTTGACTTTTGATGTGCACCATGCGACAAATTTTTCTGGAGCACAATATCTACAATTCCTGCATTTCCCAGGAATATATAATTCTATTGATATGTAAGGTGAAACGCCATAGAAGCTAGCAAGACTTCTCGCAGTAGGTGTGCTTGCACCAAGAAATAGTTCAATGATTTCAACAATTCTAATTTGACTTTTTCTATCCATTTTTAGACAGGAATAAATAAAGATGCTTTGTGCCTTGGAAATAAATGAACCCCGTTATTTATATGCCTGTCAGCAGATTGTTCTGGATCTCTAAGCATCTCTGTTTTCATGTGTAGCCCTTGCAATCAGTTCTCAAAGCGCACAGCCAAAGCCGATCGCGGAGGCCCCATCTACAACAACAAAATCCAGGCGCGAGACACACGGGCTGGCACATTTCGTTGGTAAAGCTTCTTTTATAGATTGCACAAAGTTGCCCCTGATGCATGAAATAGATCTTGATCTAGTTAAAGGTTTAAGCCAATAGCAGCCTTTACAGCCAACACGGTTATCCATCAAGTTGGAAAAAGTAGAAATTCACAGTTAACAAACTGAAAGAGCAGTAATTCAAAGTTCACACAGGGCTTACGTCTCAAAAACTTTTGTTGCCAACAGATGCTTCCACTGTCTTCATCAGGTTATTATGGATGTGCTGAGGAAGAGGCCCTCACAATTCGTAAATGCTTTACATAACTTCACAAAGGCACAGTCTCTGTGAGGGAACTAAGTAATTAAAAAAATTCACTTCTTCACGTGCTCTATATACTGGGAACGTCAAGAAAGCTCGAATTTATTTTTGACCTTTTCTTTCTTTCTATTTTGGGCTGTCAAGTTAGATATGAAGTTCCCTCACAAGGAAAGTCTTTACGCAAGTGTATGCCATTTATTTGTACAGCCAGTTTGAGAGATTAACAGAAATTACAGGACACACACGGGCAAATGAAGATGAGTACTCATTTTTTTATATATGTACGGGTGTTTTTGCTCGTACTTATTCTATCAATCTTTTTTCCTCTGCATGTAAGCATCTTTTGTGCGCAGTAATTTCCAACTTTAGCTATTTAAGACAAACCAGCTCTGCTTTTCGTCTTTAAAAAGTGTGTTTCTCGCACAATTCGCGAAAGAAGGATGCGTGAACAAATAATGTGTGAAAAAATGACTCACATCGCTAGCGTTCGTTGTGAAGTTCCAGGGTAGCATGAGAACGACTCCCAATAAAAGGAAGACATTTTTTACAAAGTAATATCTGAAAAGAAAACAGGACAGAAAACAAATTGACGCGTTTGTACATTACTACACATTTCAGAATCAGAACAAAGTCACGCGTTACGTGATCAGTCGCTGAAACAGAAACACTGGACGAAGCCAAATAAGTGTTTTTTAATGAGTCACGTAGAACAGAGGCACAGACTATGTACATCATGCGAGTTATGATAAAAATTTTTTCCTTATTTTTGCAGCCTATAGAGCACAGATTACTGAGAGTACTGAACTGCTGATGCACATCACTAAAGTATTGAAGCAGTTCAGAACAAGGTGGTAGAACACGGTGGTTGAACACACCGTACTTAGAGTACCGAACTGTTGACGCTGTAGTGAGGTCTAAGTGAATTTTCCCAGACAAAGCGGGAATACGGCTTTTTGGACAATTTTGTGTCCTGAAAACTTCTGCTGCAGAGTATACATATTTATTCCTTCTCCACTGTTGCTGCAGTCCAGCAAGCATTGCAGCATGTATGAATAAATAAAACAGAAAACATTTTCCTGAAGCTATCGATGCCATGCATATAGCACTTCCTGTCCCACAACACTCTTCTAGCATGCAAATACCCAGCAAAAAAAAAAAAATGAGCTCAATGAGCCCGAATGAAATTCAGCGCATGCAATATCCCCTACACAAATTCTGACTTGACAGAATTACTTGCCAATGGAGTACAGATCTATTCTTGAACTGCTGCGATAACTTCTAAAAATTATTGATATTTTTAGCAAAGTTTTGATAGGGAGCTGTGCGATTAGTATGCCACGATTTAGGGCAGTGCTTTCAATCTTTCGCACAACGAGAGCAATATATTTCAGTACTTTGGTTTACTTTTTCATTTTTTACGCTTAATTTTGTTATGCCGTGTGGGTGCCTTTTCACCTCTTATGCGACAGCTGTAGAGCTGTAGACAAGGCATAAACATGTAAATAATAAACGAATGAAAATGGACAAATGATACAAAACTACTAGGGGATTGATGTTGCATTTGGGATATGTCTCAGCTAGGCGGAATGCTCGACTAAGATGTCTGGAGTTGCGCGAGGCTCTACCGGATTCACAAGATGTTTGCATGAAGCGAGCAATTGTGTCGGCTATGAGAGGTCGCACATGATGGCAGGAAACGATACGTCCCGGTCCGTTACAACCCTGGACTTATCTCGGAAGCTGTGCAGTATGGGATAAACTGCCGTGGCTGTCGCTTTTACGAGCGACTTGTTGCCAAGCAACTTAACACATGTGAAGAGAAGCAGTAAAGATTAACTACCTTTTCTTTTGCGCATTCTGGAAACGGGAAGTAGAGCAGGTGAACAATCTCTTTCTTTCCGTAAGAACGTTGCTACGACGCAGATGGCCACAAAGTGACTGACCCGATTACAGAGTGAATATAATGTATTTGAATAAAAATCTACATTACATATAAAAGAGTGGTAAACGAAAATTTTTCTTGTTCTTGTGCCTACAGTTTTGTACTTACAAATGCTACTACTGACATTTTAAAAAAATTTTAAATGCCACTTTTCTCATTTGCTTCATTATATCGTATTCATTAGGTAATACGACAACGTATTAAAAGTAAGCTTATCCATGATCCATTGTATGTTGAGCAGATGCTGAGAAATAAAGCACAAGTGATTATTCAGGCAACAGGGTTATCTTGGGCAACCATTTCTTTGGGACCATTTATACTTGCCACAGGAAAGCATTGTCAAATGAGGAAAAGGGGGAAAAAAATGAACGACAGAGCACCAAGTGTAACAGCTTTACACACAACCTTAGACATCTTTTGATGAACAGTGCACACGCAGTGTCCGACTCCAACGACAAAATGGGTGCTTGTAACAAATTGATCTGTTCGATCACCATTCATTGACTTCCGCTTTGCACCAACCTCAGCGCCTGTTCATTTCTGAAGATATCCCAGATTGGTCAACGATGTAGCACATCTGTTGCAGTGACTGACCACTCTCACTACTCGTTGCCATTGTTGATGTCGTGCGTGCTGGCCGAAGAACGTTGCTACGTCACACTAAAGTTGCGTTTCGCCATGCCAGTAACATCGCGCAGCGTGAAATGTAGACGACTGATCACTGAGACGATTAAGCTACTTGCTGCACGTTGCTACACCACGCCAACCACGCTCTCACTACGTTGCAATTCAACGGGTCGTTAACTTGCACAGCACGAAATGAAAGAGTGAGACAATTCGCGCTGCTCACCTGTCAACAGGAACACAAACTGGCGCTTGACGCTGGAACAACCAGCAACGGATCGTCCACGCTGCTGTCAACGTCATCGGCAGCTCGTAGGGTCACACTTCGATACTGCGATCGCGTCGTTTGCGGCACAACGCCTTCGCGAGCCACAGGCACCCTGTCTCCGTCCCTGAACCGAAGGTGCAGCACGGAAATTGCGACCGTACGCTGGTGAATCCATGACTTCTCAGCACCAGAAGACGAACAGCTGTACGTCACAGACCGTGGGCTTAACGCATTCCGCAATCCCAGCGACATGCGCTACATCGCCGGGACGTTACAAATGACTCACAGCCTCCTGCACTAAGCGCTGCGACGAACACGACCGCCTGTCAGGCGAGGAGAAATGAAACAGCTTTTGTAGCAGGCAGCATGTGATTACGTCAGGCGCTCACCCCGCGGGGCACGGCAAGGCGTCGACCTTGCCGCTTGTTTGTGGCGAGAAGCATGACGGAGTTTTCAACGCGTCCCGCAGTTTCTATGGGGATGAGCAGAAGATATTGTGACGTAAATGTCACGTGACGCTAAAAGCCACCACGTACCAAACATTTGGAAGGTGTGGCAGCGTGACAGCAGCGGGGCAATAATGATAAGCGCGATGTCACGACGTGGTAGTGTACAAATCGTAAAGTTCTGGGCACAGGTTGGCGGACGAACGCTAAACCTCAATTCGCGCGGCGTCTACCACGGCGCCTGTGTACTAAAAACCGACCACCTTGTTTTCCTGTATCGAAACATTTGGCGATTACGGGCTGAATATAACGTATTGTAAACGCCTGGTCTACTGGAATGACCCTTGTGTGAATAAACGTCAAATTTTGGTCGTCAGGTTTACTTTGCGTCTCTCCCCAAGCGCATCTAGATAAAGCTATAGTGCCAATCCTAAGTATATTCCTCATCCCTTCGGGATCCTCATCAGATCGCATCAAACAATGAAACCAAATCTGTACAAAAACCTTCTTTCATTTTGGCTAACTATCGCTGCACAAGAGTACCAGTCAAATACCATTACCTCTCCACAGAAGGGAGCCGTGCATTTTTCTTTTTCGAAAATTCTGTTAACATGATAAGCATCTTTCCTCTCTCTGGATCCACCCTGCACCTTAGTATTCAGCTAGTCTTGATCAGGTGCACAAAGTTAATGTATTCCTCGATAGATTGTATGTAATAATCTACTTACATCATTAGACGGCATCAGCAACCTCCCCCTCGTTTCGAAAATGCACTACGTTCGGTTAGAACCTAAAAAGTGTCCAGCTCCTGTCCATAACCTTGAGTGCGTCTCCCACAGAGTTTGCACAAATGCGCCACCTAGTATTGCCCATACATTATCATGACATCAAGCACTGCTTGAATGTTTAAGGTGGTGGACTTTCCCATAAAGATGCACATTTGTGCTGCTGGTTTTAGGTTGATGCAACATTAATTAAAACCAACATACAAGGGAAGAATAGGCTATGTTATTTGTAGTAATTATGTAGTAAATGTGAAGAAAGTGAAGTGGATGAAAAGGTAACTTGCCGCTGGCATGGCTCACCTGCCTTTCACATGGAGCCATGGTACTGTAGGTAAAGCTCACGTCGTTTTGAGTTCTAACCAAGCGGTCAAACCCTTTAACGATAGACACTGATGTAAGAAACAAATGGGTGTAAGAGACAGCAGTGTGTCTACATTGAAGTGGGTATTGATAACAAAATGCATACTTGGTACTTTACTTAAGACATCTTATATAAAAGATAATTACTACCCAGGGAATCTCTCTTATACAGGGTTTCAACCTTATTGTCAACATGAAACAAGAAATGGTACTAAATGGTACAATTACACATATATACTTACACAGAGACACTCCCGGTTTAGTGGTGTGTATTCGTGCACATTTAATAATAGTGTTTACGTTGCTCCTTTAGTAAAATGCACTCTCTCTGCATTTAATTACTGGTATTATGTAGTGCTTCTCTTTGCACAACTAATTCTGTATTTTCTACTCTTTCATGGTACTCTAAACTTCTTTCTCTAAAACATATAAACTGTACCTCGAGGGTCCCAAAAATACATAAAACCAAACAACTTAGCATTTCCAAGACACAGTGGAAATAAGTGCTAGCACCAGCTGTAATGTCGTGAATTGACGTACAAGAGCAAACAAGCTATTAATGAAAGCAAGCATAACACCCCATTCACAGCAAGAAGAGCACCGACACGACTCATTCCGGTGATGTAAGAGCCACCTTGAGAATAGGCAGGAAACTGGACACCGCTGGTAAAAGTCCGAATCTGGTTTTATTTGGTAGTAATCACCGCCTCTCAATATAACTTGAGCCGGCACGTATGGACATCTGGCTTCAATAGTATAGTACAACATTTTTCACAGTTATAATGCAAAAAAGAAAACAAATGGCTAGATCGGAAGCGTGCAAATAAAGTTGGGACTTGCAGCATGCCCCGTCTCTTGCTGCGTGCGTCTTCAGTTTTTTCCTCGCACTGCTTCACGTACGAGCAAATGTATTGTGAATTCAGTGCAGTGAAACAAAGCTATAGTGCAATGGCTATTTCCAAGAATATGTGTGAATGCTTCAGGATTTTCTTTAGAATCGGCAACAGCATGCCGGAGAAATTAGTAAGAAACTATCAGCACTCACTATATACATGTTTCACGTAGCAAATTTTAACAGCAATATTCATTGATTCCCCGGAGGTTGCCCCCAAGAAAGAACTGTCCCAGGTGACCAGAGGTCTATCTTGATCTTATCTTGTCGGTAATACGCCACTTTCTCTGTTCATGTAAGCTGATACTGCAAGATGGTCTGATTCGTGTTTGATCCCTTACAAGCCATGCTGTGGCTGTGACCATGACAATACTAGTTTTTTTTTTAAGTAAACACTGTCGAGTGAAGTTACTGCCAGAGGTTGCAGGGCCTGTGCACTGAAATTCAGTTGTGGTCTCGTCCGTACTTGTCATCACCTCGCTGAACAACCAGTTGGCTAGAGTGTGCTTCCACAACAAGGTCGCTTCCTTGCATTGCGTCGCTCACAGGTGACACAACCGACTGTGACTAAGCTCAATTAAGATTGAAAGTGTCCCATGTGGCCAAGGTACAACGTACAACATTGTCGCAAGGCTACTTCGGAGTAGTCAAAAAAGAGAGTTGGGAAACAAGCTTTTGATACACTTCCCTACTTAACTACATCCGCCACTCACAACACTTGTTACAGTAACGTTTCATTGATTTTTCCTTTTCAACAATCCTTATCTAACGCAGTTTGAGGGCAACAAACAACAGACTGCCCCATGCTGTTACAGAGCTAAAGTAACAGTTAAGTGTGCATAAACACCCAGGAAAGAAAACAGTGCAACACTGAGTGTGACGCGGTACATCTGGACAACTCGATCTGCTAACACGAACTCAAGAGACGCACTCTGCAGCTCGTGAAACAAACCTAACTCTCAACCAAGCTTCAAAATATATTGAGCAAACTACAATAACTCGGCCTTTCTAACTCGCAAAACATAGCATTTATTGAGCCTGTGTAGCAGCAATTTCGACTGTATCAGTAGTACCGTGCGGGTCTAACACTTTGCACAACATCAACAGAAATCTTTTGACAATCTTTTCAATCACTCGGTGATTCAGACTGATGTGCCACTAAGTCATATAGCGTTGCGCTAGCAGTGAAATCACAATTAAGTGACACAAGATATGCGGTATGAATTACAGACATTTTTCATAATTTATGCCTTCAATATAGGTGCTAAAAAAAACGTCAGGAGCTTCACAAGGTGACGTTTATCGTTGACGCAATTTAACGCTTATCAATGACCTTTAGGGAGCGGAGAGATTTGTGAAACACAAAAAAGAGAAACAGATTACAAAATGTTTTCCAAGTCTATAGTACAAATCATCTCTAAGCAGATGTCTGCACCAAGCATCTTGATTTCCAGGCATGATGGGGACTTATTCCAATCAGTGTTCCAAGATTCTGCGATGGTCGGCGACGGGTGTGGCCTGGAGGTGCCGGTGTTGACGCTTACTCGACGTCATCTTCAACCAGTGGTGGTCCTCCAGCACTGTCTGCTAGGCGCTGCATGCCAAGGAAAGTAGGGCGTACAAGTGAGAAAAAAATTTAAAACAGCTTGAACCAAATAATATAATACTGGGTCACATCTGAGACAACTAGCACGTCCTGGTTTGGCTAGGCTTCGTAGAAATCGGCGCCACGCACCGGTTGTCGTGGTCTCGCTGCGCGTTGTCTCGGCTAGCGAGATCGGCGTGACCTAGTCACGAGCGCACCGGGACGTTCTCTCTCTCCCCAGGCAGCACACAGAAAACACAGCGTTTTTCAACCTGTCCGACATCCGCTGGGGAATCACCAACTCTAGCCTGCCCGAACGCCTAACAGCTTTATTGGGCGTGTTTACCATTGCAATGGCTATGGTTTTGTATTAAAAGCCAAAGAGCGGTGCCTAGTGCTCGTGCAGGGTTGCACAACACTGTGTCACACTTGCCAGTGGCCCACATGTACAGATATTTGTCCTAGTTGTCGATACCAGGCCCAGTGGTCATTGCGAGAGTGCGAGGGGCCATTTTTAAAGCTGCGCATCAAAGCTCACCATTGCCAGCTGCAACATGCTCTCAGTTCGCCCCCTTTTTTTTGTATGTTCGTCGCGTGCGGGAGCCCTTTGCTGCCCGCATCCCGGGAGCGGACGTTGTACTGTGTTTGGGGTGCCACCAAAAGCAATGAAGTGTTTGTGTGTGTGTTAAACAGTTTCGCTGTGCTGTGCTGAACGCTTTGCTAGTTGAGCACGCGCGGAGCGATACACTATATGTGTGCAGGACACGGTATACATTGCCCTGTGGCTCAGTAAGCCTAAACTCGCCGTGGTCTCAACTACAATGAGGACCGTGATTACCACAATGTACAGCAACCCACCTAACAAAGTGTTCCAAGACTCTAACAGAGCCTCATAGGCGGCTTTGCCGCAGTACGAGAGTGTGATGGGGTGAAGCATATTGAAAAACGTATCTGAAGGGACCACTGCCACTTGGTCATTGACTTCAGGAAGCTTGAATAGAAAAATTTCGGGGTGGATTTAATGGAATAATTGCACATTACTAAACAAATTACCAAGCGCTGTGAAATAACGTAGTGCAAATTCGATATCTAAATGTTGGTTCCATCCGCACTTTCACAAATGTTTTCTCTTGTGTAAATTTGGAACATATGCAGTAAACTCTCAACAAAGGGAAATCTGTTGAACTAAACTGTTGCTTAAATGAAACAAGTGCCTATCGCACAATTGTCTCTACCCTTATTCATCTTTCAGTAAACAGAACTCCCGTTAAACAAAACACATTTACTTGGTCCCTTCAGGTTCCGTTTAACGAGTCTGCTGTAGAAACAGTTCTTCATAAGTTGTGCCTGAGAGGGTTGATGTTATGCCTACGATCTTCATTTCCATTGCATGCCAAATAACATTAGAAAAAAAACTTTTTTTTTTCGGTCGATACTGTAGATTTATCGCACAGTGCAGGGCCAGTGTAAAATTCCGAAGTAGAATCGACAATTTGCCAGGACCAAATCGATTAGATGCAAACTGCAGGTGACTGCAGAACAAGGGGACGCATAGTCGATGTTCCCTGGTACATAGCAGTCATTACACTCAAAGTTTCGATGTCATTCTTCATTCCACGAGCCCGAATGTGTGATTGCCACGTCATCACTGACCTGCGAGACGACGGGCAGGCGCTGCAGGAGTAGGTGGAACACCTGGGGAGGCAGGGTCTGCTGCAGAACCTGCAGCAGCTGCTGGGGCTGGCCGCAGACAGCCACCGCACTGCTCAGATGCTCCACGCCGTTCTCGATGTCGCCTGCACAAAGGTGGAAGGAACACACCACACATTGAAGACTGTGACAACTTGAAAGCGGTACCCCACCTGACATACCGTCAGTCACTTCTGCCACACTCCGAAAGCGTTGAAGGGGTCATAAAGCAAATCTCAAGCTTTGCGAGAAAATACGCTAACGCTGAGCAGAACATGCAACACAGTTGTAGCGAGAGCAGTAACAGAGGCCTCTCTAGAGCTTGTTATGAACTCTTTTGGAGCAACTAATACAAGTATGCTTGCATGGTATTCGCTATGCTATAAATCATAATTTTCCACTATGCCATAAATTATAAGCACAGACACCTGTGCTCACTCTCTGCAGCATCAGCATTAGCCTGACTATGCCCACAGCAGAGCAAAGGCCTCTCCCATGGTCCAGTCAACCCAGTGTTTCTGCTGTCCCGTTATATCTGTGAACTTTTTAATCTCATCAGCCCACCTAACTTTCTGTCTCTCCCTTGAGCATTTGCCTTCTCTGAGAATCCAGTCAGTTACCCTTAATGACCAGTGGTAATCCTGCCTATCCGCTACGTGCCCGGCCCATGTCTATTTCCTCTTATTGATTTCAACTGTCATATCCTTAAAGGGCCACTCACCAGGTCGCATACCAAATTTTAGTTAGACAGTGGAAGTTGTTGGGTGTCCGATGAGGAACATTTTGCCACAAAAATTTTTTTGAATCGGTTATTCAATAGGTTTTTTGAAGCGGCGCGAAACGACGATGAGGAGGCGAGCTCGCAACCCTTGCCGCTCCTCCTCGTAGCCTTCGCAAGCCAAATCTCTTCCCCACCCTCTCAGGCATCCGACCAAGAGGTGACGTGCGCAGGACGTGCCCAAACAAGTCCAGCCCCCGAGCACGCGAACGACGTTGCTTTGTTGACCAGCGATATTTGTGGTCTTCTGCCTGTTTCTGCGGGATCGTTTGGAAACGCTGGCTTAGACGCGGTAGAATAGATGAGCACAATGAGTGCGCGAACGAGCAGGAGCGTTCTACGGCGGTCGTCTGCTCCATGCGCTGACCGCGGGGACACGAACGCATGCGAAACGCTGACACATTAGCACCGCATCTCGTTGCAATTCGCAGGAGAAAAATGCAAAAAAGACGCTCACATTCCCTTATTGTGTCTCATTATTTAACTAGAGTTTTATTGATTTTTTAAGCAACAAATCACATAAACTACGCATGCCATGTTAAATCATTTTTGCCATATCACGTGCCACTGTCTGCAACCTCAGAGCAGAGTCGTCTACGTAGAGGACCAACGTCACTGCATTGCCGTGTACGTAGGGCCATTTATACGCGCACCTCATGCCGTCATTCTCTAGGCGCGTGCCAGCAGAGGGGAGGGGGAGCAGCATTCATTTTGAAATTTGACCCGTTTCTGGAGCGCGTAGCGTTGCAAATTTAGGCAGACGTGATCATGAACGCCTCGTCTACGCATTGCGCTTGTCAGCTCAAAATTGTCAAACCTGGTGAGTGGCCCTTTAACCTTGGTTTGTTCCTTGACCCACTATGCTCTCTTCTTGTCTCTTAAGGTTGCACCCATCATTTTCCTTTCCATCACTCGCTGCATCGTCCTCAATTCAAGCTGAACCCTCTTCCTAAGCCTCCAGGTTTCTACTCCGCAAGATGCAGCTGTCATATACCTTTTTCTTGAGGGTCAGTGGTAGATTCCCATTCATGACTTGAGAATGCTTGCTGAATGTGATCCACCCCAGCCTTATTCTTCTAGTTGCACCATTTTCATGGTTTGGCTGTTCCTAGTACACCGGAGCAGCCACTACAATTTTTTTATTAAATGACATTTAATTATTGTCATAATTATGTCAATAACTCAAGTGAATATGGTGTAGCAAGGTTTCATTTGAACATGCCTATACATTCCTCATTAACACTTTGATAATTACATGAGTGCTTGTCATGTTATAAATGCTATTACTAATTAATTAAACCTTATTAATGCAAAACTAGTGGTGGCTACTCCAGTCCACTAGGAACAATATGTACTAGGTTTGCTTCACGTAATGTCGGCCTTCCTTTTTGAATTCATGCTGCATGATAGTTGGAAAACCCTGTATAGTCTAGAAACTAAATGTAGCTAGCCTCGATTCACTTTTTTTTTTGGTGGGCAACAACGATGCGGACATGGACAGAAAAAAGACACGAGCACCAACTGTTGACTGACTTCCATTTGTGAGTCGGACACACATGTTGTAACACGTCATCAGAGGAAAGAAGAAACTTCAAATATGTGTTTGAATAGATGAAGCCTTTGTTGCTCTTTTTTTTTGCTCTTTCATTTGGCAACAATACCCTACATGCGGTATACAAGTATCCGTCATTTCAGTAAGATTCATTTGCTGGTCAGCACCTGTGCCATCTCTTTTCAGTACCTGAACTCATGTCTCCATCCATAGTAACATCTGTCCAAGAAAAACAACAGGTATGTATAGTTGCATACAACTTGAAGTACTAAGGCAGAAATATTGCTTCTTGTCTTGCATCAAATGAAAGACCAAGTACTCGTGAGTCTAGAAAGTGTCCTAGTAAACACGAATACACACTGAGAAACTATCACACATTTTCAAAAGCTAGTTTCGGTTCTTACTGTATCCAGACGTCGTGACACGGCACGAGTTTCTGTCATGCGCTCACGCAATACGTCGTGATGTTTCCATGACCACTCTATTCCGTCGCTTTATTGGCGACACGCAAGCAGCTATCTCTGCAGGTTTTTTGGGGACATGCGAACAGCCATTTTGTATGTTTCGGTACCTGACGTGATCAACTAGCCATACTGGCGTGCAAAGTCATCAGAACTGACACTGTAGCCCGACGTCCGACTAATGTTGGCATCAGTAGGTGTGGCAAAAAAAAAAAAAAAACTTCAATATCAAAACAAAATATAACCCTTTACTGATTGCTCAGAGCAGTCTGTATACAAGAGATTCACATGACGCAATAAACACAGGTTTAAAATAATTAGGATCGGTACCCCTTCTGATAGGAGAGGACTCGCCGTGACAGTGCAACAACCAATCATTTGCCTCTGTGACCAAAGAAACAGCCACACTCATTTACGTGGTGAGAATTCTCTGACCATGGGGTCACTAACCCGGAGGCTAATGATACCAGTAAAGAGCACAGGCTCATTACAGTAGGCCTATGTGCATGTGCCTCCGAGGTGGAAATGGCACTGCCATCTTAAGTTGCACTCAACTAATAGTTACTACAGGGACCGCATGACATACATGCTGCAGTAACTAGCGCGGTGGCCTGTAGTACACAAAATAACACCTGATTGTAACAAACAGGCTACATGGTTATTCAATGCAGCCCCTATCGCAAATGGTACGTCGATATTGATCGTATGACCAGTATGTGTCCCCATAAGCCAGTTTTTCCCAATACAAAAAGATTAATTGTTCACAGAGAAACAAAGTGCTACAACAATTCGATAAGAGAGAAAACTGTGGTATGGGATGCAAAACACAAGTAGGTAGCCAGTGATCAAAAATTTGGCTGGGTAGGTCATGGAACACTGCATGACAGAACCTGCAGCCTGTTACGGTACACAAACAGGCACCACTAGAAGGAATCTTTGGCAGTGACACAACTCTAAAGGAGCAAACTTTCTCTGAGATAAGAGAAAATCAAATGTTCAGTAGCAGTTGCAGTCATGCCAATTGGTACATGGCTAGACCCGGATAACTATACAGGAAACACGCCCTGCCTTATCTGTGCGTCGTTTTAAGTACCTCAACAGTTTCTAACCAAATACTAGAAGCTAACGTTATCGGTCGGGCAGAGGAAACGAGAACAAATGTAGCGATTACAGCTTTAGAGATAAAAGTTTCTGGCCTTGCGGTGGGCGTCGTACTCATACCCAACCACGCTAAGCTCGCAGTTTCGACAAAACCACACTTTGTAAGAAGCGCATTGTTCCGAGTCAAGTGCCTCACGGTGGAACGTGCTTATCAGCTCGGATTTTTCACAGAAATTAAGCACCACCGCACGCCTCAAACGACGCAAGCGATGCCGGGGCAATCTTACCTTGCGCCAGCAGTTCTTCGCCCATCTGTACCTCGTGGATGAAGAACTTCTGTACTGCGTCATAGTCTTTCAGGTCCGGCAGCTGCACACGCGCATAGTTACGGGTGTTACTAACTACCGAAAACGAAGAAACGACACAATCCACTGCCGCGATATCTAACCTTTCCAGTGCCCCTCCGCGCTTGCTCTTTCTGTTGCTGTGCCTTGGCTCGTCCTGAAACGCGCGACAAAACAGTGTTAATTCAAACGAGCGCGATATCACACCTCGACGTTGGCATCCATGGTCAGGGCAAGCGCTATCCCACGTGCAATCCCTAGCGTTCTCACTAGGAGACAGCCGAATTAAGGTGAACATCCAGGCCCGTACAAATGGCAGTACTACAATAACGATGCCCCCAGCGTTTCCCTTCCCTGTAGTTGTACGGAAAAAGCGATTTCACGCAAAACCCACTACTTACGTTCCCTCAGTTTTTGCTTGAACAGCGGGTCGCTCCGGCGCTTTCGGTCGAAATAAATGCAGTACCCTAGGAATAGAGTGCCGCAAACTCCGGCAGCAACGCTCAGCGCAGTCTTCGACACCATAACGCTCATCTCAACCATGTGGGCTAACGTTCTTCGGTGTGGAAATTCCGAAAATCCTCGGTGCAGTCAACCCTCCGGTCGCCAGCGGCCACACACACACACCATCGGATCGGCGTACGCGTTAACGAAAGCCCCCTAGCGTTGTCTAGCGTCTGAAACGTAAAAGAACACTTCGCCGAGTTATCCGAGATTTGTCAATCGTGGAAAAGAACACCGACTGTAGAACGCCATGTGTTCAAATACGAGTAAAACGAATAGGAGAAACAAACGAGACTGAGAAGATACGTTGCTTAGGTTTTCAACTCTGAAAGCATATAGACGTAGAAAATGGCGCGAAGTCTTAGAGCCATATTTGTTTTTCTTTGCTGAAGACGATATTTTCATTGATTGTGCGTTTGCAGTAAACGGAAGCAAAGCACTGTAGGAGGTTGGCTGAAAAAAAAAAATTATTTCAAACTTACGTTTTTACGGAGTGTCCTGCTGGGTGTTATACTCAAATACGAACAGCTACCGCTTTTATCCACCAGCAGCCAGCCATATAAAACAGTACTTACGTAAATTAAGTAGAACATGCAAACCTGTCATCAGTGGCAATAGTCTAATAGACTCGACACTCGTTAACACAAACCTTGCAGCGGGCATCGTTGCCGCAGGGTTCGGTAACACCGAAGTAAAAACAAAGTACAATTATAAGCAGTTCAAAGTGCTTTTATTTGTTCGGTGACCACAATTTGAGAGGATTTTACAGGGAATTCACGAAGACGGCCCAAGATGACAATGGGAAGGTGTCACACAGCACAAGGGACAAAAAAAAAAATGGATGCATGAATGAGTGCCGCCAGGAAAAAAAAAAAATCCGGCCTTAGGCCTAGCGACAAAGCAAACACAGACTGCACAGACTGCATTAAAGATTGGGGGCATTCGCGACGCCGCTCAGAGCGGCCGGCTAAGAGACGGCTTCACATGAGGGATGACTAAATAAAAATGTCCTCAGAACTCCTGGCTGGAGCCTTTCTTGCCGGGCTTGCCGCCGGTGCTCGTTTGTCCAGTCTTCTTGGGAAGGAGCACGGCCTGGATGTTCGGCAGGACGCCGCCTTGGGAGATGGTCACGCCGGAGAGGAGTTTGTTGAGCTCCTCATCGTTGCGGATGGCAAGCTGAAGGTGACGCGGGATGATGCGGGTCTTCTTGTTGTCACGCGCTGCGTTTCCCGCCAATTCGAGCACCTCGGCTGCAAGGTACTCCAGGACGGCTGCGAGGTAGACTGGCGCGCCGGCACCAACGCGCTCGCTGTAGTTCCCCTTCCTTAGAAGCCGATGAATACGGCCCACGGGGAACTGGAGACCGGCCCGCGAGGAACGGGACTTGCCCTTCGTCTTCGCCTTTCCGCCCTTGCCGCGTCCAGACATGGCTTACTAGTTTGACAACTCACTCGAACTCGAACCAAGAAGACCAACGGTGCCGTATGTGGGTCTCCGCGCCAAAAGCAACGGCTTATATAGCAATCAAAAATATAAAAAAAAAGCCAAAAAAGACAAACGCAGTTGCCAGACTAAAAAAGAATTGTCACTTTCAGAATTCGACGGCGCATTATCAGTGCTTATGTAATGCGCAATATTATATTAAAAAATAACCTAACACAATCAACAAATTGGCCTTCATGCTTTTGAAGTAACTTTTTTTTAACAAAACTGAGTTTCACTACGTTGAATCACCATCATCATCATTTTTAAATTACAAGTCTCAAAGGCAATGTTTTATAACATTGCAGACGTGATTGCAGGCACTAACCTCCGCTGCACCCGTCTTGTTTTCAGGAACAACAAAGCTGGGCAAGACGGAGTTCTGCTGCCCTATGCAGTATTTGCTTCCGCGCCATCCTTGCAAAGATAAATACGGCGAAAATTTTTCTGAACAAGAAAGTTTACAAGGGATATCGCGCCGGTCTGGGCTGATTGACAGGTCACGCAATCTTCAGGTGTCTTGGAAGTGCTAAACACGTATCACTGGTCCATGCTAATGCTTTGTTGTACTTACACATAGATGCGCTTACATTACTCGCCATGAGGCAACACGATCCAACTTGTGTCGTCACGGCCACACTGGACAGAACCACAGAACACCTACCAGAGACAAGAAGGACACAAGCGCTCCATCTCGTCTCTTTGTCGTCGTTCTGTCGTCGTTTGTCGTCATGTCATACCAACTAGCCCAAGCTGCCACACTTCCATCTTCAGCCTGTGCTCAGATTCGGGTGCATGTTGAAGAACCCCAGCTGGTCGAAATTTACGGAGTCCTCCGCTACGGCGTCTCTCATAATCATATGGTGGTTTTGGAGCGTTAAGCCCCACATATCTATCTATCGATCTTTAGGCGTTTAGAACCAAGGAGGTTCTATACTTGTTTAGGATGATATGGGGCACTGATTTGCTGCACCATGCAATGTCCTGAAAGAACACACCGAAACTTACTCCATTGATCTGCCAAAGACAACAGAAAACTCTCATTGAGTGTGCACAGATTGTTAAAAATACATAAATTGTTAACTGGAAAGCCTTCAGGGCAATGTAAAGAGAGGCTGGTGCTGTTCACATTAGTATGTGTGTTCCTCTTTTCTGCGGACTCGAAGGCGATGTGACTTCTGATGCTTAGACCGAGTCGACTGTGAGTGATACAATCCAATTTACACCTAATTTCTTTATATTCACATGAAAAGTGCTCTACACTGCCGTACAGCTTTTCTTGGTAATTCAGCAAAAGGTACACACACAAATCACACGTATCCAACCGCCAATGAATGTAGTCCCACGATTGTGTCCTTATATATTTTCTTCGTGATATATGAAAAATACGGCCTTCAATTTTTGCATGTAGCTGTTTGAGTGGACGTAGCCCACACCAGTAAGATATTCGCATTTGTTTTTACTTATACATTGTCCTTTCGCATTTGTGCATGTATGAGAAAGCAGCGCCTGTTACGGGTATCTCGAACACCAAGCGGGGTCTGCGTCGATATGAAACACTGCGTGCACGCAGCCATCATTTTGCATAGAAGTGCGAAAAGCATGCCATACTGAACTACAGTAGCACATATGCAAAAAGCCCCGCCCTCGTAGCTTTCCCTTCATTGCCAAGAGAAGTTGTCCGCGAGTATAGTGCCTTTCCTTTCTAAAACACATTGATGACATCGCCGGTTGACAGGTGGGGATAGCTAGAAGACGTTTGTTTCTTGGATTTCCAGTGCAATTGGATCAGGATATGCAGTGTTATAAAAGAAAGTTCCTTATTTTAAAACATTGTAACAGAGGATTTCAAGTGTTGTTCGTTGTCGTGTCACTAGTAGCGACTTCGAATGCCAGCTATGTCCAAAAATGGCACTCCTTTTTCTGCCTAACAAAACTATTTAAATAGAGTCTTTGCATGGCAGCTATGTATAGTTCCAAAAATGGCACTCTTTTTTTCTGCCTAGCAAAGCAAATGACAACTGTAAAAACAAAACAAAAAGAGATAGGGAGAAATGCAGTGAACTTGAAATGAAACAATGGCAGACGTTTCAACTTTCACGGGGCAATGATGGGCAATACTGTTACAAAGGTCACATTAAAAGAAGCAACATTGCATTTTAAACATTCCTCGAGAGGGTAAAACGCTAAAAAGCGCGAAGACTTTGAAAGAACACGGGCAAAAGGGCTATAACCTCCATTTTTTCTAGCGCTTCGCCACCAGTACCTACAACACGCCCAGTTGGTAGCATAGAACATCGTTTCAACTCAACTTCAAACAAAGCTGCCACTTACCTCATCAACTAAGGCATATAAAAAGTCTGAAGAACGTGCCATTTGGCAAAGCCATTGTATTGGAGTAACACCCAACTATCAAAACTTTTACCAAGTTGTTACACCCACACACATTGTGCATACAGGAGAATGCGGTGGGTTAAGAGATACATCGTGGTAGAGCAATGAAACCCCAGTTTAAGCATGTGGGGTTTCCTGAGGCACAGGCATGGCAAGAGAAGCTTCTTCTTGCATTCGTCCGTCGTGGGAATGCCAGCCACTGTTGCTGCGGATCGAAACTGCGACCTGCCACACGCAGGCACAATGCCGCTACTGGTCGTGCAGGTGTTCCGAAAGAGAAAGAATGTGGCATCTTCCAACTTTATTATTTTTCTTTTCACAGTCATGAATAATTAACAAATGTGAGCAGTGAAATACATGTAGAGAAACAATTCAGCACGCACACTGGACAGGGTGCTAAGGACATTACTTACACTATGTACACGGGGTAAAAAAAGGGTATTCTGACGCACGGAATAATGTACAAGACGCAACGGGACAATAAATAACAAGCGTTACAAACTCTTGTTCATGTTGTTTACATCTGTGGCTCCGTGGAACTGCATGAAACTGTATATGCATATTTTTTACCAAAGTGATCAATACTTTCATACAGCTAAAAACACAATTTCTACGGTCTCCTAACAGACTGGGTATCAAAAGCATTTTTGTTTCTGTTTTGTACTCGGCACGTAGCCAGACCACGGCTCCCCACCAGAACAGTTTCCTCCACTTCATGCTGTGCCAACTTACATTCCACAAAACTTCCACAAGCAGAACACAGACACATTCGATAAACAATGAAATAAAACAAGCACATCGCTAATCTTGCTTAACCATATACACGGTAACCAAATAGTTGAGCTAGTGACAACTCTTCAGATACAGACATTCGTGAGCAAAGTGTGTCAGTGCAAGTTCTAATACCACCAATTAAAATAAAACATAAAAACTCTGGTAAATACTTGCGCATGTTACAGAGCTCTGAGCAAATGGTCTGTACCGACAGTAGGTCCTCAATCTATTGTCAATTTTATTCCCAATCTTAAAAGCAATGCTGAAGAAAAAGGAATGGATTGAGCAGTATTAACGTGAAATGTGGTTCTACAATATCGAAGTTGATGCTTCTGCGAGATAGGGGGCCTGGCAAGTTCGAATAGATGCATAAATGAGAGGAGGGTGGCAACGCTTGCTTCGACATTCGCCCCCTTCCTGCAATGATGTAATGAATCTTGACAGCACTATGAAGTGCTTAATTGGTTGTTCACAAGTAAAAACCCACTAAGTTGCATTTTAAATGAACAAGAGACCGAACTTAACTCATTGTGGCTGCTTCCTCGTAAACTGGGAATGCTGTCGGGAATTTCAAAGTTCCGAGAACATCGTAACTCGTGACATGACAAAGACCTATCGAAATTTCAGAATCATCAGCTTGTTCTTTCTACATTTTCTCTTGCAACAAATCTCTTCATGCTGGAGTACGGGGATCATTACAGTCACTGCATTGCGATTGCCGTTCCCACCGCTAGAAAGCCATTCGCACAACTGCAAACGGTTTTAGAGCCGTGCAAACTACCTTTCACGGTCTAAGTTCTTTTCAAAATTCGCCAGACTGAGACCGATTCCGGCTCTTCTCTTCAACGCCTTCTCTTAGAGCCACATGCTTTCCAAGTAGACAGATCATTCACTGTGCAATACCAGTGCAATCCACCTAGCAGACAACCGCAGTCGTCGCTATGGCAGGAAATGTTGAGTGTATAATGTGGAGGCAGAAGATAGCCACACTGGCTAGCTCTTGCTACACATTTAGGTTTCTCACAGAATATAGCTTGCGTCCTCCCCTGTAAGAAGTGTAATACAAAACAAAGCAAAATAACACGTATTTTCACCTGTTACGCATCTTCGCTAGAAATAGGATCTTCACCACGTTAACACAAAAGAAAGCTTCGTCAGAATGGTCGCACCCCAGGTTTAATTTAATCAAAGTACTATTTTTATCTAAATGCCCCCCCCCCCCCTAAGCAGGAACGCATAGCAACCTCCTCAATTTGTGCAGAACTTTTTTTTTTTTTTTAAGCAGCCCTGCAACACCTTTAACAACTGTTTATGAAAAATGGTCTTATTAATCGTCTCCGCTGCCTCTCGAAACTCCAATCACAGTATTTTACCACATACGTCAAGTGTACGTGCAGTTCGTGCTATCAGTGAATACTTGTCTTGCTCAGTTGAGCCCACCTGCTGTATAGTTTCCCCACGGGAAAGAGAGCAATTTTCGTTGTATATGACACAAAACTGTAAATTCATCGCTGCATGCAGTACAATAATATTTGGCTCGCACATTCACAGGAGCCTTGACTGCAGACTGGAATACGTTTTGAGACTACTTTTGAAAAAATTAAAGTTCCCGGGGCCCTTCTTGGAAAGCTTGTGCTCACTAACCCTTTGATGTGATGAACAAAAGAGTGCATTACATATCCATCACCCAACAAGACAATGCTTCCAATCAGAAACTTGAGGATAAGCAAGAGGTGTAAGAAAATGCATCTGCCTAATTTGTCGAGAAATATGTTTGCCACACAAACTCATCAGTGCGACTCGGTCGTTAAGTGTAATTTGGCAAACAAACAGCCCCCACTACTACTCTGATTGGAACAGTGTAAAGACCAATCATTTCCTCTGGAATTCCGTTTCTGCCAGTCCAGAAAATTTTTAGGCAGTTCCCATGGTACTTGAAGTGGACAGCAGCAAAATGCGACAACATTCAAACTTCTTTTTAAAACTCTATTCCCTTACATTTAATAAAGCAGACGCTGCACCTCAATGAAAACAAGAATGGACAAAGTGCACCAGCCAGTACAATTCACCGAAAATGGAGTCCAAAACTGACTCTGGGACCTATCTCCTCTTTTATGTTTGGATACTCAAATAATGGCTCCATATATATCTAGTAACTAACTTCAATTCTCATGATGGATAGCTTTGCACAAACAGAGTCAAACTGTCTTCACAGCACAGTTGAGCATCCACCAATGATTTTTTTGACAATATATATATTTATATAACTTGTTCTGAATGAGATGCCATTTGAACACCTATTTTACAAACAAGAAGGAACCTGCAAAAGTATGATAAGAACAGGGCATGTAGCCAAGGTTCTATTCCAAGGGAGTGGGGAGGAAGTTGTACACATTTGTGAGGTTGTATAACATATACCCAGCTCCCTGGCCACTGCGATAATAAATCATAAAAACTGTGCGGCTATACTCCGCTTTACATGTAGCATTGAACGCTGTGAAGGCAAGAGGGGCTTTTATCACTGGTTCCACCTACGTCAAGAAGCGTGCTTTAAGTTAGTAAATTTGTCTGGACAGGTGCGCGATTCATATGTAGGCCTGTGCTATGCAAATCGATGTGTAATTAAGTCTCATATGCTGGTAATTACGCTGTAATTACTAAATTATAGCTTATCCACCGTCAAAACAAGCAAGAATTTCTGCGATAAGCACCAAGGACGAGTAATTTGGGGGGGGGGGGGGGTCATTAGAGGCACGCTCTACCAGGGGGTTTTCGAATCATCTTGGGTTTTTTTAACATGAACCTGTATCAAGCACATGGATGCGGCCGATTTCGCCCCCATTAAGATGCAGCTGCCGCCAATGGAACTCACGTCCTCAGACTTAGCAGCACTACAGATTACCCCCTGAAGAAGGACGGTGCGTAACGCATCATTTGCACTCACGATCAGGACGAAGCGCGTTGCCTAGGAAAAGCGCAAACACGCTGCGAGCAATATTCAATTCGATGCAAACTCGCGCAGAAAAAGTCATAGTCGTAGAACACGAAGTATTTCATCCTGTAGAAAATTTTCCAGATTCGAGCAGTGCGCTGTAAAATGCTCCGAGAAAGATCCGCAAGGCTGCGAAACTTGCGTAGTGTCTGCAACACCACCTGCTACATATGAAGCGGAGTATGCGCAGCTACAGGCACCACTAATTTCATAAATATTTAAAAATACGAGCGCGTGGTCACCGTGTTATCTCCAGAATTAATGCATTTCCAACCATACACACACGCTCAAACTGTGAAAATAAATCCATTAAAAAAATTTACATGCATTCTATGAGTCTTCAGACAGAAAAGCCCTGTCGAAGTGCTGCCACCATTAGCAATTTTCTCGAAGTTCCAGTCTCTCATACAGAGCCCACAATGCCATCCATGGCACGGGGCTAGGTGTGTTACAATTGGCCAAAAATACAAAAATGTCCTACTGTACCACAAAAAGAGCAATGCAACCAAGTAGACAACCACAATTTGGGATGCTATTTTGTAGAACTGCCTTTTCGGACGCTAATGAATTAAAGTTCTTCATCAGCAGTCCAAGCAATGGTTTGGCGATGTTATCACCGAAATCAACTTGTCGGCCTCGAGTTGTACACATGTAAATCTAGCGTGAAACTCAGTAGAAAGGCATTTCTACAAAAGGGCAGCCCTGAGCACATCAGCATTTGATTTACCATGGACACTTCCAAGAAAAAAGCACAACAAATGTACCAACATCACCGGACCAAAGTGCACCAACAACACCGGAATTTTTATGTTTAACACACAAACAAGAAAAAGTGAATAAACCAATATGGATATGTCAACAGTTACCAAAATTCAATTTTTCAGAAAAAGCTCTGAGCATGATATTTGGAACATCAGCACTGAAGTTAAAACACCAACATGCTTTACCTGATGCGCACCAGAAATTTTCAGAACGTTGCCAAAATGTGATTAAATGGCGGCAAAAATAGAACCTCCTCCACATAATGACAGTGCTAAAATACATATATCCACCTTTGCTTGCTTTCCCTTTTCTTCAAACATACTTCACGCAAAACAAATTTCACAGGTGCGATTCATATATAATGTTTCTAAAAAGAACTACATGTCGTTAAACTCCATTTGTTTTTTCATTTCGAGTTTGCTGCTTTGAACTGTAATCTTGGCAGCTGCAACTGTGGACAAGGCACCTGCGGAGAATGTAAAATATTGTTCGATAGCTCGTACATACGCCCAAAAAAGGATTTGAACGAGCCGTTGCATGGTAACAGATCTTCCAAACGTGCAGTCCCGTTGTGCGAGCCAAGTGCTTACTAACTCAGCAAATTCTGGCTAAAGGGAACGGCGCAAAACATGGCAGACAAGTGCAATCTTGTCCCCCTGCCTTGTCTATGGTTCTGTCAATTCTCACTCCTCTTCCTATAGTCTAATAAACAGAGCCTGTCCGAGAGGTAGCGAGACCGGTTCTGGTTAAAAAAAAATGACTGCTTCTATCGGTAGATATTACTTAAATACTTCAATGTATTTTCCTTGGGCAATGACACACAGATTACAACACCTTTCCGACGTTACTGTATCAGGGCAGTATGCCATCCATGGCGTGATCATGGCAGACTACTTCTTGCTTCCTAAGCTACAAGAGAAGCCAGAAATGTCGCAGTTCTTACAATGTGCTCACCATCCAACAGTTTGACATAGTCTTTGAATAAGGTCACGGCTGTCAACTTTCAGAAAACCTTTGCAGCATCGGAATCTCACTGTAATTGGTGTATCGACACCCAATGAAACCATTTCGAATAATTTAAATATTACGTAGTAATCGGATCAATAATTCTTTTTACCAGACCCAGTCTTATTACCTCATGGACGGACCCTGTATGCCTTTGTCAACCGCCCCAAGATGCTAACCTTCTAAAGTTCACTTCTATGCAAAGTTTGTATTTTCGAAGCAACTACTGTCAACTGCAAACAGCGACTGGCTGAACCTAACTAGTACAACTTGGTCCTGACCTTCCAAAAGGACAGTTGAACGAAGCCGTACGAAATTGGGAACGTCAACCGACGTCCGGGTTGATGTGGCAGCCATTGAGTGCGGAGGCACCGAGCAGCCCATACCCACGGCTGGTGCATGGCCCATAGTCCTGCACCGTAGTGCCCCCATCCTCAATCTGGCGCACACGCACCCGCTGCTTGTAGTGGTACTCGCGCAGGTAGCTCTTGAGGCTACGTGGCAGGGGCAGCTTTGCGGCACCGTCGTACGCAATGCAGGAGCAGATTACCGCACGTGCCAAGTGCTGCAGAGGGAAGACGAAAGTCCGGTGCAGGGGCCGCGTGAGCATGGGCTCGAAGTACATGCAGCACGACGGGTCCTTGTAGTGCTCGACGAGCCCGCACACAGTGCGCGACGAGAACACCCCGGGGTCGTGCGAGTCGAAGCTGAACCGATGGTTCCACTGCTCGACACGGGCATGCAGCGAGCGCCCGTACCTCCGGAAGCTCACCGAGAACAGGTACTCTTCCTGGGCCGAGTCGCGGAGCAGGAAGGTGCCCTCGGGCTTGTTCTCCAGCAGCCGCTCGGCCTCGTACCGGTCCATCTTGCCCCAGTAGAAGCTGCACGAGGTGATGCCGAGCAAGTCGGGAACCAGGCAGTGCATGTAGTCGACCTGGGTGTGGACCTGCGGGGCCACGTCCCATATCTGGCTCAGGACCTCCCACGGCAGGGACAGGCTCTCGGGGTTGCCGCCGGCAAAGCCCAGTTGGTTGCGAAGGGCGAGGGCAAGTTCGGGAAGCTGTTGTTGAAGAGGCTGCGGCGAGGGCACCGCGGCGGCCCTCGGCTGTTCTTCGGAGGAGGAAGACGAGGTCGAGGGTCGACCGTCGCTACGGAAACCCGGGGGAGGGTCGACTCCCTCTTCGATTTCGCGGGCTCGCTCCTTGCGAGCCCGCTCGTCCCAGTCGTCCACCTGGTACTCGTCGCCCCGGTACTTGCCGTCCGGGTTGCAGGCGAACTTGCCGTGACTGCGGGGCGGCGTCACTCTCAACGCGGCCTCGGCATCGACGCTTCGCTCCTCCGTCCGGCGGTACCCGGTGCAGATGCATATGGGACAGCCCGTCGGGTGATCGCTAGCGACGGGATCAGCGGCTGCAGACGCCGTGCGCCGCGACCTACACCCGAGCTTGAAACCCCAACCACCCTTCCGCGCCGGCTTGCAATCGCGGGACGACGAAGGCTGTTCCTTGGCAGCGGTCACAACGGCGGTGCCAGCCGGTGACGACGTCGCGTTCTTGCTTCGACGTCGACCGAACGTCAGGGTCCTCAACTTCTGTCGCACTCCAGCGGGCGTCTTCTCTTCGGTCTGCGTCGCCGCCGAAGCGCTGGAACCCTCGGCGTCGCCGTGCTGTCCGCAGTCGCCCTCCGGACATCGGGCGCCGTCCGCCGGGTCGGTATCCGAGCTGGACATGTTCGGTTCCACCGTCTAGACGGACATTGCTAACCACACGTTCCCGCTGCCGACGGAAACGCGCCTCAGAAGCTCCGTCATCTGAAACGGTAGAGGGAGAGGCCCCGACGGAACATCAGAACGCGATAGCAGCGCGTACGTACGCGATCGTGTCAAGATTCGTCAGCGGCTCGAGTTCCTGCTTCGAGTGATTCAATCGCGTGCAGCGTACTCTTTCTGCACCTACACCTACAGAACGAGAACAAAAGGCTGGCCAAGCACAATACGCTGTCCGTGCGTGTACAGTGTTAATACACTGTAGTACGTGTGTCGCATGGCGCCTTCCATTCACGACGAGAAAACAACAAAAAGAAAAACCAAAACCAAACATACGCGTAAACGAGGCTTAGCGAGCCTCAGTTGCACGGGAGAAATTCTCGGGAGATAAACGCGAGATGAAAGCAGTTTCGATGTAACAGACGCACGGCTATTGCGCATCCGGGTGCCTTCGTGCGACACGAAAGCGTGAAACAAAACGCACGCGAATTTGTGTAGAGCCCTGCCTGCGACTCCGCGACCTACGCTTCCTGAAACGAAGATCGATAGCGCCAATGTGCGATCGTATTATCCTCCGAAGAAACCGCAAAACTGGGTCACACGCGCTGCGAAAGCGTACAGTACGCTACATCGGTAAAACGTAGAGCGTATTTAAACCTTCGTTAACTGCTCGTAACTATCCTAAAACGGGTCGAGTTTATCGCGAACAGTTTCACTTTCCTCCTTCTTAACTGCAGAGTGTTTCGCGAACAGGAATGAGCGCGGTCAACACAGAAACGCCTAGTCAATGCGATGTCGCGAGAATTCGCAAAATTTTCGTTCTAAAAGGGCTGCGTACTCACGTTGACAAAACCGATGTGGTCCTCATGAACACACAAAACGGTAAACAATACCAAACAAACACAAGGCCAACCAAAACGACTACGGCGAGAAAATGATCGCACACAGGAAACAGCTCTTGTATTTTTGTTTCGCTTTACGCGTGACGTCACAGCTAGCGTGCACGCAAATAAAATAAATAACAAAATACATCGCATGCGCTTGCAGCACTTGAGCGGCCATTAATCACACTACAGAAAGGGTTTTTTTATGTGCGTGTATTCAAATCTCGCAAAGTTTTGGGCTTGAAATTTTTTCATTACAAATATTTAAAAAAAGACAAATAAGTAGCTAAGTAGTCTTAGACGTAAGTTTTATTTTATACTAGGCGGCTACTACGTCATGTGGCCGCTTCTATCGCTCACTAGGTGACAAAGAATGGCCTTCGAGATTAGTTAAAGCGAAAATAAGAGACCTTGTGGATACTTACTCAGGTGTTACGTCGAACGACATATCTTACGTACACAGTACACTGTACTGATTAAATTTTGAGATGCGTACGAGACGGTACCAAGCTTTCTGTTTTGGTGCTAGTTGCCCGCGCCTTCAGCAAGAAGGCGTTCGAAGCCTCCCAAGTTTATCAAGTCAATGTCATGTTACAGCAAGATTGGTACGGAACTTAACGAAAACAAAGCTCTCGTATGCGAGAAAAAACAAACAAAAAAACGAGCATACCAATCTGCTGTCAGTGCAGTCGAAATATGGACATTACCTTCTGTTGTGTGAATTGGACATTGCAGTTGCCTCCATTACATCTAAAAACACAATGGCTAGACATACAAGATTTTCACACACACCGCTACATCTCGAAGCAAGCAAACACCTCTTATTTAGAGAGGGGGTTCCACTTAGACGTGTCATCTTGTTCGCCCCCTTGCGAGCACTGATTAGCCCACATGACCACTATGGCCTTTTTGATTGGCTTAAAACGCCGCCATTGTGAATTTCACAAAAGGGCAGACTATGACAGTATTGAGAATAGCGGCCTACTGCAGTGAGCAGTATAAACTTTTCCTTTGGCACAGTGGCGCAAACATACACCAACAGCATCCCTCCACGAGCGAAAAACATGACACAGAAACAGATGCCCGATGTGTGGCTCCTTTTCTTTAATTGGTGCGATGACAGTTGCATATTTTTTACAAGACGTCTTTGATCTGTACATGGCACGGGTGCGCCTGTCATGCGATGTCCGAACAGTCATCCTCGTCTTCATCTTGGCTGCTTCCTTCCACTGAATCAGCTTCTCCATCTTCCATACCGGAGTTGTCATCGGCTTCGCTTCTACTTCTTTCGTCGCCATCCGACAGTTCCCACATATTATTCTGAAATCATTAGGCAAGGTTCAGTGACACTTTAGGTAAAGTTTAGAAGTCCGTATGGGAAACAAACTCAGAAATACAAGAAACCGTGTTGCAAGAGTGACGAGATACAAATTTAAGATAAGTCGCACCGCGAACATACTACCCCTGATGCTGCTTGACCAAGTCAAAACCACAGAGGAAAGCATTAAATGCGAGGGGCATGCAGATATTTAAAAACTTGGAGTACCAATATAGAATAGTGTCCCATTCATAAGTACAGGTTCTTTTTAATTTAAAACTAATCCCAGCTTTACATTAATTCTCTTGCAAATGTTCAACATATAACTTTTGTTCATATTGGTTTAGAACATCCACATTGTTGTACTGAGCAGCATTTGGATTCCATGTTGAAACATTATCCTGATTTACTTTGTAACTTGCTTAGTTTAGAAAAAAAACCTTACTCCCGAACAGGCCCATGAATTATCTCGTACTTGAAAAAGTACACATTATACTAGAAAAAAGATTGTATACTTGATATGAGAACACAAATACAGTAGCCTTTCAGTAAACAGAAATCTGTTAATTGGAACTGCCGCTTAAAAGGAACAACTGCCTCTGATATGATTGGTCCTCACATTCTAGGCAGTGTTCATATCTCAATAAATGAAACTCTGTTAAATGGGACATAGTTGCCTGGTCCCTTCAGGTTACATTAAAAGAGGGTATACAAAACTCAGCATGTTTAACCAAATCGATCAAGAAATTTAAAAAATTAATCGCCAAGTAACGGTATGAGCTACCGCGCTATTCGCCTGTGCAAAACGGTGCCACGACACAAACGCCTGCGACCCCGAAAAAATTCTGCACACTGACCTCTTCTCTCTCGTCGTCCGAGTGCTCTGCGTCCTGATCCATGTCATCGTCTGACGAGTCTTTGAGGAAGGAGGGGACAAACAGAAACAAGCTTAGTATCAAGTACTATGTTCTTACAGCAAAGTGAGGCACTTGGTAGAAAACAAACATTCAAATTAATTTAGCATAAAAAGAATGCGTACCATCGTTCACGACACACAGCGGCTCTGTTGGTAGTTCCACATCCTCGTGCCTTGTTGCCACCTGCGCATGACAGGGCGAGCCATGTTTTAAACTGTTTACAGTCGAACCCTGCTACAACGAAAAATTATCTGTTCCCCGTCAGCAGTGCACAGGAGTCAATGCATAAATACTCTCGCCACAATGAACACTTTTTCTTCTGCCGTTCCGCTTCAACGAAATTTCAAGCTGCGATTCCGGGCTCAGAAAACTCATGCCAAGCAGTCAACACAATCTACACATTTTCACGTATCTTTAGAACACAAGAATAGATCGTCGAAGTCTAAAACATGCGTTGGAACAACTAGAAACCCCCACTGTTCACCAAACCAACCCCTCCTAAATAACTATGCCTGGCGCGTTAGCCGCCAACGTGCTGCCCTACCCTAGAATTTTACCCTTCCCCCTCCGGTACGTAGACGAGCGCCTCTGATGGCCACCGCCCCTTGCAATCACAGTAAAGCTCTCACAGTTGCCTCCGAGCAGCTGCCAATATACTGTAAGGGTACAGAGGCAAGCGGTCTCAAACGGCGGCCGGTCGCAACACGCAGAAGGAAAAAGAAAGCGACGTTCCAGGCATTTTTGTAGGAGGCGTTGACCAAGCATGGAGGCTGCCATTGCTCGATAGCGATGGCAATGAGACTGCCCAGCTTTTGTCACTGGCTTGCTTCTGAGTCGCAGACGATCCGAAGTTAAAACTCGGTCGCTGAGTTCACGGTTGCCTTCATGCAGCTGGTAGGTTGTTGGGTGCAACAAGGGAACGATGTTTTTTCTGATTTCAATGCTTCTTGTTCTGTTCGTACTTGGCTTGTGTGGCAACTAATAAGAGCGGCTAGCCGCAAGTGATGGATGATAAGAACAGCATAGAATAAAGCAAAAGTCACTACTCCGCAATACCATGCCTCTATCTCGCCATCGTCAGATACACTTTGACGGTGGACAGCAGCAGGTGTAAGCATAGTAAGCATGTTAGTGCAACTGCTAGGTTCATTCACGAAAGCCGTAGCGGCCGTTGTTTTAGCGTGTTTTTCAACATGACGTCAATATGCATAGGTGACAATCGCGCCCTGACTCTGCTGGGAAAGAAAAGAAAGCAGCCGACACTTTTTTAATTTTGGGAATAGAAGTTCCTTTCTTTTGCTAGCTCAGATACCGTATTTACTCGATTCTACCGCGCCCTCGATTGTAACGCGCACCCGGTTTCCACGACGAAAAAGAAAAAAAAGTAAGACATCGATTGCAACGCGCACCCATTTTTCTCGTTGGCCCGCACGATCACACCACTCGGGAGAACGACTCCTTTTGGGAGCGTCTTCCGTTTAAATATGAGGTACAGGGGAAGCTTGTGCCTATCTGACGTGCAAAAGAGCATTGCCGTCACTCTAGTTTTACCGTGGCCCAATGTCAGCACGCGAACTTGCTTCGCCCCCTTCTTCTCGACGGTTGTGGTGCCAGGCATGTCGAAGTAAAGAGGCGTCTGATCGGCATTCTCGATTTGCTCAAGCAGGTAGCCGTTGTTGTGCCGCAAGTTTAGGACGAACCTCTGAAAACTGTTAAGCTTTTCTTCGTACTCCTCCGGCAAGTTTTGGCCCATGCCCGTTCGCTTTCGGAGGGAAAAGCCTAAAGTTAGTTAGCCTAAAGCCTAAAGTTAGTTAGCCAGCACCTGCTTGCTTTGAACTGGCTTCGCGTTAGCCCTTTTTGTAAAGCTAACTGCATAGCCCGCACTTGGAGCAGTTCTGTCGTCACGGGTCGCTGTGCCGCTCTCTGCTCAAGCACATACTCGGCAAGCAGCTCTTCAATTTGCGGAAACCGACCCTGCTGTGGTCCACTGAAGCCTTTGCGTGAATCTCTGCTGTCGACAATCTTCTGATTTTGTTTCCGCCAGTCCCGCACGCACGTTTCGGAAACTCCGAACGACCGCGATGCGGCCCAATTTACGTTCCTTTCGGCACACGCGATGACTTTTCTTTTAAAAGCGGCATCGTGGTGCACTCGTCGAGTTTTTTGAGTCGGCCCTTCCATGCCGTCGATGCTAATGAACTACAAGATTACGAACTCCTCTGCACACGTACGAAGTGCCGCACATGGGAAACACATAGGCAGAAATGGCCGACGCGCCATGGCGACGTACGTAGGGGGCGACCATTTTGGAAATGCCGATGGCAATAGAATGACCGTATTCATTTTTGTTTTTTCGAACTCTATTCTAACGCGCATGCGATTTATGAACTCGCTTAACCGGAAAAAAGGAGCGCGTTAGATTCGAGTAATTACGGTAAGCTATTTTTTTTTCTATTTCTTGACAACTAATTTTTTTCTGTGCCCATCCATTTCATTGTAGCGTGGTTCGATTGTATCAAAACACACGCATACAGCAGTTTTGTTGTAGCTACTATAAATAAAGTGTAACGACGGTAGTGAGCATGGAGCTCGAGGATAGAAAAAGAAGAAGACTTGCTGTGATCGCAGGCTTGCGTTCAGTTAGCCCTTGCGCTAAATAAAGCTCTCCTTCGCCGAGTTCGCCTGCTTGTTCAACAACCCGTTTCAAGTGGTGGAGGTGCTGGGTACATCTGGTCCTCACCCTGGAACTTCGCAGCCGCACACTCCAACGACCTCCTACAATGACTGATCCGGGGCCATCTCATGCTGCTACTCCAGATCTCGCACCTGTGCCTGTCTTCTGCGCTGGCGCTCTCCGGCAGCGCGACCCCCCCATATTCCGTGGCACAGAGGACCAAGATGTGGACAACTGGATTGCCGAGTATGAACTGGTGAGCGCCGTCAATAAGTGGAACGCAGCCGATAAGCTCACAAATGTGAGTTTTTACCTGACCGACGTGGCAAAACTATGGTACAGAAATCATCAAAGTGATTTCAGTACCTGGTCGGAATTGGCGAAAACCCTCGCGGAAGTCTTTGGCCGTCCTGCTGTCCGCCGCCTTCGTGCTGAACAGCGCTTGCGGGGCAGAGTACAGAGAGCAGATGAAAGTTTCACGAGCTACATTGAAGATGTGCTATTTCTCTGCAAGCTCGTCGATTCGACTCTGGACGAGGCAGGCAAGATCAAGAACATCATGAAAGGAATCGACGACGGTGCATTCCAAATGCTGGCTGCGAAGAGTCCCCAGACGGTCGCCGAGGTGATTCAGCTCTGCCAAAGCTATGATGAGCTGCGTAGGCAGCGCGCTTCCACACGTTGCGCTGCTCAAGACACCGCGGACATCTCATCCCTCGACTATCGCCATGACACCGCCGACCACTCTGCGTTGATGCCAGTCATAAAGCAATTCATACGCGAGGAGGTTGCCCGGCAGCTATCTATAATCACAAGACCTACCGAGCCGATGGCACCCTTGTCGCCTTCGCTTCGCCAGGTCATTCGATCGCAAGTTGCCGAAGCATTGCCGCCAGCTCAGGCTCCCCCAACTGTTACCGCACCACTAACGTATGCAGCCGCAGTTGCTCAACCACGTGCGCCAGCGTCTCCGGCCATCTACGAAGCTACTCGCCACGTTTATTCGTCGACCCCACCTTCCCGCTCGCTGACCGTCCCGTCTCCGGCTGTATATGAAACAGGTCAGAACGTTTATATGACGCCGCCGCCTGCACGACCATTTACGGTACCTTATTCAGCGAACAGTGCCCCTATCGTCAGCCAATGGCGCACTCCAGATAATCGGCCGATATGTTTTTCATGTGGCATCCCAGGCCACGTAGCTCGTCACTGCCGTCGTCGCAGCTTCTCTTCTCACGACATTGCAGGGGCCTCACATTACATGCCCACCATGCCCACTCAGCCGCGATATCCCGTTTCTGCCAATCCACCTCTAGACGTACGTCCCGGTCGCCGACCATCCGGCGCAAGCCGTTCACCTTCTCCTCGTCGTCGATCTATTTCTCCGATGTTACGTCGCAACAGCCCACCGCGAGGGGAAAACTGACGGGCGCAGTTCCGGAGGCAAGAACTGCGTTGGCAGCGAAAATTTCAAGACCTAACTGCTGTCCCCCGAACGAAATCGAACTCTATATTGATGGCATTAAGGTGCACGAACTTGTTGACACTGGAGCTGCCGTATCTGTAATTAGCGAGAAACTGTGCCGAAACTTGAAGAAAGTGACCACACAACTTACCGACCTATCTTTGCAGACAGCTACGTCCCATCATATTCAGCCTTCAGCTTTGTGCACCGCACGAGTCGTCATTCAAGGTGTGATGTACGTCGTCACATTTGTAGTTTTATTCCGTTCTTCGCATGACGTTATCCTTGGGTGGGACTTTCTTTCGTCAAATTCTGCTTTGGTCGACTGTGCTCGTTCTGAACTCGCGTTGTCTGTGCCGTGCTATGACCCCGACGATGGTGCTTCGTGTAGAGTGTTTGCTGCTTCTGACGTTGACATTGCGCCTTTCTCAGCTGTTGTTGTCTCGGTGTCGTGTGCCTCCCCTCCGAAATCGCCTGTGTTGTTTATGCCATCGGTCCCATCTGCATGCCGTCGAAATATCATGCTTCCGTTTGCCGTCGTCATTTTTCGCAATGGTCACGCTGCCATTTATGTGTGCAATCCGTCGCACAGCCCGTCATCCCTACTACGTGGAGAATGCCTGGGAAGCTACGAACTTTACGAGTGCATTCTTCCGGCTACTATACCCGATTCTGCGGTTTCGCTCCCAATTGGTGCTGTCACTCCTACCAACGCGCCTAATGATGCTCTGGACGTATTCTCGGATGCCATCGACTCTGAGCTCGCACCAACTCAGCGCGAAGAGATTATAAATCTTCTTCTCCGCTTTCGTTCTTCATTCGGTCGTGACCAGTCAGGCTTAAGCCGAACCTCTGCGGTCGTTCACCGTATTGACACCGGTCAACAAGCCCCACTAAGGCAGCGTCCGTACCGTGTGTCATCTGCCGAACGCCGTGTCATCGACGAACAAGTGGACGACATGTTGAAACGTGGCATCATCGAGCCCTCCAACAGTCCCTGGGCTTCACCGGTTGTTCTCGTCAGGAAAAAAGACGGATCCATCCGGTTCTGCGTTGACTACCGCCGACTCAACAAGATAATGCGCAAAGACGTATACCCTCTGCCGCGCATCGATGATGCTTTGGACTGCCTACAAGGAGCAGAGTTCTTTTCTTCGTTAGATTTACGCTCTGGCTACTGGCAGGTGCCCATGGCAGAGGGTGACCGCCCGAAGACAGCCTTTGTAACACCGGATGGACTATATGAATTCACCGTTATGCCCTTTGGCCTCTGCAACGCGCCTGCCACTTTCGAAAGGATGATGGATACCGTCTTGCGAGGTCTGAAATGGAAAACGTGCCTCTGTTATTTGGATGACATTGTGGTATTTTCAAGCGACTTTGCGACCCACCTCAGCCGCCTCGAGCAAGTTCTTACGTGCCTTTCCACGGCGAGACTTCAACTTAACTTGAAGAAATGCCACTTCGGCGCTCGCAAGCTTGTAATTCTTGGCCATGTGGTTTCTAAGGACGGCATTCTCCCGGACCCTACGAAACTTAATGCAGTCGCGGCGTTCCCAAAGCCAACCACCATCAAAGAGCTTCGAAGCTTCATCGGCCTATGTTCTTACTTCCGGCGCTACGTCCGCAATTTCGCCTCCATTATCGCCCCCTTGACCAATCTTCTTGCCAGAAGTTCTGACTTGTCAGCGTGGTCGCAGGCGTGTGATGATGCATTTCAGGAACTCCGACGGCTTTTCACCACGCCTCCCATACTCCGACATTTCGATCCGTCTGCTCCAACGGAGCTTCATACGGACGCTAGTGGTGTCGGGCTAGGAGCCATACTGGCCCAACGCAAGGAGGGCTTTGACGAGTACGTCGTTGCCTATGCCAGCCGCACCCTCAGTAAAGCCGAGAAGAATTACAGTGTAACTGAAAAGGAGTGCCTCGCCATTATTTGGGCAATCGGAAAATTTCGGCCTTATTTATATGGACGTCCGTTTGATATTGTAACAGACCACCATGCGCTTTGCTGGTTATCTTCACTAAAAGATCCTAATGGTCGGCTCGCTCGTTGGGCATTGCGGTTACAGGAGTTCGATATCCGTGTTATCTACCGTTCTGGCCGGAAGCATTCCGACGCCGATGCCCTGTCACGTTCGCCATTGGCTTCAGAGCCTGTCGGCTCGCCTATCTCCACTAGTGCTGCCTTGGCCATCAGCATCTCGGACATGCCTTCCGAGCAACGCAAAGATGCTTGGATTTCATCTCTTTTGGACTTTCTCTCAAACCGGACGCCCGCTCCAGTTTCCAGGACGCTTCGCCGTCAAGCAGGACACTTCGCTATTCGGGATAACCTGCTTTACCGCCGAAACTACAGCTCGATCGGCCGTAAGTGGTTGCTCGTCATCCCCCGACATCTGCGCTCTGACATCTGTGCCACGTTCCACGATGATCCGCAATGTGGCCACGCTGGTGTGTTAAAAACATACACCCGCTTGCAGCTGCGGTACTACTGGCGCGGTATGTACCGTTTCGTTCGCCGTTACGTAAGGTCTTGCCTTACGTGCCAGCGACGCAAAATGCCCACTCAACATGCCACAGGTCCCTTGCAGCCGTTGCCATGTCCAGCACGAGCTTTCGATCGTGTCGGAATCGACCTTTACGGTCCGCTTCCCTATACTTCGAGTAGCAACCGCTGGGTCATTGTCGCTATCGACCACCTAACGCGGTACGCTGAAACAGCTGCGTTACCTTCTGCTACCGCAAAAGACGTTGCGTGTTTTATACTGCAAAACCTGGTTTTAAGGCATGGAGCACCTCGGGAGTTACTTAGCGACCGTGGCCGCGTTTTTCTCTCCGATGCCATCAAAGTGTTGTTGAGCGAGTGTCGCATCATACACCGCACTACCACAGCCTATCACCCGCAAACTAATGGGATGACAGAGCGTTTTAATCGTACACTTGGGGATATGCTGGCCAAGTACGCTTCATCCGACCAGTCAAATTGGGATAGCATACTCCCTTTTGTGACATATGCTTACAACACTGCAACGCAAAGCACCACTGGATTTTCGCCTTTCTTCCTGCTTTATGGACGCGAGCCATCATCAACAATGGATACCATTCTTCCTTATCGACCGGACCCTTTAGAGATGACTACCGTTTCTCGAGCAGCAGCACACGCTGAAGAATGTCGGAAGCTTGCTCGTGCGTTCACGTCACATGACCAGACGCGCCAAAAACATCGCCACGACGCGTCAACCACGCATATGAGCTTTGCTCCAAACTCACTGGTGTGGCTATGGATTCCTTCTACTACTCCAGGACTCTCCCACAAGCTTTCGTCCAGGTACCATGGCCCTTATCGAGTTGTACGCCAAACATCCCCTGTCAACTACCTTGTCGAGCCGCTGGATGCATCTCCGGACAAGCGCCGTCGGGGAAAAGAAATCGTACACATCTCTCGGCTCAAGCCATACCATGACCCTTCTGTCTACACCTGTCCTTAGGTCGCCAGGATGGCTCCCTCATCGGCCGGGGGTGATTGTAACGACGGTAGTGGGCATGGAGCTCGAGGATAGAAAAAGAAGAAGACTTGCTGTGATCGCAGGCTTGCGTTCAGTTAGCCCTTGCGCTAAATAAAGCTCTCCTTCGCCGAGTTCGCCTGCTTGTTCAACAACCCGTTTCAAAAGTTATAATACTAATCAAGGGTTTTTCAAGGTCTTCCATTGCACTGGTCAAAGCCGAAGTTATATTTATAATGTAGTGGCTGCAGCTGGAAAAGGCTATAGCCATAAACAAAGGGCTCCTAAGCCACTTCCGAGTTCAAAAGACAAAGCTTCTTTGCCATCTTTACTGCCCTTCCTACAGGTGCTACTATCTCCTCTTTATCCCTTCTTTCTTCATAACACCTTGATTGATGATTGATATGTGGGGTTTAACGTCCCAAAACCACCATATGATTATGAGAGACGCCGTAGTGGAGGGCTCTGGAAATTTCGACCACCTGGGGTCTTAAACGTGCACCCAAATCTGAGCACACGGGCCTACAACATTTCCGCCTCCATCGGAAATGCAGCGGCCGCAGCCGGGATTTGAACCCGCGACCTGCGGGTCAGCAGCCGAGTACCTTAGCCACTAGACCACCGCGGCGAGGCCTTCATAACACATGCATAAAGTGCCAGCACGAAGCGTTGAGATTATCAGGGTTTCACGTTTTTCGGCTACACGTTGTTATCTCCACGTGCGCAGTCGAAAATGCACAAAATGATGTGAAATCAGTTGATCGCGCACGAGAGTCATGCGAGAATAGACAGAATGTGCGTGCGACGCGACTGCTTGGCAAAGCAGGGTGGGAGCCGATTCCCAACCGACATTTCTCGTACTATATGGAACAAACAAGTGCTCATTTCCCCATGACATCACAAACTGTGCCAAAAAGAAGGGAAACACCGAGAAAGCATAATACACTCTTGTATATTGAAAGGTTGTTAGGGAGCCTTCTATGAAGGCAGCCAAGGGCCCACCCAGATGGCCGAAGTAGGGTAGCCAACGAACTCCACTGCTAAAGAGGTGGCCCCGCTCGCGTTTTTTGACGACGGGATCATCACGCATCTATGACATCAGTCTACAGCGCACTACCGACCATGCGCCTATGACATCAGTCTAAGGTGTGCACTCCTTTATGCCCGCTCTTGAACGGGGTGGGGGAATTGAAGAACATACCTGTGCCATAATGAGGTCCACCTTGCCCCTGAGCCTGCAGACCTTCTCGAACATCTCAGTGCGAGCTTCAAGAAGCTCGAGCAATGGGTTGAGCAGCGTATTGGCTTCCTTACACTGCAGAAAGAGAGAACACTCTCGGTCAGACATCCTCGCTGGTGAATGACTCAACCGGACCAACTTAGTAGATTGATGGCTCTTTTTTAACTTCTCTAAAACTTGAAACTTTTTGCTTATAATTTATGAATGGTGTGCAATGATAATGCATTCAATTAGCTTAGTGGATGGAGGCGGTAACATGAAGTGGCATAAATGTGTCAATGTAGGCTGACCGTCATCAGGTAGGAGGTGTGCGTCGAAACCACGGTCTTGGTCCACTTCATGTAAGGGTACACACTGCAAGCAAGCAAAAAAAGAAAAAATGATGGACAACGTTCTGTACACAGCGAACAATGTCATGAAAGATAGGGATACTCCCTTCCATTCTTCGCATTCACATCAAAGAAATACACTTAGCACTTTGTACCCAAAAGAAAGATAGGTATTGGTGTGTGTCGTACAATCAGATATCATTAGCTTCGTATGTCTGTTGTTTGATCTAAAACTGCAGGAGCCACAAAGAGGGCACCTAGGAAAATGCTAACTTCGTACTCTACCCTAAAACTCTCTCTGCCCCGCACGACTGCAAGATTAGTTTGTGATGTTCGTAGCAGCGTCTGCTATTTGTAGGTTGCGTTTTTCTCACGGAGTTCGAAGAGTGATTCGGGACTCATTTAAAACATGAAATAACAGAATTGAACTGTGACAACATTGAGGCCACGATCGAACTCACCCGGAGCCTCGGCTGTGCATACGCTGCTGCAGCTCCTTCAGCAAGGACAGGACGCTGGACAGTGGAAGCCGCCGCACCGTGTTTCGCAGGAGCGTCTCGTCCGTCCGCTGAAGTACGCTCTGAAACACGGAAGATTCTTTTAGTTATTTCTGCAGAAGCTGTAAAGCGCAGAGTGCATCGTCGGGTACTGCACAAAACAGTGGCTTCAGCCCACTGAAAGGCACTGAAAGATATTGACACTGGTGGCGACAAGTTTTACTGGGACCATGTGCAATGAAGATGCGCATGATAGACTCAAGTACGAAGCTAAAAAATATCCAGAGATGTCAAAGTTGGTCCTAAAAACCAATTAAATTATATAACTAGTTAGTTTTCAATTATTTTATTTAATGGGCCAGTAAACAACCCTGAGGTTCAAAAATCGTTATGAAGAGAAATATGTGCACTTTTGCTTTGTGAACATGCTGCCATAAGGATTTCGCAAATACGGAAGGAAATTACAGGGGTTAGAACATCAGTTTCAGCTGGTTCCTAATTTTCACGCGGCCTTTCCGCCTTTCTGTTTACCGGAGGGGGGTGAAGGTGTAGCCCGTCACCGTGAATGGTTTAGACTGATCGACGAGCTGCATCAAGTCGCCAATTGGCGACTTTGCGTAACTGCACCTCAAAGGAGGATTGGTCTGGCGTAGGAAAGGAGCATGGCCATTGCTTTTCGAAACGAAGGCTCTGCACGGCGCTGCAGTATTAGGAAAACGTAATCACCGTGGTGTACTCTACGAATTGCCGAGTTTCTTTCGGGGGTGTAAAATGAAAGTCCGAGCCTGTTCATTGGCCCTTTAAATAATTAAATTGCATGATATATTACAGCTGGCTAAAACTAATGGCATAAAACAACTATTACTGTGCATTTGAACAGTAATGAAATTATTGAAACAAAGTTCACCATTCCTGCAGGGCTGTGGTGCTGCCCAGCAGCATTATTCAAGGCTCCCAGTACGTATGACCCACAGTGTCTTTGTGAACCTACATCCCTCCCACAATTGAGGTTTGGCTCTCAGATTCAGCAGTCTTCACTCAGATTTTACCTGACTTGTTGCACACAACTAGACAGCTAGCAAGATTCAACTGGCAGCCTATGGAACTGCCAAAAGTTATTCACTGGCACCACAGCACAAAAGAATGTAGTGTTCTTTTATTTTTGTTGCATAATTTCGCATCATCATCGCAGATTGGAGTTGTGTGGTTCGAAGTGCACTGCTCTTTAGACAAACGAACACAGTCGCATCGTAGTGCAACAAACGCGTTGACTTAACAGCTTCTACGCAACAAGCTCTCCACTGAATCCAATGAATAACATAAGATGCTAAATAACCCAACATAATGCTAATGCAATACACAAACATAACACATGCAGAGTACCATGAATGCGACATTGCCGTCGTTCGACTCGCCACAGGAGTTCATGGGAACGAGCCGCAGCGCCATTCCCACTGACCTTCCGCGAGAGTTGACCGCCCATGGCTGTGCCACACCCCTAAAGAGACCGAGCTCATCCTCATGCACATGAGTAGCCTCGCTCCCACCAAGAGATTTCACTGGCAGCAACGCGTAAGCACAGTACCAACTCTTGCTTGGCGGCATTTAAACTAACTACAACATGAAGGTGCCGTGGCCCCTTGAACAGTGGACATGAGCACCCATACAAAGTAAACGCTGTGCTTGAGCAACGCGTGTCACGACTCGCACCAAGCAGGAAACGGCGGGCCTTACGTTCAGGAGTCTCGGGTCTTCGCTCTGCAGGCCCTGCAGCAGCAGTTGCGACAGGTTGTCCGCTCGCGGAGGCTCCTTGCCGCTCGCTTGTGTGACGGCCAGCAGCCTCTCCTCCATGGGCAACTGCGCCACACGAAAATGTCACGGCACCGCGCAAACAAGGCAGCCGGCCAACTTGACAAGTTCAGCTCAAGTTCTTCCAAAGCCTGCCTTCAGGAAGCCCAAGCTTTCTAAAGTTTTCTAAAGGTTTGAGCGTATTAGGAGTTCCGTATCTTAGAGATGGACAGGGGTGTGAAATTCAGGTATGAAACTAACACTGTTAGAGGAGGAAGAAGCAATTCCATCAAGAGATTTCTGTTTAATGAGTCTACTGTGTTTCTTTACTTTTATATTGGCTGGGGCTAGGGCGGATTAGAGGGGTATTTATGGCTATGCCCGTACAATCGAGAGGATCAGTCAGAAATCTATGGGGTCTTCCAGGCAAATAGCCCCAAGAAACGCTTCGTTAAAAATCTCACCTGCCCCATCGAGCCTGCTTGCACCTTACGCTTGCCGGCGCTGGGCGCTAGATGACCGGGTGCGAGTGAAGTCACTTCCCTCGTGGGTTTCACCGGTTGTTTGACCTGAACCACACACACAAACGCATGAGATGTCAGAAAATGAACGCATGAAAAGTGAAAAACGAGGTAAAGAGCTTTCAAATAAGTACCTTTCTAATTAATGGGCGGATCTTAACGCAATTATGGGGCAATACTGAATGATTTTCCACACATTGAGGAAAAGGGCGAGTTCATCGCTACAAGAGCAGTCATTTACCCAACAGTCGCACAAAGGCACTTTTTTGAAGGAGCTCAATGATTGGTTAGTCAACAGTGCTCAACCTTCAAATGGGGGCTACAAGATACTCAACATTATGGCAATCTTAGAGAGATTGGTAATCATATCATTATTATTTAGTAATCATTATGACAATCCAAAGAACTTAGAGATTATCTTAGTCTTAGAAATCATGGTAAACTGGGATGCTAAACAGAAATGTGGAACCTCTCCTGACCCAATCCCGGTCTTCCCACCATGTGTTTCACAATGTAGCCTCCTACCAAAATAAACCCATTATTTTGGCACCTATTGCCCGCATCTGTATGATGCAGTAATGAATTTCTAAAATTTGTAACTGACAGTACTTGTCAATTTTTCCAACAAAAAAAATAGAAGCGCACTTGGCGAGGACACAATCGCGCGCTCTATGCAGAGCGCCAAGCGCGCGCGAAGGCTGTGGTAAGAATTTACGGTGGCCGGGCCCAGTTTCCATTTGCTTAGTACTATGGCCTTCTTTTTGTCAGCGCTTTTTCTGTCTACCTTGTCCCCCTCTTTCCCTATGTTCGCGTGCTGAAAAAACTTGCAAATAGGACTACACACCAACTAGCCCAAGCTTCCACTCTTGTGAAACGTATCCTGGTTTCGGGACGTTAAGGGGGGCGCGGCAAGTAAAGTGCCGATTTTGGTCAAAATATGCGATTTTCTGATTTATTTTTTTTTCGTAATCTTCAGACCTTCAACTTCCTTGTTCTAAAATATTACAGCGAAACGTGCGCTACAAATCCCGCAAATAGTGTTTTTGCCGAGGCTAGTCGCCGAAAAGTGCGAAAAAAAAGCCCCTGAAACGGTGTTGTTCACGCCGCACAAACGCGCCAAGTTGTTGACCGTGGGCCGCCATTTTGGTAGCTTTGGAAAGAGGAGAAAGCCGGCTTCCCGATGGTCGCGGTCTCGTATTTCGCCGAGTGAAAATAAAAGCGCGAGGAGCAAGTAAAAAAACGAAAACGAAGAACGGCAATTGGCTGCGCGGGTCACGTGGTAGCAGGCGCGACCTCTTACTGGTCAAAGCTGCGCCGCGCACCTTGGCAACCTTGGAAGCGCGAGCGCATCTGCGGCCGCCGTGTCGAGAATCATCCGGCGTGCGCTTCGTTTTTTGCCAGTTTGCTGTTTTTGTGATAGTTCGCGTGCTTTTTTTACCAAGCTTTGTTTACATCGGTGGTCTCTTCTGAGTGCTTGCTCATACTGCGGTGCTATGTTGCCGCAAAAAAAGTTCCGGAGCGTCCACAAGTACGGCAAGCGACTGTGGCTGCCGTCCCAGTCGCAGTTCCGGACGGAGCATGCTCTTCAAGCGTCACGGAGCCTCTACTCAGACCCTTCGCTGATTGTTGTGAGGCCGAGAGTGTGGAAGGTGCCACATCGTCCTATGTCAGACCGCCGGATGCCGTCGACCGTGATGGACGCTCTCGCGAATCCGATTGCGGTGGCACCGCGTCGGCAGCCGTTGCAACTCCGGGCATGCGCGCGTCGAACATTCTATCGCGAGTTTCGGCCCAGATTCCGAGCAGTGAAGAAATCGCGCAGCGGGCGCAGACAAGGCGGAATGTTTTGCATCAAAGTCCGCTTCAAAGCGGAAGCTCGAGCTTCTGAACGAAGGCTGCGACGAAAATGACGGCGGTAAGGACTCCACATTTTTCATTGTAAATAAGATAATGCTGAACGGTCTGCTTTCGTCAGTAAAGTGCAACAAGTGCGACGAAGGGTCGATACGCCTCGAGACTACGCACTGCCTTGGACTCGCGGCGAGGATGGAACTTTTTTGTGACAATTGTGGCATAGTGAACAGTGCGTGGTCATCCCCGAGGTGCTCCGGGCAACAAAAAACGAACCCCTTTGAGGTAAACGTGCGTGCTTTGAGGGCTGTGAAGTCAGTTGGCAGAAAACAATCTGCCATAAATGACATTTTTTCTGCGATGGACATTTCGCATCGAGCACTGCACCACAAGTCCTACCAGAGACTGCAAAGGAGGTACAGCCACCCTGCCACCACAGCAGCTGCCACCCGCATTGAAGCAGAAAGTGCACAGAAGGTGCATGACATTTACAAGGACCTAGGAGGAGTGCCAGGCAACATTGACGTCATTTACGACGGCACGTGGATGACGAGGGGGCACAGAAGTCATATTGGCGTGGGCTGTGTAATCGAGCTGTACACAGGCTTGGTCTTGGACCACTGTGTCCTGTCCAACTACTGCCAAGGCTGTGCTGTTGGCCCCAAGCCTGGTGACGACAACTATGAGGAGTGGCTTGAGAAACACAAGCCACAGTGCCAAAAGAACACCGATGCTAATGCAGGCCAAATGGAAGTAGAAGCAGCTAGGATCATGTTTGAAAGATCGTTTACCAAGTACAAGCTTCGATACATCAATGTGCTCTGCGACGGTGACAGCCGTACGTACCTTGCCCTCACGCAAGACAAGGTGTATGACTACATGGTGATTAAGAAACAGGAGTGTGTGAACCATGTGAAAAAAAGAATGGGCACTTCCTTGCGCAACCTTCTTGATGAGCACAAATCCAAAGGCCGAGGACTGAGCATGGGTGGCAAAGGCCGGCTGACGCAGGGCCTGATAAAGAAGTTAACGAATTATTATGGCTGGGCCATTAAGAGCCACCCCAACGATGTTCCTGGCATGGAGAGGGCCATCATGGCCACTTATTACCATGTAACATCCACAGACCAGGATCCACACCACGACCTGTGCCCAAGTGGGACTGACTCCTGGTGCCCGCACAATCAGGCATTGGCCAAGGGAGAGCCGCTGCCGCCTCACAAACATAAACTGCCCCCTCACGTGCGAGTGGCACTGCTGCCAATCTACAAGCGCCTCTCGAACAAAGAGCTCCTTGAAAGGTGTGCGCAGGGAAAAACCCAGAACGCTGTGGAGAGTATGAACAGCCTCATTTGGTCACTCCAGTCCAAGAGCCAGTTCGCCTCCCTTCGAAGTGTGGAAAGTGCAGTTGCAGATGCAGTCTGCCGTTTCAATGGTGGCTGCAAGAGTGCGCTGCAAGAGATCACTGCTCAACTGGGCTTCAATCCAGGAGACTGCTCTTTGCGGCGAGCAGCCGAAAAGGATGCCAAAAGGGTAAAGAGGGCTCAAAAGGCGCATTGTTCCACGACAAAGAAGCGCAAAACTGGGTTGCGCTCTACAGAGGCCTAGGCCACAGCATCTCAAGATTACTGCCCAGGAGGATTCTGAGTGTTTTAGGCATGTTGTGAACTTCCAAACAAGAGTGAACTTTCAAAGTCAGTTTTCTCAACTCTTGATTTTCGCCTATGTGCCTTCGCTAGAACATCTGTCATTTTCTAACAAAGACTGATAGAGTCGTTCCGTTTCTTGCACTAGGCTCAGGAGGCCTTTAGCAGTGCAATAAAGCTTTATCTCTCTTCTTACTCATCATTTAAAATTTTTAGAACACATTTTGTAATTACTGCGATGTGTGCGCAAAACAACATCCATGTTTTGAAAATTTTATGGTTACAAGAACTAGAAAAATCAACTAATAGCTTCTTTGCACAAGTTGATGCTTTGGGAACATAATAATATGAAAAAATAATTTCATTTAGCAATAATTATCTCTAAGTGTGAAGAGCATTATTTAGTATAATTATGCTTGTAACTCAAAAAGTACAAGAGGTATTTGAAAACGGTTTTCATATTTGGAATCCTCACAATCATCCACATACACACACCAAATTTCATCACAAACAGTACATTAATAAAAAAATTAGTTTTACTTGCCACGTCCCCCCTTAAACCCCAGTAATTATAATTATTACTAGCCGCAACAGTTAAACCCAGCCACGGAAGCAACAAATGCCGATGCTCACCTGGGAAATGCCATCCTGCACCGTGAATGACACTGCGGGCTTCACCTTCCGCACCAGCCACGTTTGTTCGCGTAGGTCTTTCGCGATGCTCTGAAACAAACGACACGTGACGTCAATATCATCACACGTGACACCATTGAGCCCGATCGCGAGTGAAAATGTTAGTCACGATTTACTCATTCGTGCAAGCTGCGGGAAAGAAGCCAATTTGCGGTTGACAAAATCAACCTGTAGGGCCCTTAACCGCGACAGCGGGTGGTCTGTATGACCCTGACATTTCAAGCGTGTGATGAATGAGTGCCCGGTCGATTTTGGTCCCTGTTTTTCACACCTACAGGGTAACCAATGCTCCCCCCCTTCATCATTGGTACCCCTAATTGGTGGAATACCCACCTTTTGCATATTATCGGTCTCGACCTCAATCCCACACTGCACCAGACAAACTAAAGCGGGCAACCATGAAAGCCAGAGTTCACAACTACCCTGCAAACTGTCATAATTCCTACGTACCAGCATTAAGGGGGCAGACTGGTCTTTGTGATTAAAAAGTGCCAAAAAAATTCATTTTTTAAAATTGACATACCTGGTTTCTGCAAATAATTTTACATCTCTCAGCGAACTTTTCACACACCAGGAAGTGGTAATTTTATGTAATGTCATTCTAACTGTCCAGATTCTTGGTACTGTTAACATGGAGAACCTGCAAAGAAATGGGGAACCGACTTCGAGGCTTCTTTATGATTTGCCTACACCAGTGTAAGAGCTTTTGCTACGAATTTATGAGCACCTTTATGAAGATTGCAAAACATGGGCAACATTATTGTTGCTTTTTGAAGAAGCTGTGTGTTCTCAGTTTTTTTTCATTTTTTCTGGGAAAAGTAAATTTACGACTGTTCAATTTTGAGGCCTCAATATCTATGCAGCTAGGGCAGGTACAACAATAAATTTTTTTGCAATGGAAACCTGTATGTGTGTAGAATACAAGTATGGGAGCAGAATTTAGAGCACAAGCCTTTTTAATTAATTACTCATCAAAATTGTAACAAAATTCCAACTGCTTTTGAAAACGGATAGTTCATTTTGCTGTAGAATAACCAAGAAGGGCCTAAAAACAAGAAACTCTTGCATACTTTCAATCTATAGTTATTAGTTTATGTTGGCACATCTTGAACATCACTTTTAATTGAACACTTTTCTTTCCATGGCGTCCTTAAACAATAAGGGGCGAACTTAAGTTATCTCAGGAACAAGACAAGATATAGGAAAACTAATTGAATATTTTAAATCAGCAAAAAAAATGCATAATCCTGCACAGTTTGGTCAAGACCACTGAAGAAATAAACAAAAATACTGTCTAAGACAAGACCAGTCTGCCCCCTTAAGCTTACTGAACCGAAATCTCAACACTACAAAGCTTCATGAATGCGAGGAATAAATAGCCGTCCATGCCTTTGCCCTTCTTTATCACTCAGTTGCCACATCACGCGTCCTTACTCTGCGAGACGACACTAGTGAACAAATACAGTACAAACTAATTAATTTGAAGTCACTGGGACTGTGAAAAATCTTTGAATTAAGTGGGTTTTTGAATTAACGACACATACAAGTTACAAGTTAGATGCAAGATGCAAGTTAGATGCAAGGAACATTGAATTGGTGAATGTAGCCAGAGGTGGTCATTTGCCATGCCAACTCCAAGTGCTATGTTTTGCCTCAACACCCTGGCCCGATTTTGCTACAAACATGGGTGAATGGTGGGCACCGCTGCTGCAAGCGAAAGGGACAAAAAAAAAAAAAAGTCATGGTCAATTAAAATGTGCGACTTTGGAAAGGAAGACATGCTTCACTGCGACACAGTGGTAACACAAGGCAGCATGCCACTTGCTTCTTGCAGCATCAGCACGTCATGATGCCAACTGCCTTTTTTTTCTGGTAAAATAAAGAATTTCATAACGGCTAGTGTGACGGAACTTGCGGTGTGTTTTGACTAGAAAACACGATCACTGAAGTTATTGAACTCAGTTTTTGAAGTAGCTGTTGCAGACAAGAACTCCGCCAGCAGTGCAAGTGCACCAATTTCTGGAGCAACCGTCAATCGCATAAGACTGACCATTATTAATGTCATAATATTCCCAGAAAGAATAGGTAAATCACAATACGCTGACGTTGCGAGAAGCATGCACCGTGCATTCCGCGTATCACCACTGTGGTGCAGTGAAGCATACCTCCGTTTCCTCAAGCACACATTTAAGGGGGCGGACGGGTCTTTGGAACCGAAAAATCGCGAAAAAAACGTTTTTTTTTTAATGTCATTTTTGAATTCTGCAAGCATTTTTACACCTGCCTGCCAATTTTCAGACTCCAGAAAGCGATAATTTACTTGTTATATCATTACAAAGAGGACACGCGAGCTCGATTTGCGCAGAATCTGACGAAAAAAACCACCTCTTTCGCGATGCAGAGCTGCCGTTTGCCGAACGCCATTGCCGCGATCTCGGTCTCGTTTGAAAGAGCGTTTCTTCACCGTCCGATTCCCGCTCATAGAGCCTCGCTCCGCTCATTGGTTACCGAAAAAAAAGCAACCAAAGAAGAAGCAAAGTACGCGATGCTATTGGTTGTTAAACGCACGTGACCACGAGGTGGCCACTTCATTGGCTGATTGCGCTTGCATCGTCTGCTTGGCGCGTCAACAACGCGCGAACACCTGTTGTCGCGCCGACATATTTCCTGTGCCTGTGCTTCGACTAGCGTGCTCGCGATCGAAGTTGTTGCAATGCCTGGATCGGCACGAAAGTTTCATACACGGCATAAGTTCGGCAAAAAAAGAAAAAAGTCTCAGGTGAACAACTTCAAGGCGCGTCTCTTGGCGAGGAGCGTCAACGAACAACGAGATGGGTCGCCCGCCGATGCCGCCGACGCAAGCCTGACGGCCTCGCCAGCCTGCGATGCTCCCAAACGTGACCCATCGCCGGCACATCCATCACCCGAACGCGCAGACGAACTTTGCGAACATTGAGACTGCGCGACCTCCATCTCCGCCGACAGCGAAGGAATCGCCGAGGTGCCCGAGAGAGTCGACGGGGAGTTAGGCCTAGCGGGCCCGCCGGTCACCGACGCTTCGCTAAGCAGCGGCCGCGTCCGCCGTGATACAACCTTACTAACACAATCGGAGCTGCAGGTAAGGCGCACAAAGGCCGATGCAAGGCTGCAGGAACTGGCATCGACCGCCGCGTCGAAGAGAAAACTTGAGTTTTTGAGGAACGACGCACCGGCCGGCGCCGCTCCCGCCGAGCCAAACGAAGAGGTAAGTTTTTTGATCGCTGACCTTGGCTGCTTCGGTAAACTGTTAGATGCCATGAAATGTAAAATCTGCAACGGAAGCGTCAGCATCTACAGACAGGACAGACAATACGGCCTTGCCGTGAAAATGTGTGCGCGTTGCGTGAACTGCGGCGACATCGCACAAGCATGGAGCTCTCCGCAAGTGGATGGAGCACAGAAAGTAAACCCGTTCGCCGTCAACATTCTCGCCTCTCAAGCCATGCAGGCCACTGGGAACCGTCAAGCAGCTATGAATGATATATTTTCGACAATGAACATATCCCATCGCGGACTTCACAATAAAACGTGGCAAGGATATGTGAAGCGGAAATTGACTCCTGCAGCTAATCGCGTGGCCGAAAAAGTCATGGGCGAGTGCGCGAGTGCAGTTCGTGAGCTTTACAAGGAGCTGCATATTGACAATGCCGACAGTATTGCAGTCTCGTACGACGGCTCCTCTCGTACGACTCGTCCCACATAGGCGTGGGGGCAGTGATCGAGCTCTTCACTGGTCTAGTGCTCGACTATGTCGTTTTGAGCATCTTCTCTGCCGGATGCAAGCGCGGACCGAAGGCAGACGACCCGGCATATCAGGCTTGGCAGGACAGCCACGTGTGCCAAAAAAATACTACAAAAAAAAAGCTGGCGAAATGGAAGTTGAGGCAGCTGTGCACCTCTTTGAGAGGTCCATAAAAAAAAATGGCCTCAAGTACACTACAATCTTGTCAGATGGTGACAGCCGCACCTTCCTCGCTTTGCAAGAAGCAGATGTCTATGGCTTCATCAAAGTCCAAAAAGAGGACTGTGTCAATCACGTCCCAAAGCGTATGGGCACTGCCCTACGCAATTTAGTAGCAAGGCTCAAAGGAGGTGCCTCTGAAACCCTTGGAGGAAGGGGAAGGCTCACCGGGGACCTCATCACGAAGTTGAGCTCCTATTACGGCTGGGCGCTCAAATCTCACAAAGGAGATGTTGAGGACATGCACAGAGCTGTGATGGCGACTTACTATCACATCACTTCTAATGATAGTGAGTCAAACCACAGCCTGTGTCCCACAGGCCCATACTCTTGGTGCCGGCAAAATGCAGCTGCTGCCAAAGGGGAGCCCACTCCGAGGCACCATTACAATTTGCCACAACATGTGTGCAAGGCTCTTCTTCCAGTTTATGAGCGCCTGTCAGAAAAAGGGCTTCTAGAAAGGTGTCAAAGGGGTAAAACCCAGAATAGTAATGAAAGCCTTCATTCCGTTATCTGGGCTTTGGCACCTAAGCAGCGCCATGCTTCACTGTTTGCGGTTGAAGCTGCAGTTGCCGAGGCAGTGATGAAATTCAACTGTGGCAACTTGAGAACATCAACAGGAATCCTCGATGAGCTCAATCTCAACGCCACCCTCCCAAGCATCAGACGGATGACTGAGAAGGACAGGCGTCGAGTGGCCGACTCAAACCGCAAGCGTGCCTCTAGTGAGAAGGTCCAGCAAGCACTAAAGAAGCGCCACCGCAGTGCTAAGCACCAGTCTGACTATGTTCCTGGTGGCTATTAAGATCTGCATTGTGAAATATGCACCTTCTTATTGTTGTTTTTGAATAAAGTGTGTGTTATTTGTTTTTGCCATTTTTCTCAAAATGTGAATTTATGACTCCGTTCAATCTTAAGGCCTCGATATATCGAGGGCTGGTAGAGCAATAATTCTTCTTGCAATGGAAACCTGTATGTGTATAGAATCCAAGTATGGGAATGGAATTTAGAGTACAAGCCTTTTTAATTAATTACTCATCAAAATTGTAATATTATGCCAACTGCTTCTTCAGAGTGGAAAGTGCAATTTGCCATGACATAACTAAAAAGGCCAAATAAAAGAAACTACTTGCATTATTTCAATCTTAGATCATTAGTCTATCTTGCCATATCTTGAATGTTGCTTTTAATTAGGCACTTTTTTTTCTATTGAGGCCTTAAACAATATGGGTTGAACTTGCATTATCTTGGGAATGCGATGAGTTACAGGAAAAGTAATTGCATATTTGAAATCAGCAGAAAAAACTGCACAAGGCTGTGCATTTTCATCAAGATCACTGAAGAAATAAACAAAAAATGTTTAAGACCAGTCTGCCCCCTTAAATTGAGAGACCGCCTTTTTTTTTCTTCCTTTTTTTTTTTTGCACTGCTAGAAGCGTGGCCGCAGTGCTTTTGTCACTCATTAGTACCGCTACACTGCATTGCCCTATGGCACCTAAATGTCGCAGTTTCTGCGGATTCGCGGCAAAATCGGGAATCGAAACATGGCACCCAAGGTTTTCAAATAATTAACCGGACTGGTGCTGATCGCCGCTGCAAATTATCCACTCAAACTTGTATTGCAAAGTACTGGACGACAGAAATCATTTGAACTGACCGGGATTTCGAGATAACCAAGTTCGAATCAATGAGGTTTTGCTGTACTTTTGTAAGCTTTGCTACGTACACTACGTGTCTGTTTGCTTCGACAATAACGCATTTACGTACATGTCCTCATGCTAGTTTCACCAGTAGCTCAAGATGTCATCATCATCATCATCATCAGCCTGACTACGTCCACTGCAGGACAAAGGCCTCTCCCATGTTCTGCCAGTTAACCCGGTCCTGTGCTTGCTGCTGCCAATTTATACCCGCAAACTTCTTAATCTCATCTGCCCACCTAACCTTCTGTCTCCCCCTAACCCGCTTCCCTTCTCTGGGAATCCAGTCAGTTACCCTTAATGACCAGCGGTTATCCTGTCTACGCGCTACATGCCCTGCCCATGTCCATTTCTTCATCTTGATTTCAGCTATGATATCCTTAACCCCCGTTTGTTCCCTAATCCACTCTGCTTTCTTCTTGTCTCTTAAGGTTACACCTACCATTTTTCTTTCCATTGCTCGCTGCGTCGTCCTCAATTTAAGCTGAACCCTCTTTGTAAGTCTCCAGGTTTCTGCTCCGTAGCTAAGTACCGGCAAGATACAGCTGTTATATACCTTCCTCTTGAGGGATAGTGGCAATCTACCTGTCATAATTTGAGAGTGCTTGCAGAATGTGCTCCACCCCATTCTTATTTTTCTAGTTACTTCAATCTCGTGGTTCGGCTCTGCGGTTATTACCTGCCCTAAGTAGACATAGTCTTTTACAACTTCAAGTGCACTATTACCTATCTCGAAGCGCTGCTCCTTGCCGAGGTTGTTGTACATTACTTTCGTTTTCTGCAGATTAATTTTAAGACCCACCTTTCTGCTCTCTTTGTCCAACTCCCTAATCATGAGTTGCAATTCGTCCCCCGAGTTACTCAGCAATGCAATGTCATCGGCGAAGCGCAGGTTACTAAGGTATTCTCCATTGACTCTTATCCCTAACTGCTCCCATTCTAGGCTTCTGAAAACCTCGTGTAAGCACGCGGTAAATAGCATTGGGGAAATTGTGTCCCCCTGCCTTACACCCTTCTTGATTGGTATTCTGTTGCTTTCTTTATGAAGCACTATGGTAGCAGTTGATCCCCTGTAGATTTCTTCCAGAATGTTTATATATACTTCATCTACGCCCTGATTCCGCAGTGTTTGCATGACGGCTGATATTTCTACTGAATCAAACGCCTTCTCGTAATCTATGAAGCCTATGTATAGTGGTTGGTTATACTCTGAGCATTTCTCTATTACCTGATTGATAGTATGAATGTGGTCAATGTTGAGTAGCCTGTTCGAAATCCTGCTTGTTCCTTTGGTGATTGAATTCTAATGTTTTTCTTTACCCTGTTAGCAATTACCTTTGTAAATAGCTTGTATACTACACAGAGCAAGCTGATCGGCCTGTAATTCTTCAAGTCCTTGTCATCTCCTTTCTTATGTATTAAGATGATGTTAGCGTGCAAATTATCCCCTCAAACTTGTATTTCAAAATACCGGACGACAGAAATCATTTGAACTGACCGGGATTTCGAGATAACCAAGTTCGAATCAATGAGGTTTTGCTGTATTTTTGTAAGCTTTGCTACGTACACTACGTGTCTGTGTGCTTCGACAATAACGCATTTCCGTACATGTCCTCATGCTAGTTTCACCAGTAGCTCAAGATGTGTAGTGTGGCAAATGTTTCAACATTACTTTCATCCTCAGAGAACCACCCGCATTTTTTTCTTGAAGACTTCGTGCTACAAGCAGGCACTGTCCTTTTCGTTTCTCATATTGTAGCTCGAGCCCTAACTCACAAAAATTTATTGAAAATGCAAGCAAACAAGTGACAAAAGGATACAGGCAGAAGTATTGTAGAATTGGCAAGTTGGCTCCTGGCAAAAAATAATCTGCTGCACAAATAGACGAGGACAAAAAGAGACATGCACACGACAAACGCACTGGAAAAACGGTTGCTCACCAAATGTTCGAAGCTGGGCAACAGGAAGTTGTTGTAGCAGAGCAGCAGGCGGTCACCGGTGGGGCAGAAGGCGGCGGCCAGGATGGCCACTGGCTGTGGCTTGGGGGCCCGGCCGTTCTGGGTCTCGGTGGCCACCTGCACCGTGTACTTGGGCTGCATGGGCGTCTTGCAGCGCCTGTAGTGTGTTACCGTGGTCACAGTTAAATGCCCCCGACACCTCTTGAACACTACAGAAATTAAGAAGCCCTCCCCTATCAGGAAAGTGGCTTGGCGATGCCTGACCTGAATTTTCTTTCTACCACATTGTACAACGCTAGCTCCCAACTTTTTCTTTCCTCCGTGCCAGGAATGGGACCATAATGCACGTGCTTAGCGGGGCAACACTCCAGGCAACGACAATGTCATGTGTTCATATCCAGGAAACAACGTAATGACAAGTCACCCCACTAAAAGATCGCACTGCCATGTCAGAAACAGCTCATCGTCGATTAGCCCTTAATCAAACGAGCATCAGATGTTGGAAAATGGCACATACAAATGAGCGTGTGGCCAGCACCCTTTCGAGGGCTGCATCGGTTAGCGTGCAGAACATTTGAGTTTTTTAGTAATGACAGCGATACAATACTGCTTATGCTACAGTACTACACTCAGACCTCGATATAGCAAACACAGATGTAACGAGTTATCAGTTATAACGAAGTAAATGAAAGACAGCATTGTCATAAATACAGTGCTACAAATATATGTTTATAACAAATTTTCGAATATAACAAAGTATTTTTGTGGCAGGTGTGATTTCGTTATAATGAGGTTTGAGTGAATTCCGCATTGAGTGTACTACCACGATGTGAAACTACTTTAGCTCCGTTAGTCGCTAATGCATAGCCATTTGCCGCCCAAGACTGTACCGTATTGCCGTACTTACTGCACAGTAAATGGGCACTGCTAAAAAGACCCTTGTGATGAGACTTGCTGTCACAACTACCGTATTGCCACAGCTCGACCATCGCAGAAGACGCGTACCACAATTCGCGTTCGTAAAAGCCGTCAAGCAAGTAGCAAGAAAGCCGCGCCATGGAACGCCGTCCTGCACGCGCCACGATGCTACGCCATGGGACTGGCACGAGACTCGAGGGGCAGAAGAGGAGACCGACGAAGTTAGAGTCAGGGGCGCAGACATTTTGGCTGACCATTTTTAGCTTCAAGTTTACGGGCACAAGTTCGCCCTGAATAAAGAGTTTATATAGTACCAGGTGCTATATTTATTCGTAACAATCTAGTGGACGTGCTGGGTATGATTCCAAGCCCACCACAGGCAAGGAGAAGCCCAGATCCCAGAAGATTGGAGCCAGCAGAATTGACACCTGTGCACCAACGCACGAGTCGCCGACTACGTGGGGAGCAGCCCGAGTTTGGCCCCCTAATTGACTCATCAAGACCTGTCGAGACCTCAAGCACAAGCGTCACTGCGATGGCCACCCAGTCGATGCCATCTCCATCTCACCTCATCGTGGATTCGCCACGTACACCAGAGGTCTTCCACGGTGAGACCTTTGAAGACGCCGAGGACTGGCTTGAAGGCTTCGAGCGCGTTGCACGTTTGAATGGTTGGGACGAAGCCCGAAAGCTTCGTTACGTTTACGTCGCCCTGCAAGATTCGGCACGTACGTGGTTTGAGAACCACGAAGCGTGCATGCTGTCATGGGACGACTTCCGACGAGAGCTAATCGCAACCTATCCGAACACGGACCGCAAAGAGAAGGCAGAGGCTGCTCTTCAGGCGAGGAACCAGCGGAATAACGAGAGCGTGGCCATGTACATAGAAGACATGTCACGGCTCTTCCGCCGAGCCGACCAAAACATGGCCGAGGAGAAGAAGTTGCGGCACCTAATGCGCGGAGTAAAGGAAGAAATTTTTGCAGGCCTGGTGCGTAATCCACCGCGAACTGTGGCGGAGTTCCGGTCCGAGGCAACGACCATGGAAAGGACGCTACAACAACGTGCGCGACTGTACAACAGAGACTTCAGCGTCTCTTCAGTCAGGGTGGAGTCAACAACCTTCCCCACCAACGTTGACGTCCTCCGGGAAATGGGGAGGGCTATTGTTAAGGAGGAGCTCCAGAAACTGCAACTTCCTCAAAGTCCTTCAGCGATGCCCTCAATCGCGGACGTTGTGCGTGAAGAAGTGCGGCAAGCAATTATTCAACCGCAGCCTCAGGTGCCACACCACACGCAACCGGAACCTCAGCCACAGCTGTCATACGCGCAAGTCGTACGGCAAGACATGAGACGCCCGAGCTTTGCACAAGCTCCCGTTATGCCACCGACCTTTCCTCGCAGTACTCCAGCGCCGATGCCAGAAGCAAGACCCCGCAAAAGTGATGTATGGCGCACGGCAGACCGGCGGCCCCTCTGCTACCACTGTGGGGAGGCAGGTCATCTTTATCGGACATGCCACTACCGTCGGGTCGGGCTACGTGGCTTCCCAGTGAATGCGCCCTGCCCTCGTAACGGTGAGCGCCCTTACGAAATCGAAGAATATTTGTCTTCGCGCTATGCCTATCCAAACACTCAGCGACATGAATCGCGGTCGATTGCACCAATGCGCAATAGGTCGCCGAGTCCACACCCATCATCTACTTTCCCGAGGCGTCGTTCACCAAGCCCGCGACGGGAAAACTAGAACCGGCGACCTGTGGAGGCAGGGCCGCTGATTTTCGAAAAACTGAAAACCCTCCATCGCTAACCGGATCAGACGACGACACTGACACAACGACGGACAAGCGCAGTAATGGTGACGTGACATCCGAGCTACAAGTCAGAATAGACGATGTAGAAACCATAGCGTTAATAGACACAGGTGCAGATTACTCAGTAATAAGTAGCATGCTCGCAAAGAAGCTGAAGAAAGTGCTCACTCATTGGACCGGACCGCAGATACGCACCGCCGGCGGGCACTTAGTCAGCCCCGTAGGATTGTGCACAGCGAGAGTGGGAATAAGAGGCCATGTGTACGCCTGCAGTTTTATTGTTCTTCCTGAATGTTCCCGTGAGGCAATTCTGGGCATGGACTTTCTGCAAGCAAACAGTGCCATCATCGACTTGCAGAAATCCCAAGTTTCTTTCTCTACAGAGAACGCTGTTGCCGTGTGTCATGCGGAGCAACCAATTGTTTCGTCTCTTCGTATTGTGGATGAAGGTGTGACAGTGCCGCCACGTAGCAGCGTGACAGTTTCTGTGAAAAGCGACATTTTTCGTGAATATGCCGGACTAGCTGATGGAAATGTCGAACTGCTGCTCACAAAGGGAATACGTGTGGCGAGAGGTCTAGTGAACCTGCGGAACGGATATACTGATGTGCTATTGACTAACTTTACCAACGAGGTACAGCATGTGGCGAAGGGAGCAGCCATAGCATCACTTCATGACTACGTACAAGTCTCAGATGTTTGCACCATAGAAAAAGTACCTACAACGCCCTCAACAGTGGAAAGTGTCCTCGAGAAAATAGATATTGACCGAGAGCTTTCATCTCTGCAGAAAGACCAGATTGTGGAGTTGATCAAGGAATTCGCAGAGTGTTTTTCTTCTTCTTCGAAAGTCGGACGTACGTCTGTAGCAAAGCACCGCATTGTAATCGAAGGGCATGTTAGACCAGTATGTCAGCATCCATACCGAGTAGCTCCAAAAGAAAGGGAGGCGATAAAGAAGCAAGTACAGGAGATGCTCGACGACGATGTCATACAGCCCTCCAAAAGCCCATGGGCATCGCCGGTAGTATTGGTGAAGAAGAAGGACAACACCATGCGGTTCTGTGTTGATTGCAGAAAACTCAACCTCGTCACGAAGCGAGACGTGTACCCACTCCCACGAGTCGACGATACGTTGGATAAACTGCGCAATGCTCACTTTTTTTCATCGTTGGATCTAAAGAGCGGGTACTGGCAAATAGAAGTCGACGAACGAGATCGGGAAAAGACGGCGTTTGTGACACCCGACGGACTCTACGAGTTCAAAGTACTCCCATTTGGTTTGTGTTCTGCTCCCGATACCTTCCAGAGGATGATGGACCCTGTGCTCTCCGGCCTCAAATGGCAGTCATGTCTTGTCTATCTGGATGACGTAGTAATTTTTTCCACTACGTTCGAGCAGCATGTACAGAGATTGAGAACGGTATTGGACGCTATTCGTATGGCTGCACTTACGATCAAACCCGAAAAGTGCCACTTTGGGTTCCGGGAGCTCCGGTTCCTCGGGCACATTGTCAGTTCTCACGGTGTCCGCCCAGATCCGGATAAGATCACTGCGGTTGAAAATTTCCCAAGGCCAAGAGACAAGAAAGCTATGCGACGTTTCCTGGGGCTTTGTGCCTACTATAGGCGCTTTGTTGAAAATTTCTCCAAGATTGCGGAACCACTGACACGGCTTACGAAGGAAGGTGTGCCATTCATCTGGCACCAAGAGCAAGAAGACGCCTTCTCTGAGTTACGACGGCGTTTGCAGTCACCTCCCATACTTGCTCATTTTGACGAAGATGCCAAAACAGACATTCATACGGACGCCAGCAACGTTGGCCTCGGTGCTATTCTTGTTCAATGGCAGAACGGGGAAGAAAAAGTTATTGCTTATGCAAGCCGCACTCTGTCGAAAGCTGAGTATAATTATTCAGCTACGGAAAAGGAATGTCTCGCAGTGATATGGGCTATCAGTAAGTTCCGTCCATATTTATACGGTAGACCATTCCGAGCCATCAGTGACCATCATTCATTGTGCTGGCTTGCGAACCTCAAGGATCCTTCCGGAAGACTTGCTAGATGGAGCCTACGTCTACAAGAATATGACATCACCGTAGTCTACAAGTCTGGCCACAAGCACAATGACGCGGACTGCTTGTCACGAGCACCAATCCAGAACTCGTCTCCTGAGCATGAACAAGACTCCGCATTTCTTGGAGCTGTGAATGTGTCGGAGATGGCTCATGATCAACGAATGGACCCAGAATTACTTCTGCTCATTCAATACTTAGAGGGGCAGCAAGTCGAAGTACCGCGAGTTTTCATCCGTGGACTACGTTCCTACGTCCTCCGCAACAACGTTCTCTACAAGAGAAACTTTCAACACACCGGTGAAACGTTCCTACTGCTGATACCATCATCACTGCGAGCGGAAATTTTAGAAGCGTGTCATGATGACCCATCGGCAGGTCACTTGGGCATTAGTAGGACTTTGGCAAAAATCCGCCGCAGATATTACTGGCCAAAATTGATGGATTCAGTACAGCATTACGTAAGATCATGTCGAGAATGCCAAAGACGCAAAGTACCACCCCTAAAACCAGCAGGTCTTTTGAAACCGATAGAGCCACCGAAAGTCCCGTTTGAGCAGGTCGGAATGGATTTGCTAGGACCATTTCCTATGTCATCGTTTGGGAAGCGCTGGATAGTTGTAGCAACCGACTACATGACCCGGTATGCCAAGACGTCATCTCTCACAAAAGGAACGGCAAATGAAGTGGCTCAGTTTTTTGTGACCCAGATAGTGCTGCGACATGGCGCACCTAGAGTTCTTATAACTGACAAAGGAACTGCGTTCACTGCCAGGCTAGTACAGTCTGTCATGAAACTAACACACACCGACCACAGAAGAACTACCGCATACCATCCGCAAACTAACGGGTTAACTGAAAGGCTGAACAGGACGCTTGCTGACATGATCGCGATGTATGTGGACGTCGAGCATCGGACTTGGGACACCATATTACCGTATGCTACATTTGCATACAATACCGCAGTACAAGAGACAACCCACTTCACGCCATTTCAACTTGTTTATGGTCGGACAGTAATAACGACATTAGACGCGATGCTGCCTGTCAACAGCACGAATGAAGAGGACCCTGACATAAGCGAATATGTAGAAAGGGCAGAAGAGGCGCGACAACTAGCACGGAACCGCATCATTCAACAGCAGAACGTCGACGCGCACCGTTACAATCTAAGACGAAGGGATGTTCAGTACTCCCCTGGAGACCAAGTGTGGGTCTGGACGCCTGTACGTGCACGTGGCCTATCAGAAAAGCTTATGCGGCGCTATTTTGGCCCTTACAGGGTTCTTCGTCAGCTAGGCCCATTAAACTACGAAGTGATCCCTGAAGGTCAAGTATGCACAACACGACGCAGGAATCTCCCGGAAGTTGTACATGTAGTACGTATGAAACCGTACTACGACAGGAACTGAACAACGTCGTCTAACACAAGGAGAAGTCCTATTGTTTAGAAACTGTCAGCCGGCTCTACGCATCGGGGCGATGCGTGCTAGGAGGGGGACTAATGCCACAGCTCGACCATCGCAGAAGACGCGTACCACAATTCGCGTTCGTAAAAGCCGTCAAGCAAGTAGCAAGAAAGCCGCGCCATGGAACGCCGTCCTGCACGCGCCACGATGCTACGCCATGGGACTGGCACGAGACTCGAGGGGCAGAAGAGGAGACCGACGAAGTTAGAGTCAGGGGCGCAGACATTTTGGCTGACCATTTTTAGCTTCAAGTTTACGGGCACAAGTTCGCCCTGAATAAAGAGTTTATATAGTACCAGGTGCTATATTTATTCGTAACAGTATTTACACGATTGTAAGACGACTCGAATGTAAGACGACCCCCCCAAAATCGCATCTCAAAAAAAAAAAAAGCGCGCATTTTACACAAGGAAAATTTATTCACGTGGTTGCGGAGGATTATTCATCGTCGCTGGAGTCGTCCTCGCTGTTGCTGCTGCCGTCATTGCTGCTGCAGTCCCACAGCACGTCGTCGTCAAGTGTGAGTAGGCCGCAAGCTTCGCCTCTAGTTCCGAAAAGCGGCCAGACTTCGGCCCGCGAAAGCCACGGCGCTTGGAGTCGCACGAGAAAATTTCCTCGCGCTGAAGCCGCCACTTCCGCACCACACATTCACCGATTCCGAACTTCCGTCCTGCTGCACAGTTGTTGGTTTCCTCCGCATGAAGAATAGCAGCCCGCTTAAACGCTGCCGTAAACGAGCGCCGAGTGTTTTTCGAGCCTACGGCACTCATGTCAGACAGAAGTGACTCGAGAGAGCCGGTCGTGGACACAAGCGACAGGAGCACGCAACGACGCGCCCGCTTAGAAAATTGTATCACAAAGAGGAGCTCTTCCGTCAACTACCAATACCCCCCTACGGCGGCTCTTCCATCGATTACCGGTGCTCCCTCAAGAGCCGTGCGCTCATCATAAAGGCACTCGTAATGCGCACAGTAGATGCTAAAAAAAGAAAAGCTTTTGTATAAGCACGCGGAAAACTATGCGCTTTGGGTTGAGCGGGAAACTATTCGAGATGACAATACATGGATTCTAAGGTACATGGTTCGATTTCGATTCTAAGACGACCCCCCAACATTGGATTATCAAATTTGAAAAAAAGGGTCGTCTTACAATCGTGTAAATACGGTACATGCTCACTTTGCATTGTAATGCCTTTCCAGTAAGTTAACTTTCGTTACATGCATCCGGTTCCTACTGTTCTTCACACTCATACTGCAACCGAAAAGGCGTGATGGGGCCGAGCACGCTGCCTCAACTACTGATTTGTGGCGTTTCTGGGCTATAATTGCAAAGTTTTGCAAAACCTCTATCAAGAAGACGGCTGATTTTCTGTACACTGCCATGTGCCCTTACACTGTTCGTCTTATGGTTATCAACATTCCATCATCAAGGTGAGATTTATCATGTTTCACCAAGAAACCATCAAAGCAAAGCCACTTTTTAACCCACATACAATTTTAACCCCTTCAGAAGCAACATATGAAGACATCGCAGTGAATGCATCAAATTTACACGTTACGGCACTCAATATTGCAGAAAATAATGTCATATACCAGCCATTTATGTTTTTTATATACTATATTGTAATTAGATACCTATTTATAAAGCAGTCATGCATAAATAGAATCAAATTTCTTGGGCTGGAAATAACAGGAAAATTTCATTTTTGCTTACGTTCATTTCAAGGAAAGAAAAGTTGTACTTTTGATATGGCTTACGAAAGCGGTACGTGAAATGGCCCATCGAAGTAGGCACGGCATTTAAAAGTTATTAAATGCAACAGTACACTAGAGAATGACGCTTAATGCAGACCACATCTAAAACGATTCATTCAATCCTCAATGCGTCTTGATCTTGCATAGGCACAAGCTGTCGACACAAAGGCGTACAAAGCGTCTCAAAGTGCGTTAACTTTTAAAGAGCCAGTGATGCTCAAGCACCTTTTTTCTTTACTTGTTTGATAGCAATCGTCCCGGGTAAATGACCATGGCTCACGCAGTGGCTTGCTTACCCATTCAGCTGCAGCTCGAATATGTGTAGCGTGCCGGACTTGGTCACCGCCGAGAGGTGCGCCGTCTACCAAGAGAACGACAGTGTGAGCCTCGGTTTCAAAACAATTACCGAAATTCAACGAGAACCATTAGCAAAACTCAATGCCTTTCCCTGCGACGACGGCTGTCCACATACCTTGTTGTTTTCTGACGAATGTGAAACGCTGATGTGTACCGCTTCCTCTGAGAGCACGAAGTTGGCCAACGAGCTCGAACCGGCTCCTTTCTCGAGGTGCCTACAAAGTTCAATGCCAACCAGAGATGAAGAGGCATACAGGAATGCATGAGAACACAGCTGTTGGAAGGTGGCTACAGTCGTCGGTTTCAACTTTCCATCTACAGGCCACCAATCTCCAAAAAGACATGCTCAAACAAATATTTGGCAATATGCTTTGTGATACCCGAGTTTATTAGAACCTTAAAGTATACAAATATATTGCAAGCAAGCAGAAATCACTTTAAAAAATATGATCCTTTATAACTTGTTGCTGTTTAACAGCTGCTTACTTCTGTCCCTATGGCTCTATCAAATTTCTTTTTTCTCACAAGCTGATGTTATCATGCTTTAACAACATGCAAGGTCAGGCAAAAAGTGTTTTTCTACACTGAATAGCTCCAGTATAGCTCTTTTCAAACAGCTATCAGTTTGGCCAGCCTGCACACAACCTGGTACAGTCAAAATCAACTTTTAGTACCCAGCAACATCAGCATAAGAGAAATAAAATGCCATCCACCAATTCAGAGAAGCACTTTTTCAACCTCAAGGGTTGAAAAACCGCAGAAGTGGCCTAGCAACAGATGCATCGCGCGCTACTTTCGGGACTCAGTGTACTAACCAAGCTCGGTAAGCAAGACCGAAGCTTTCACATGACGCAAGCAAGTTTTCCCTTTCAACTGACACACATTCATTTTTCAGACCTACTTTTCGCTCATCGGGCGTTCGTTCTAGAGCCCAAGAATGCGCTGCTTTCTGAACAAAAAACTTTTGAATGAGACACAGCCCGGGACTCACCACGCACTCACTTGCCGGTCGTTGGCCGCGCACGTCAGGAAGTAGGTCCTCTCTTCACCGTCCTTACTGGGCACGAAAACAGGCAGAATGTGCCTCACCTCGGTCACGTGACCTGTGAACTTCTGCTCAGCAAGAGAGAAAGAACAAACACATGAGGAGCAGCCCTCTTCGCCACACTTTCTGCAAGTGCAAAATTGGCATAAACTGACAATACCATAACAGGAAACTCTAGTTTTTAAAGGGGCACCTAAAGAGGAAAATAATGTGTCATGTATTACACTCAGACCTCATTGTAACGAAGTATTGATTATAGCAAAGCAACTGAAAAGAAAAAACAGCCTTGCAACAGAGAAAGTGTTAGGAATAACCTTTACAATGAAGTTTGAATATAAAGAACTTACTTTTTGTGAGATTCAACTTTGTTATAATGAGGTACGAGTGTAGCAAAGAAGTTTCACAATCCCAAAAACGCCATTATTACTGCGAGACGACGCATGGTAAGCGAGAAAACTCGTGAAAATAAAGTGCGGTTGCAGACGCCACCTTGAGGTTCCCGCACTAAACACAGCAACGTAGAAGATTCAGGGGACGTCTACTGGGTCCTACGCAGCTTGTAATCGACAAAAATGAAGTGCAGTGCTATCTGTGTGGGCCATAAACCTAGTATACGATTTTTCGGAAAGTTTCATAGAGCCAATGTCGTGAGAACACGAAAAGACATTTTGAAACGAGTGACGTGACGTGCGGAGATTGCAGAGCGAAACTTAAAAATAAAACTTCAACCTTCATTTTTTCGGCTCATAATGAACTTACGATAGTGAAACATGGCATTAGAGTTCTCAGAGTGCAACTTATCAATCTAAACCAAGTCAACGTTGCTCTTTAGTGTCCCTTTCAAACACTCTGTCAAAACCCTTTAGAGCCCAATTATAAATCCTCTACAATGTTGCCAGCACCGCAGGTAACGCAACTAGTAAAGTAATGTACGGTGTCACGCACCATTACAATTGATTTCGTGTCTATGTTCCACCACTTGATACTGCTGCTGGCGGTGAGTACAGTGTTGGCGTCGACGGCAGCAACAGCGTAGACACTATGACGATCGGCTTTCCATTTGCTGCAAAGAAAGGAGAGAACACGAAGTTTTTGTTAGTATTTATGCAATAAATATACACGCACGAGGCTTCAATGACACAATATAACTAATTATTTTCAATACTAATTTCTTTACAAACATCATGTACAAAGTCAGGGGCCAGCTTAGAATTGAGATGATGTTTAGCCTGAAAGAAAAAAGAAAAACAAAATTTCAACCAACTAGCAGCGATATTACTGTAGTAACACAATAACATACATTACGATGATGTTGAAAAGGCAACAGTGTTGTCATCAATAGCCGTAATACATAGCAAAACAGTAACACAAAAACGAAACAGACTTTTTAGCACTTGTCCTATACATTTAATTTCTATGTGTTACATCTTGCTATGTGTTGCCACTATAAATGAATTTCAAACCACCCGTTTTTGCTTTTCTTGGCGTACAGTGAAACCTCGCTAACTCAAAATAGCATGTCTCGGAAAATCGGCTAAGTCGAAATTTCCGCGGCACTGAACATTTATTTTTTGTATTTTTGGGACGGATTGCGAATAACTCGAAATCTTGACTTGGAGGGGAACGAAAATTCTGCCACCAGACAATTTCACAAGATTCGTGCAATGCTGCCATGTTGAAGTCTTCTGATTTTTTTTTTATTATTTAGCCGTGCCGGCTATTACGTCGATGCTTTCCGCAAACGCAAATTGCGCGAAGTCTCCGCCCGGCCAAATGTCAGCTTTGTCAAGCAACCCGGTGGCACGTCATGATACATGCCCTGAGCAGGGAGGCCCCCTGCCCATGCTTGGCGTAGTTTGCCTCGTTCGTTTTGTGTAGTGCACATGATCTTCCCTGAGGTGTCATTTCCGTTCGTCTGCGCACACCACACAGTACAAACTTTGCTCTCACTGTGACTGCAGTGCTCGTGATTTTCCCTGAAATATGATTTCCGTTCATTTGCGCTAACCGAGCGGTACAGTTTTTTCACTGACTGTGAAGAGCAGCAACTTAGCGCGAATGCGGCAAGCATGGCGCCAAAACAGTGCAAGTGCTTAACGCTAGAAAAAAAGGTTGCCTTAATTAAGCAAGTGGAGAAAGAGGCAGAGCGAAATCGAGCATTGTGCAGAAATTCGGCATCCCTTTGTTTACGCTTTCGACGGTACTGAAAAACAAGCAGAAGGTGCTGGATGGCTTTCAGTAGAGTTTGGCGAAAGCAGGTTCGAGGGTCGAAGTTTCCAGACGTTGAAGCGGCGTTGGTGGTATGGCTGCGAAATGCCAGAGCGGCAAACCTTCCCATTACCACAGCAATGATGATAGAGAAGGCCGACGCTCTAGCCTTGCTGGCAAAACCCAGCCGATCGAAGTCTTTTTGTATGTTATTTCTCTCTTAATCCTGCACGAGAATAAAGATTAGAAACTGCCACTGAAGGACCGGTAAGTAGTAGTGATTTTTCTCAAAAGCCCTCATTTCTTCCGGTGATTAGCACACCTTTGCTTATCTCGAAAATCCTTTTATCTCAGAATTTTCCCTGGATTTTACGACTTCGAGTTAACGAGGTATTACTGTAATGTGTTATGAACAGCAATCATATTATGGCAGTAACAACGAAACAAGATGTTGGAACTGTCCTGCAAGCCATATGGCTATCATCACACAGCAAATGTTCAACATTATGAAGTACATTCCTTATCTAATGGGACACATGAAGTCTAGCAAAAGGAAGCATTGAAGTGGTTTGAAAGAAAGCGTACAGAAATTTCTTCCTAACCACTCTGCGCTGCCTTTTGGAAGTTGCTCAACCAACTACCCGACCAGCTCAAAACTTTGAAACACAAAGCACGTGATCTGAATCTATAATCGGTAAGACTGCGTATGCGAAGGTTGAGGAGGTTATGAGTACCTGAAGTGTTGCTCCCAACAAGTGCAGACTCGTGTTTATATTGATGAGCCAAAAAGATTGCACCAATATGCAAGTTCCTTACAAAGCCGAAAACTTTGTTTTTTGTCTTGGTTCTGAACCACGGTATTTTCTTTTTCTCACCACATTACAGCGAGCAAATGTAGTTGTACAGCTGTATTGCTGTCAGGTCCTTGTAAAAAGCTTTTTTTCACAAGTTACACCTAATATGTTTATGGGAAGAACAGACTAGTTTTGATTCAAATGCAATCTTGGGCAGGACGGTGCATGAGTCTGACAAAATAAAGAGGCACAAAGAATCGAGGACAAGTAAAGGACAGGACTGGTGCCGTGTCTCCTGTCCTTTCTTGTCCTTGTTTCTTGGTGCCTTCTAATTTCGTCAGACCTACAAGTTTCATCTTCTAGCTTAACTAACAAAGATAACAGTAAGTATACCTTTTAACCTTGCACGAGGAGACACTCCAGTGAACAATGTGCTGGTCGTCGGAAACACTGAACAGCGAGTCCGAACTGGCATGCCACGAGACGCCGTTCACAGTTGCTGTGTGACCTCCCGTCTGCAACAAGTTCACATACAGTGTAGCACATGATGGGAATGCGCAGCTACTTTCGAGATACACGACAAGGGTTGCACGATGACGCCGGCATCAGCGATGCGTTGACACAACGCCGAACAAAACTTCGTTCGATGAAGCTACAATACCACAGCGCCCGCTATTGCGGCATTCCTTCATAGAGGACTTTCCTAGTTAAGGGCATAGTATGCAACTGGCTTACTGCGCCAACGTGACAATTTTTGTACAGCGAATTTCGGTTAGGTGCACCACTTGACATCCTGTTTGAACAAAGGCTCCGACACGGGCACATGAGTTTAGACACATAACAGAAGAAACTTGCTATTGTTTTCTTTCTTTTACACATCGAATCTGAATGCTTCAGGTTTTTCTACAGCGAATGCATACAACAAACTAGCCGAACTTTCTATTTTACAGAGTCTTTGACACACCGTACAGTCATATGTAGAAACAAAGAAATGAAAGCAACTTCTTGTCAACCACTATTCCCTCGATCTAGACCTGCAATATATGTACCTCACTCAATTCAGAATATTACGACCTTAATGGAAGTGCTAGTAAACAACATAGCCACAACATTACACCTACAACACAAAACTACGCGGCAGCTTGCAGATAGGCCTGACATAATGTGGACCCACTAAATAAATGCGCAACACAGTCTGAGGTGGAAACAACTGCGTTCACAAGTTGCAACGTGTTAGTAGTGAAACGAACGTACGATTGACACGTGTGGCAAAAGAGTTCGCTCGAAAGAAAAAAAAAATAGGAATGAAATTTCGTCGATCACTTACTAGTTCGCTGTGTAGGTCTCCTCTGGATAAGCTGTACAGCAAAACGGTACCCTCCGCAGTCCCCATCGCCAGTAGGCTTGCTTCCGACAACGCGTCGCCAGCATCGTCGGTCGTTTTTTGCCGCTTTTTCTTCTTGTGCGCGGCCTGCAATGGAAAAAAAAAAAACACTCAGACGGTCACACAACTTGGTAGCGGTACGCACATGACCGGCACGAGACCGGCCTATATAATGGGTGGCCGCAGATTGGAGCGATCAAGTCGTAATGAGCAGCCTCATTACGACAGACGATCAAGTCGTAATGCACAGCGAAAGCCCCTAGTAGAAGTACTCCGCACAGAAATTTACGGAGTCGCACATTTCAGCAGCAATACCCTCAATATGTTCAGTATGGACCACTGGTTTATACAGGGGTGGGCGAAGACAGAACGATCAAGACGCAGTGCGCAGTCGTAGGGAGCCAAACGGGATCCCCGCAAGGAATCCTGCGCAAGCATTTTCCACGGCGCCTGGTGTGCGAGAGACACATGGTCGCACTGACAAATCACGCCGATGGCCTCTCGACAAACGCACCGACGATCGGCGCCAAGTGCCGGCTCCGACGCTGCGTCGGACGTGACAATCGACGCACCAGCGAGTCCCCGACTGCGTTACTTGCAGAGTAAACCACGTCTTATTTGCCGCACTTGTCACACGCGCCGGAACGGTAACATGGGCCGCACAACTTACGAAGGCCTGCTGCCGCGTAGGTCCCCAGGAAAGGCACGTGCACTTTGCGGACAGGTGCGCGCTCGGCGTGTACTCTTGCTTGAGTCGGCCCGTTGAAGTGTCCCATAGTTTTAACCGACCATCGGAGCTAGAATGCGCCAAATACTCGCCGCTGTCCGATACCGCGACTGATTCCGCGAGAGACGCCATGTTTTTCTCGCATTACACGTGAACTGAGAAGTAGACATCGCGCATGCGCGAACTTTTTTTTGTCGATTGCAGCGCCAAATGTGAGTAGCGGTCACGTTTGTCATCGCTAGTTTATTCAAATGTTGAAAATTTATGACGTCTTAATTATTATACTGTGATTTCATTTTAAGCAAAATTTGGCTATACGAACTGCATAATACTTAAAAAAATGTTTTATTTTCGCAGTCTCCATCTTGGAGGTATCTGTGCTCGCGTTAATCGTAGACCATATCCTAGTTTCTTTAGAAAGTCCAATTATCATCGCAAATGCTTAAAATAATTGTAACTAAAGTGATTATTATTATACACAAGAAGCCTTTCTCAACATGATTAATTTGCCTGTATGATAAAGTTATATTTAATGTTCACCGTCTCTCTGTCCCTTTTGCTACGCATTAATATGTTTTGCGATTTATGATTAAGGAATTATTATTGAACAATTAGCAAAGTACCACCATAGAGGTTCAACACTATTTCTGTAATGTCCTAGATTATCACCGTTCTTCAATGACCAAGAAAACTTGACTGCTAGACCTGTAAGATGAATCATAGACAATCACTACACTGCCATTGGCATTGTTCTGTAGGCACGCAAGATGAGACCAATGAAACAATCTCGGTATATGCCAAAGGTTCAAAAGTATGTTGCATGCTTTTACACACACAGCTGGTCCAACAAGGATCGCTACCAAGTGTGTGCACAACATTCATACTCCCAGCAAAATGCCAAGCATTGGCCCGAGTCATCTGTCAAGCCTATCCTGTGGATCTTGACGGTGTGCTAACTAAATTTTCTCAGCCAAACGTACCGTGTAAATTGTGTTACTGGAGACCTTCCAAGAGTCTTTGCACTTGGTGTCTATAATGTAATAATAATAACTGTTGGGGTTTTACATCCTGAAACCACGATATACTCATGACAGTTGCCACAATGAAAGGCTCTGAAAATTTCGACCACCGTTCTTTAGTGCAAAGCTAAATATAAGCACGCATGCGTCTATCATTTCGCTTTCATTGAAATGCAGCCATTTGGATATGATCTGGTGACCTTTGGCTCAGCAGTGAAGCACCATAACCATTAGACCACCGCAGTTGGTGATGTCACTAGTGCGACAGCACGCCGATGGCATAAGCACATTTGGGAACGTCCATGGTGAATAAACTTGGAACATCCTTTATTACAGTCCAACAATCAAATGGCAATGTCTACTTGCACACGCAATAAAAAATAAATGCATGGAGAGCACGTCCCTAGAAGGAACGTGTGGCTTAACCGCAGTCCGGAGATTCCTTCTCGGGAAGTGGAGCGTAGAACATATCGGCGAGCACGTGGTTCGGCACCTCCGAGCCACGCACCTTGATTGTGTAGCAGGCATTCTCAACCTTACGGACGCTCTGGAAGAGCGTCCACACCTTGCGGCTGATCTCTCGACCCCCGGTGTTGCCGTAGCCAAGAAAGCCCGTGTACATGTCACGCAGGAAACGGCACAGCACAAATGGTTCCTCCAGGTCTCCCTGGCCAACTGCGTTGATGCACTTGCGCATCAGCTCCCCCGTAAGGTCGGCGATGCCCAGCATGTAGTCCAACGGGACAATCTCCAGTGAGAACTTGCCGGGCGGCGCCTGCGCTGCGGGCTCGTCGCCCATCTCACTCTCAGCTGCCTGCAAAGATGAGAGCATAATAATAAATAAAGTTTTACGTCCCAAAGCCACGGCATAATTAAGAGGGACGCAGTAGAGGAGGGCTCTAAGAAGAGGAAAAAGTGCATTGGCGGGCTAGTTGGTTTATCATGCCAAGTTTGAGCAGTGTGACTGGACGTAGATAGAGAAGAACACGTATACACACACAGCACTGCCTTTCAACTGGAAATGTTTATTTTCATAAACCAAACACGCACACAGTGCTGAGACGCTGTGTTAAAAATAAACATCTCCAATTGAAAGTAAGTGCTGTGTGCGTATATATGCATGTCCTATGTGTACGTTCAGTCGCGTTGTTCAAGAACAAGCAATATTCTGCTACTCCTTTTGACGAACTCTTTCCCTGCCTCTGTCTGAAGTACCCCGGTTAACGTGACAGATAGAGGGAGTGATCGAAAAAGTCACACTTTCAGAAATTTTAACCACTTGGGGTTCTTTATTTCGGAGTCAACTAGGGGCCCTTTAACCCTTCGGGGTCCGTTGTCGGCACCTACCAGGTAACGCGACACGGCCTCAGCAGTCCGTGGTCGGGCACAGCTGGACAAGTTCTTCCGCAGTTGATTCGTGTGCACATTTTTTCACAATGTTACAGGCCATATGCAGAACAATAAATAAATTTATTTTACTACTATTTGAACATTTTAGTATATATATTTAATCATGAGCTCACCCAGTTTTGGAACATTTTTAAAGGAGAGAAAAGTTTTTATTTATTTATTTATTTACAGAATACTCTCAATTCTCCATGAGAGTTATTACAGGAGTGGAAAATACAAACATTGTACAAGCAAGGTAATGGGCCACAACTAATGTTGAAGCAATCAAAGATGACAAGACGCCTTGAAGAAAGATAGGTGCACCTGCTGAAACAATGGCTGGCCTGCTTTGGGCAGCTTACTTCTACGCATGCAATCTCTATATCGCACTGTGTTTCCAACTACTGGCTCCCATATTTACTTTACGTCTAACTGCAGGGCTTTCAGATTTATAGGAACTCAGACGTTGACGATTTCAGGAACAGACTGTGCACTATTAGCGTGATGCAAGTCCTTTAACATTGTTGACAAAAAAAAGTAGCGTACACCGAGTTATCATGAGAAGAAAGCACAATGCGACGAAAATAGTGTCGCCATTGAAGGCATTTTTGAAGTGAATGGAAGATACGCTGTTTGGTGCGTCAGTTTCAGTTTTGCCAGCTAAACTAGTCAGATTTCATCGCTGCGCGGTGATCACCAGTGGCCACCTTTCCAAAACTTCAGCTGTGGACCATACATAGCAAGGGGTTGAATTCAACCATTTGCCTTGACCACCATTTCCGCTGGTTAAAAATTTTAGTTAATTGTGTGTTTGTACGCATCCCAAAATGTCTTCTGCCACTGCAAAGGGAATGCAGCAGGTAGCACGCCTCCTTTTTGTAATTTTTAAATGATATTGGACAGAGTTTTTTAAACACCCTGTACTATAATATACCGATAAAACTATTTCAACCTTTGGTGTGCATTGTTGTCGCACCTGAACAACCGGCACCAGGTTTCCCTGCCTTTACTTTCTCCAAAACTCGTCTCCCAGTACTTTCCTATCAAGAGTGCTGTGTCGTGTCGACGGCGCACACACTGTTCATGACCTGTGCACTGCGTTAGGGCAAGCAGAGAGACGTGACAAAGACTTTAATCACTTGCTTGATAAAGTAACCCACCCGAGAGTAGACACACTTTTTGCAGAATACAAAGAGAGCAACAGGTTTGGCCACTGATGTACAGAAAACAACAACAACAAACGTGCCTATAAGCAATCGGAGTGCTTCTCTTATCGCACAGAATTGGCCTTCAAAGCTGACAACTAGAAACCTTAATGTGGATGCTACACTTACAGTCTCCGCTTCCTTTGACGAAACAAACAGACAAACAAAGTGCCATTTGATTGCCTGCACACAGAGGCCCATATACTATCACAGAGTACTTTGAGGCAATTTTCACAGCATATGGGAGGGCTTTGCGCACACTTTATACTATATAATGCAGAGTACTTATTATACGGCCAAGCCATCGTGCACATGTTGTAATTCTTGGAGGCAGCCACACTCATGCATTCAGTGAGACTGAAAAAAATATGTTTCTAGGTAAAGAAGAATGTCACAATGCTTTGATTAGAGACCATTTCTAAAATAAAAAAGTTTAGAGTCCCAATATGTAATGCGAAGAAAAGCACAAGTGAAGTCTACGCTCTCGCTGCGATCTGGCTCTGTAGCCTTTGCCTCATCATCAATAAGAGTTGGCTGAGAGAATACTTTTGGACGCCGAATTTCTTCGCTCATGAGCCTAAGGTCTCAAAAGTCTCGGCCATAACCAAGACGGCAACAATAGTACGAGAACGCACCTCTGACTGTTCCAAGTACACGAGGTTCTTGTGGATCTCGTCCAGGGTGACCAGGTGGCCGTCTTTGATGTAGTGAAAGAAAGTCAGCGCCTTCGACGTACTCCTGGATACCTGCACGCACAATGAACAGACAGTTCACGTGGGCTAATTTCAGCGTCGGCGTCAATAAGTACCAGACGCTGAAAAGGGTAAATGGAAAAGTGATCTTTCTCGTAATTATAAATTACTCTCTTGTGATACCAACAATGTCACACTTGCTGTGAGAAAACTCTTGGTAGGCAAGAAAATGCAAGGAATAAAAAAACAAAAAGACAAGTGGTGGTGCCACCTTCGAAGTTTCCGCGCCAGTTGACTGATGCTCGACCCCGCCAGGTTTCAGTAAATTCAACTGACCCAATGAGGTCAAAATACAAAAAAAAAACTTCGAAATCCACTGCATCACCATCGATGATTTAGTTGCGAAATTTTAAAGTGATACATTTAACAATATTCTCATCTATTATTAAACTTATGATGGTGAAATTATTAACCCTAGAGTTTGCAGAGTATAATTTATCAGTCAAAGCTAATTGATTATTTAGAGGCGAAGCTCCTCAAGGCGTGGGTCCATCCATCCTCCATCGTCGTACGTAACCACCGATGCTGCAGGGTAAGCGAGATGCAAGATGGCGGTACTTGGAGTGTTCACTAGATTGATGCACGTACGGACAGACTAGAAGACGGACAGACACATAGACGCAGACAGATGTACGGACGCATAGATGGAAGCACGGATGGTCGCGCGGATGGACAGAAGGAAGGACGAACGGACTGACGGGAGCATGGGCGGGCTGACTGACGCTTCGCCTTACTCATTATCATTCACTCCGTGGATATGCTGTGATTTTTTTCACTTTGATGTCCCTTCAAAGCACGGCGCCTACGCAATTGCGTTTCATATCTCTTGTTGCATTCTGGGAAAAGATGACGCAGTTAGTAGGCTTGCCGATGGAAACAACACTTCTTCTTGGGCAAATTATTGCGTTCTTCTAGATGGGGACTTTTAGGCACTAAAAAAGCACACTCGTTTTTGTGCCCCGAGATTCCTTTCAGCGGTAGACAGACACATACGTGGCGAATGGGCAGATGCCTGAACAACCGACTGGGAGAGCACTTAACAGCTTAAAGAATTCGGATGGTCCACATCGTAATGCGCACTGCGATGCCTGCTCGTGAAGCATATTTTTTTTAACGTGCTGGCACACTTGGCAGATGTGGCAACGAAACGGCTTGTGAGCACATGGGAGACATGCTTCATTGAAAATAAACGCACCATGTGTCTGAGCGATACCTCAGCCACACGGTTGAAGAATACTTTCAAAGGCAAAGATGAGCCTGCAGTGTTATGTCACATCCTTTGTGTTGTCTATGTGCTAGAATGGCAAGCTTTGAGACTGCACTATTAGATTAACCATCTTCAACAAAACACCAAGGCACAGACAATAAAAAAAAGAAAAGAACAGCAATGTCGTTATTCCCTTTTTTGTCATTTCTCTGCTCCTGCGCCATTTTCCGAAGCTAGAATGGCCCCGCACCCTATCTTTACTATGCAGCGCCACACCCCGTCTTTATTTAGCAATAGTCTTATCAATATGTGTGTCTAAGTTTCTCGCTGAGTCTGTTGTTTTAACATGTAGAAGTCATGTACACAAAACCAAAACTAGTCCCCGTACTTCACTTGACCAACATTTGATAGCACTGTAACACTGGTAAGGAAGCCAGCTAGAAGAAGAGCCCGCTATTTTGCTCGAAAGAGGGTGTGGTGTGCCCTCTTGTATGGCTTTTGGGACTACTTTTGTTATATCGTTGCATGGAATGATAAGACTACCGATCAGTCTTCCATAGAAAGAAGAAGTAAAAGAAAAAAAATATACGCAGGAGAATGCTCAGCCGGACCGGAAATGTAAACCTTGTGCTCTCAATGTTGTCTTTACTATTAGGCCCTCGTAAAAAATTTTATAAAGATGTTCCTCAAGGAGCGTCGCACTTCAACGTGTTTAGGGAACTTTGCATGGCACTCGAAAATATATAGTATCAAATAGAAATGAGTTGAACAGTGCTCAACACCAAACAAAGCAAAGATGACAAACACGGTATTGACCAACAAGTGTAGTTTTGGTGCAAGAGAATATTTTAGTGCGCCAATAAGACACAGGCAAATAACAGTGCCAGCACACTGAAACATGTACACTGTGCATACCTGGCGAAAATGCCCTGAGGTACTGGTAGTAGCTTTGCCCCCTCAGCTCCATCGCAATCTCTCGCAGTGAGAACAAGCTGAGTTCGCAGAGCTTCTGGTCGGCTTCACCAAGCACCTTGTCCTTCTGATCATCCCTGTTGAGGAAAGACGAGGAGGAGACAAGAGAGACTTCAGATACTGGTTTTTCTAGACTTATTCATTCGCTCAATAAATCGATCGATTAGTTTTTTTTTACATCAGAAGCTAATTAGAATGCACAAAGTATGAAGAAGAGGGTCCCAAAGTACTAGACTGCAAAGGAACCCTGAACTGCGTGCCATATCGACGATTTGGTAGGGCAATAGTAAAAAAAAAATGCACAAGAACAAGTGCATACTACTCGTAAACGAAATTTCATTGAAGGTAAAAACGCTTACTTAGAAGAATACAGAGCCCACGACAAGTAAACTGAACAGAGAAGATATAACCAAATAGGCGGTGGCTATAACTAACCACGAGTTCTGTGCGAAGCGAGAAGGATAAAACCACAAATCTTAAGGCACAAAAAAAATGTGCAACTGATAATTAACTCCTGACATTAAAAAGAATATTTGCTTGTGTGATAGAATGAGTGATGGGACACTGATGCATTGCAATACCGAATCATCTATATTTAGAACCACACCAACTTGCCCAACCGTCAATGCTTCAAGATGCACCGTACATCGGCATTTTCAGTTACAGCATCGAGATCGACGAAGACAGAAGGGACGCAGACAAGCTCAGACTCGCACCTGAAAGTTTTGTTTCAATAACACGAGAACGTGAAAGCAACAAAAACAAGAAAAAAAGAACTGTCCCAACTTCCAACACTATTGCACCGTGCGTCGTTTCACAGGTGCATACAACCCACTGCACACCTCATCCATACCAAATAACATGGTCACGCGCTCACACTTTAGCTTTGCTACGAAACGTTTTTTTTTTTATATATATGCTACGGGGTGCCACAAATGAGCATTATAGAAAAGAGGACGATGTTTAGGGCGAGCTCATGCAGACTGGGCTCCATATTGTATGCCTGCCTGTTTACCTAAAGTAAACGTATTTTTCAGACGCCTTCTCCCCGTAACAATATATACACATGAGTGGAATAAAATGGCCTTCCGCGTGACATTGTGGACAACACACGTACATAATCTTTTGCAGACAACATCGTGGTGAACTGTTACGCATGAAGATCATTATAGAAGCACTCCCAATTGAAGCGCACAGACTAAGGTGCCAACTAGACGAAGGCTGCCTGTCGTTTGACATGCCTTTGCTGACGTTACTCATGCACACAAATTTTGGCGTCAGCACCAATGAGTGCTAAAAATGGCAGTCGTCGAAGGTATGCAGGCCGCGTACGTGTCTGCATGTGCCATTTTCCAATAACTGAAGACCATGGGTCTGTTGATCAGCCATTTCCAAAATGGCAATTCGTTCCTTTATCGAGGTGACCTGCGATTTCACACCGCCATATTTCAGTGTTGCCTAGACGTGAACACAAGGCCGTCGACGTTGCCAGTTGCAAGAGAAGGGACGTGATATGCTAAGCATGTGAACTAAGATTGGATTTCTCACACGGAAAAAGATAATACGTGAGGGCATTGTGCAATGTGATAGAAAAGAAAGAAAGAAAATGTCAGACAGGTGGGCAAGCACACGCCAATATTCCCTTGCCCTCATCTTCCCTATAGGGCAATAGCCTTTGGAATTTTTCATTTCTTTTGAAGTTGACACGCCGTATGAACTAGCCTGACAATCAGTGCTTCTCGTAATTGTGCGACGAACGAAACGAAAGAAAATTTTTTTAAAGGGCTTGTTTAATTTTTTGGTTAAATGCAATGAAATGAGTCCGATTGATTTGAAGGTTGTGGGTTAGATCTTAATTGGGGAAAAAGTGATTTCTCATCTGCTTTAATTCACTGCAATTATGTTGCTATTACTAAACCACAGTTTAACGACAGCCATCAATGTCTCCTATGCTTCGGTCAACCTAATAGTCAGTTGGATTAATGCAGTCCGCCACGGTGAAGTAGCGGTTATGGTACTCAGCTGCTGACCCCAAGGTCACAAGATTGATCCCGGCCATGGCGGTCACATTTCGATAGAGGCGAAACGGTAGATGCCCGTGTATTGTGCGATGTCACTGCCCATTAAAAAATGGTTGGAATTTCCAGAGCCCTCTACTACAGCGTCTCCCATAATCATACCGTAGCTTTGCGACGTAAAACCCCCCGATACTATTGAATGGATTCATGCTTGAGAGATGACACACTACGTGGTGCCTTAAAATGGCAGCAGTACTAACTTCATTATGCGATGAAGCAGGAAGATGATGCGCTTGCTCTCGATGGTGACGTCGCGGCCCAGCTTGACGAGGCGCTCGTAACGGTCGTAGCGGTCGTCGAGTTCCACCTGGAACGCCCGGAACATCTTCACCACGGCCAGGGACTCGTCGACGTCCGAGTTCCGTTTTTCATCAGACCTGCGCTGCCTGTTGCGCGAGGACCAGTGACCACTCCTGTCGTGGCCCCCTCTGTTATGGCCCCTGTCATGACCTGGATAAAAAGACAGCAATAACAATTATAAATATTGACCCTTTGCAGCTTGGCCTCCTGATCTGGAGAGACAACTTACTTTTGCCATTTGTGTGCACTATTGGCAAGGAAGAGACCACAAACACTGAGCTTATGGTAACTCAAACATTCTTGAGTAAAGTTTTTTTTATGTCACTTCTAGATTCAATATTGTCACGCCACTTTAGGAACCAGGTGGGGTTTATTAGATGCAGAGGTAGTACAGCAGGGCTCTTGCCAGATGCATCGCTTGGGCGTGCATTCTATTTTTATTTATATTTATTTATTTTATTTACAACATACTGCGGTCTTGAAAAAGACCAAGCAGGAGAGGCACAAAAATTAAGTGGAAAACACACGTAAGCGTGATAGATGAATGATGTGCACAAAATACAGAAGATAAGTACATTATACAGAGATATATAGATGAGCTTAAACACAGATTAATACGACCTTCAGAACAACGGTGATGGGTCTATCTCCATATTATACATTCACAATTACGATAAACAGTAAAGCAAGTCGAGTACAGAGCACAGTACAGACAATATGGCACGGTCAAAATGGCAAATAGACTGAGATGTGAAAACCACTTCAGGCAGAGAATTCCATTCCGATACTGTACGTGGGAAAAACGAATTCTTGAACATGTTTGTGTGGGCTCGATACGGAAGCAAATTGTGCGTGTGCCGATGTCTCGTGGGGCGCGATTGAAATGGTTGAATGTATACCAATGCATTTACCTTTGTGGAACCAGTATAAAGAGTAAACAGCATTTTCAGCCTATCGCTTTTTCGTCTATCTCCCAGGGTTGAAACGCTATTCGCCAGCATTAGAGAAGTTGGCAAGTCGGTGGTCCTATATTTGTTGAAAATGAAGCGTATTGCGCATCTTTGCACGATTTCAAGCCGGTACTTATCTTTTTTAAGGAAGGGGTCCCATACGACCGAAGCGTATTGCAGTTTAGGAAGTATTATCATTTTGAAGGCCAGTACTTTGACATGAGTTGGTGACGCTTTGAGTTCGAGAGAGATTAACGTGTGCACTCCTTTTGTGGCCTGTGCCTGCGCATAAGCATGTCACTCACTATTACAGGTGGCACTGTTCCCTTTTCCGTGAAAAACAGCATCACATCGACGCTGTAAGATAGGTGCAAGAAAGAAAAAAAAATTAATCAGATTAGCAGTGCAAAAGGATAAGGATGATTAAATGCTAACAAAGCTCACAAAATCGATGAAAGTTTAAGCATATTAAAATATGGAAATGAATAGCAGGATAAATTATGAACGTGCAAAATAAGGCTCAATGCACATGACATGAACTATTTCAGAGCTCGGTTGTTGTGTTTGTGTTGATGACCCACTGCCCAGAACTACTTGTAGTTCACGTCGTTCACGTGGTGCAGCACCTTATATGGCCTGAAGTTAATAAAATGATATGTAGGATTTAGCCTCCAAAAACCACCATAAGATTATGAGAGACGCCGTAGTGGAGGACTCCGGAAATTTTGACCACCTAGGGTTCTTTAACGTGCACCCAAATCTGAGCACACGGGCCTAGATTGTTTCCGTTTCCATCAAAATGCAGCCGACACAGCCAAGATGGCCTCAAGTACCTCAGCAACTTTTCCGAGAGGTCATGGTGATGAACAGGGGTCCACACCTAATCTTGCTCTCCTTGACTGTAGGGCACGCCTCGATGGCGGGTGTTGTAGCTCCTACGGACAAGAAGGCTGCCCAACGCTTCCTTGGCTTTCACACTTATTATTATCGGTGATTCATTAAAGGCTGCTCGAAAATAGCAGAACCCTTGACAGCTTTTACAAGAGACAACACGGCATTTGTCTGGGATAACGAGCAAGTGGGTGCCTTTGCCAAACTATGACAGCGCATGAAGTCAGCCCCCGTTCTTGCACATTTAGATAATAATGCCTAGACAGAAGAGCATACTGACACCAGTAACATCGGCCTTGGCGCAGTGCTTGTCCAACATTGACACATAGAGGAGAGGGAACAGCGCGTGCACTTCTTTTGAGGCCTGTACCGGTGCATAAGCATATCACTTACTACTGCCGGTGGCAATATTTTGCTACAAATCATTGCTTCACAAGTCGGCGTAAAATGTGCAGCCCACTCGGACTCACTGATGAAATACATTTTGCCCTCAGGACTCATTCGAACCAAGACTCAAGATTTTCCTCAACTGGACTCACTTAGATTCAGAGTCACTAAATCTTTTCAAAAACCAGACTCGGTCGAACTCAAACTCGCCAAACTAGTACTCACCAGGACTCATAGATCGGCGAAAAATGAGGAGCTCACTCCGGAAATATATTTCGTGTTTCAGGCTTTCTCGGACTCGCTAGAATTTCTCTCAACCCGACTCAATCAAACTCAAACACATTAAAAGGGCCTGCCCCAGAGCGTTCAAACTTAACCCGACCGTTCCCGAGTGGGCCTAGCCAGGTGACGCTGGGTTAACTAGCGTCTATTGTGGACCTAATAAAGTTATTTCACTCACTCACTCACCCGGACTCACTCAAACTCAGTCTCAAGGCTCGGTGCGACTCAGGGAAAGTCTGAATGAGTCAACTCATGAGCGAGTTTGCCAACCTATGCCTGTACTCGCTCAGAATAAAACTCGTGTCTAGATCTGAATCTGAGCGAGTCTGGTTTAGTGGGCTTGTGAACCCGGTAGCGCATAACTAGCTTTTTGTGACAATGATGTCAATGTTGATTAACAGCGAATCTCGTGTGATAGGGGCTCTATTAGGCACCTTGCGATCTCGCATCTTCAAATGTGAATTATCTGTGGCTGCAATCTAGTAAAGAGGTTTTTAATTGAAATGTATGACACACACAAGATGTTTTTTTTTTACTATGGACTTCCCATACGAAGTTTGCGGTGGGATGGGAGGGGGGTCAAAGGCACCTTACCTAACCCCATTCTTAAACTCGTGCCTGTGATCAATAAATACTGAGCTGGCACATGAACACCAGTGCATCTAAGTATAAAGTATGTTGAAGTAAAGTATGGAGTATGCTGGAGTAGACCTGAGTATAAATATGAGGTAATGCAAGGCTACTAGTCATGCAGGAGTTCAGGAAGTAGGACCTATAGTAGGGTATGCATTTGGGCTGATTGGTTCATGATTACATGAGTGAAAAAGAATGCTAAAAAGATGGGACGAGATACGACACCAGACCACACCACTAACCATGGGCGTCGGCAGAGGGGGTGCAAAAGGGGCACTTGCCCCCCTCGAGCAACACCAAGAACTCCTCCCCCCTTCCCCAAAAACAGTTTTGCAGCCCCAGAGACAAAATCCTGCCGACGCTCATGGCGCTGACTAATGACCAAATGCGCTTATTCCTTTAGTCAGCATATACATACTTGACCACTATCACGACGAAACAATAAAAAAGTGAACACTAAGCCCGCACAGAGGCAATCAATGGGAGATAAATGTTATCGCCTTCGGGATGAGGGAAATCGAGGGTAGCCTTATACTTGCCTCGCTGCTATTGTGGATGCGATAAGCTTTTGGAATGAGACGTGCACGTTTGGCGTGGCATTTTTGACAGGTAAGCGGTATGTTCAAAAGATGAGTGGCAGTGACATTTGTTACAATGAAGAGATAACTGACTATCTGTAGCTTGTTTTTGGCCCTTAATGCTTGTGCATGCGAATCTATGGGTCGCAAAAAATTTGGAGCTCATCCCAGGTTCACTCAAAAGATATACGTTGTGCTATATCACACTCAACAAACGCTCCTCAATAAGACTAACTCGTACCTATACTTGGACTTCCTCCCGGACTGCTTTGACAGGTATCTTTTACCTAGTTCCAATCTTCTCCCTCTTCAGCTTATTAGTCGCTCTTCTTGTCGTCACGTTGAATCTTTAAAGTTTCTTCATACCTTAATTAACTCCCCACAATTCCTCCTACTCATAAAATACATCGCACCCTTTAGATCTACAAAAACCCGCAATTACCGTGAGTTTAACGTGTCTACTTTTTTCCACCGTACGGTGGGGTTTAAATCTAGTTTTTTTGTACATTCAATAGAACTAGGGAACGCTCTGCCTGGTTATGTTCGATCCTCATCACTTGACTCCTTATTGTATATTACTAATCATTAATGTTTAGCAAATTTTGTTATGCTCTTTTGTGTATTGGTTTGCACATTGCTGCAATAGCCTTGGGGCTACGGTATGTTTAAATAAATATATGTTTCAGCTGGATCTACTCAGAGTCAAACTCGCCAGAATATCACTCCCCCGGTCTCTCACAAACGCACAACTCTATCCGTGTCCAGCGTTAGACGACTCACGATCGAGTGAGTTTGCCGACATATGATTTCAATGAGGGCAGCAGCATCTTTAATGAGACGTTGGACGTGTGGCGTTTCGGCAGGAACTCAAAAACATTTTTTATAACCTTTTTAGGGAATGCTCGCAGCCAGCGTATAACCATGCCATATAATTTAAGTAGGTGTTCGAATTCCGATTATGAAGGAATACGGCACGAATAACAGTACAAGGAAGAGACCACACGGAAGTCTTCCGTTCTCCTTGTCCAGATTGATGGCAGTACTACATAACTATTTACATTGTAATTTCAATTCGACTCCTGTAAAACACATTATACATAATTTACCTTAATCCTTGCCACTTGCATTAAATTTGGTCTCCAAAACCTTTAAATCAAGCTATATAAATTTCATGCACTTATGGACAGCCGATCATAATGCGTGTCGCAAAGATTTGAAAAATATGCGGCACTCAAGCTCGAGGTTTCTTTACGTACGGCAAGGCATGAATTCTTCAGAGTTGTTTTCAACCAGTACTCTTTTTTTCGGCAGGAAACCACGCTGAATTTCAAAGAATTGATTTCAATACACAATTAAATTCAAGTTTTTTAATGCCTATTCTGACATCTTTGCACTTGTGCCTGTGGTTCTCATGCCTCTCCGATCGGCAAGTCATCCAAAGTAGACAAACCAATCGTCATAGTGCTTCGGTCACTGCAGTTAAGATACACTTTGCGTGTTTGCCGATGACAAGATGAAATCGCTGGACGCTCAGTCTGGGACAGAACAGGAACTTGATGCCTCATGTCTCGTACTTGCAAGCATTCAGTAGACACCATGACTCAAGTAATGTCATCAGTAATGAGGTGGAACGTGTCCGTATCAACATGAGAACGTCATACGTCTGAGATCCCGCGTACTATGAAGTTGCCAAGACACCAACGTCCACGGAACGTAGCATTGTTACTTAAGCTCGTGTAAATTTTTTCGTATGCTCACTTTCTTCTGTTTTTTATCTTTACATCTCTTACTTCCAAAATGCAGGGTAGCAGACTGGACGTGGGTACTGTCTACCTAACTACCTTTACTTTTTTTTTTCACTCCTCTCCTTGTCCCAATCGATGACAAGATTAATTGGGTGGTGAATAGAGCAGGCATCGGTACAGGTGAAGGCGTGCGTTCATTCCTTAAGTTAAACACAAATGGCCTACACTATCGTTTCACTAGGTAAAAACTATAAACCACGCAGTAGCGTGGTGTCATAGACCAACTTTTATCTCTTGAGGTTCTTTTGTGCCTACATTTATGCCTACAGGCGTCACCTATTTCGCTTCCGTAGAAATGCGGCCACCCGTGACGGCGGGAAACGAACCCGCGCCCTCGATATTGCTTGCAACGCAACGCGACAGCCCCTCAGTCCACTGGAAGTATCTGAAAGTAAATTGCGGCACCTCTGACTGTGAATATCTGAAAAATGCAGTAGGCGAACGGAGCATTCTTTGAGCGTCCAGAGCCAGTGGATGAACGCCTTCAACAGATAGGAACTTCAGTTAACCGAAACTAACCGTACGCAAGTCGCTTAACTGACGAAGTATGGTTAGGATATCTAATTGCAGTAACCTGCTTCTGTATCGCCTAAACCAATTCGCTTTTTTAGGGAAGAGCATTGAATGTAGCGAAGGAACGCCAAAGTCGCGAACGCCGAATGGTAAAGCACAAGACAACCGGACGGTTCAAGAAAAAAATTTTTTTCGGGCGCGTATTATCAATATAACAACGAACTGCCACACTCACCTCGACTGTGGTGACCCTTGTCGTGATTTTTGCCATCACCCGTCATTATTCAAGTGGCTCGAGAAAAGTTCAGCCAACACAAACTCGCGCGAGCACAACACGATGCAAAGCGTTGTCTTGTCAAAGCGGCACCGTTAAAACAAATCGAATGCCGCGCAATGCCCTATTTCGACGGGTAAGTATATACGAGAGTCAAATAGATTACCTGCAGTTAGAACATTTTTAATGACATACAGCGAACACCAACGCTACGCAACGAGCCAATTTATGATCACTAACGAAAATTTTGTCACGTCATTGACATTTTGACGTCATTGATGATGATGGTGGATCGATCACATGTTTCTCTTGAGTTGCACATGAGATAAGGAAGCAATAGCTTCGGCTGCAGTACAATGAAAAAAAAAAAACGTGTGGGCGTGGCAAGCTCTCCATCGAGCTGTGCCAATGAATTTATTCGCTAGGAAATAGATCACGCTCTTAGCTCTAAAAGGTTCAGCGACAATGAAGTGCGAAGCGCCCGGCTGTTCGGAGTGTACTACAAAGGTGGGAGTACACTCCTAGAGCGCTTACAACACGTAGCTGATGTAAATTCTACACACATAATTCATTCGAGTGCGCCCTCGTAACCCCGACGCAAAACACCTGTATTGCACCTGTTTTACATTTAACGACGACTTTATTAGATTATTAATTTATTAATTAGAAAACTCAGCGCGGAGGGCGCTGCCTTGTGCGTGTGTGCACAACAGCTGTACCACCGCAGGTGTGTTGATGCAGTATTTTTAAATGCACTGATGGCGCGCTTGCATCTATTTCTGTTCTGTTTTCTTTTCCCTCGGCTATCTATTAGTAGCACGTGCCTCCGATTGGATGTCATGACTGCGCGCGCTCAGACAGTGTCGCGTTGAACGTTATATGTTATACGCATTTCACGTATCTCTAATGTATTGTTTACGCTATTCGTAGACGTAAATCATGCGGTCGCTACTGCGACTGCGCATTCCTCCCTGGCTACTGCTGCTGCTGTCGGTGGCGGTTCACGCAGCTCCCCGGCGTCCCAACATCGTGGTGCTCCTGGCCGATGACCTGGGCTACGGCGATGTGGGATGCTTCGGTAACACCACCATATCCACGCCCAACATTGACAGGTACGGTATATCTATTGCGGGGTTCGAAGTTCAGTGCGCAAACACTTTCGATCAGGATCGAGTGTCTCGATCGCGATTGACTCCGAGTGGATTGTTGATGTACTCTGATTGGCTTCTTCATTCAAAAAGGAACCAATCATGATACGAGACCGATCGAGATTGAGTAACCTTTATCACGATTGGCTTCCTTGCGCAACACATGCGAGGGGTAGTCAATCGCTCTCGATAAATTTCAGTGCCGTTGTGACACAGTGCAATGCTGATCACGATTCAATTTCTCAATGGTTATTTTATTGGCTTTGTTTTGAACTTTGTGTAAAAGAGCCAGTTATAACAACAAAAAAATCAATTTGGACCAGGCCGGATTGCAATCAAAAGCTGATTGTGTGACACTAGTAGAATCTGAACTAGCTCAATCGCGATGCAAAATGTGCCATGTTACACTACATTGTATTGATTACCTTGGGCTGCTTCACGATGTGAAGTGGTACTGTGATATAAGACCACTCAATTTTACTATTGAGGTTGGGTATGTCAAATGCTGCAGTAATTAATTAACAAGTGTTTGCCTTGCTTTTGTCATGCAGCTAGATTTGTGATATGTGTAAGGCCTATTTGATTATGTTGGCACAGCAGATGTACAGTTGTGAGCAGTATGCCCCGCCGCGTTGGTCTAGTGGGTATCGCACACGACTGCTAACCCAAAGGTCGTGGAATCGAATCTCTGCTGCTGTGGCTGCATTTTCGATAGAGGCGAAAATGTTTGAGGCCTGTGTGCTTAGATTTAGGTGCACATTAAAGTGAAGTGAAATGAACTTTATTTTAAAAAAACCCAGGTGGTTGAAATTTCCAGAGCCCTCTGCGACATCTCTCATAATCAAATCGTGGTTTTGGGACGTTAAACCCCTGATTTTATTATTCTTATTATTGTGAGCAGTAGGACAAGAAGCATTGAATTCGTGTTGAATCAGGGACTACTTGTAATGTACCGATATGAATATGACGTAGTCACTTGCAAGCGATATTGTAACAATGTTGAAGGACTCGGGGTGTAATAAAACGTATTTATTAAAGGGCGAACCCGTGCCCACAACTCAAAGAGACTATGCTCGTAGCACGTTACAGCAGAACACCAAAGATGTCTCCTTCTTCTACTTCTTCAAGAAGAGTCCCAAGCTTGTGGCGCACATTAGCAGGGGCCAGCTGGGTTCTCGTGCTATCATCATCGTCTCTGCGCAACACTAGACGGCGTGCATGTATGTCCCTGTGCGCGCGGTGATGGGTGCGTGGTTTTAATGCAGGCACCATGTCGCGGCAATATCATTCTGCTCGAGAATTCAGCGTTATGAACACTTGCACTTTCCAACTGCGTTTAGCCACTATGACCTTTAAACATTTATTTCAGTATTCCCTCTTGTATTGATCACGACTGTACTTGTGAGGTCAACCTGATAAAGGGCCTCTCAACCACCTCTGATCATTTTTTTTTCTCATTTGAAGGGAACGTGCATCTTGAGTTCAAAATGCCATCACGATCAACAATGCCAAACCCCACAAATTCCAAGAAACAATCCCTTCTCCTATCCGGGCCTTTCAGCAATCCTTAGCACCTCAGTGTTTGTCATGGTAACACTATTATCGGCTCATCATCCAGAAAACCTGTTTTTTCGCTCACAGGAATGCACTGCTCTTTCTACTTGCACGGTGAGGAGCAGCGCTTGGCCAGGAGTTCAAACGAGCCTACGTAATGAGCATAGTGGAAGAAAAGGCAAAAAAGAGTGAAGGCCTCTTTTGGATCATTGAATGCATGCCACTCTGCTGTTTCAGCACTGTTATGAAGAATTCTCCTGGCTGCGTCTTTGTTGTAGACTCACGCACAACATACACCCCACAATTAATCTTCATCCTCTCACTAGTTCAGGAGCCCTTCGAGACACACCAGCATCAGTTTCGATTCCAGCCCTGTGAGGATGTCTTGTGTAGCTCTAGTGAACGACAAATTCCTATCGATTCGGCTGAAGCAGCACCAACTCAAAGTCCAACTTTAATTGTGGGGCACTGCTGACTTTATTCTTGAGCGAATATCCAAACACTACGAGGCTCACACATTTCGCACATCGTCATTGTCTTTTCTGCAGATTGGCACAGAATGGAGCCGTTCTTACTCATCACACTGCAGCCGCAGCTGTCTGCACTCCGAGCAGAGCAGCGCTGCTCACGGGCAGATACCCGGTGCGCTCAGGCAAGTCTCTCTTACGAGAATGCGACATTGTCTTTTCAGTTGGCGTGTTTTTCAATGTGTGTTACGGCTTGTTCTGTTGCGATTATGCGAGTTATGCGATAAAACACATACCTTGGCCTTTTAAACCTGCTGAATGGAAGCAAAAAAGAAGCTGAAGCTGCTATGTCACAGAGATGCAGTTGCTCGCAGCAGCCAATAGAATTGTACAGCTGAGCACGAGCTCACACATTCAATGCCTACTGAGGCAGCTACGTTTTAATTATACAGGTGAACCTTACTTTAATGAACCCTGATATAGCAAATTTGTTTGCTGTAACAAGCTTAGTATTGACTTTTGTTGGTTCCCACTTCATTTGACCTGTGTTTATTCTTGGTGTAAGAAAACCTAAAGTGGCGAGAGCCGCTGCGATATTGCCTGTAACGAAGAAATATTGGGTTAGCGTGAGGTTCAAGACTCGAAAGGTAGCATAAAAATTAATATAAATATTGAAGCAGAATGCGCAACCACATTTGTTTAATGTGATTGGAACATTAAAAGCATTGCCCCGCTGCGGTGGTCTAGTGGCTAAGGTACACGGCTGCTGACCCGCAGGTCGCGCGATCGAATCCCGGCTGCGGAGGCTGAATTTCCTATGGAGGGGGAAATGTTGTAGGCCCGTGTGCTCAAATTTGGTGCATGTTAAAGAACCCCAGGTGATCGAAATTTCTGGAGCCCTCCACTACGGCGTCTCTCATAATCATATCGTCGTTTTGGAACATTAAACCCCCCAAATCAATCAATCATTAGTCGGTGACAATTTAGGTCTTCAAGTGCAATAAAAAGTGCTATTGACTGGTTTGAAAGGTATGAACAAAATGTCTTGCAGCAGACATACAACATTGCTGATGATAACATTCTTCTTTTGCTCTTTTTTCACTTCCGATCACTGGTTGCACTTGCAGTGTAGTTCCTTGGCTGAAAGCATTGTTGCCTTTTTGTGTTTCAGGCATGGAAAGCTACTTCAAGAACAAAGTGTTCATAATTGTCGCGTCGAGTGGCGGGCTGCCCAATAACGAGACGACATTCGCCAAGGTTCTTCAACAACAGGGTTACTCCACAGGATACATAGGTGAGAACTCCTCTGTGATGGTGGCCAACTCTGATGTGGCAAACTAGTCAGTAGTAGGTGTGATGTAGTTTGTACAGGACGATAGATCTGTATGTTTCACTGTCGTGCAAGCTGTGTGTGTGCGATCCCGCATGTTTCATTGTGATATGTCCTCATGTGGGTAACCGTAAGGAACAGAAAAGGGTGGGTGACATTAAAGCATCGAAGACACCAGAATGGATTGAAGAACAAACAGGAACACAAGAGAGAGCTTACGACAAGTTGTCTCGACTTTTCTCTTGTGTTCGTGTGTGCATACCTACCATCTCTTTGTTGCAAATTTCTATCTACTACACTCTTAGAGAAAGTAGAGTACTATTTGGGGAGTATCCTCCCTCCACACAATTATACTCGTTATCAATCGCGCATACTTTCCTTGGGTTATCACTGCGATCCAGGCACTTCCCAGTCACGAACGGCACCTGTGCTGTCAGTGTAAGATTATATTTTTGATAGGAAAGTGGCGAGAGTCAAGTTTTTAAGCTAATAATAATAATATTATCTGGGTTGTAACGTCCCAAAACCACCATATGATTATAAAAGACGCCATAGTGGAGGGCTCCGGAAGTTTCGACCGTCTGGGGTTCCTTATTGTGCACCTAAACAAAAGTACACGGAGTTCAAACATTTTCACCATCATAAAAAATGTTGCCACCGCAGCCGGGATTCAATCTTGCAACTGTCGGTTAGCAGTCGAGTGCCACAACCACTATACCACCACGGTGGGGCAGATTTTCAAGATAGGGAATGGAAACAAGCCAGATGCCGATTGTAATCGCGAGGCAGAAATACTCCCCAACTGCTCTATTTTTTTCTACAAGTGCAGCTGAGCTTCCTGTTATTTTGAGCCTTTATCGCACAGTGGACACATAATAGGCTGACAATTACAAGGTGACTGACCAGAAAGATATACCGAACTTTTTATGAAGGGCAGCTCCTGTGCCTTGTATGTTGCTTTAGAATGCTAAATTTCATCATTTGGTTTTGACTCAATCGATCTGCTAATGCTGCAGGCAAATGGCATCTGGGCTTGTACTGCACGTCCAAGGAGGACCCCTGCCACCACCCGTTGCACCATGGCTTCGACTACTTCTACGGGCTACCCCTGACAAACCTGAAGGACTTTGGCGACGATGATGGCAGTGTGGTCACGACCTACTTCCCCAACATCTTCCGCTTCTGCTACACGGCCATGACGCTGAGTGCCGCCTTCTCGTTCCTGCTTTACCGCAGCGGAAGGCCCATCGCCGCGGCGTTCGTCTTCGTCCTCTTCTTCGTCGACCCTGCCGTGCTCGTGTTCTTCATCAAGAGCATTCCGACGCTCAACGGTGTGGTCATGCGCAACTTTGACGTGGTAGAGCAGCCTGTCCGGCTGCCGGGCATGACGCAGAGGCTTGTCGCCGAGTCTCAACGCTTTGTCCGCTCCGCAGTTGCGGAAGGGAAGCCATTTCTGCTCTTCCTCTCATTCATCCACGTGCACACGGCCCTGTTCTCACACCCATTTTTCATTGGCAAGAGTGCACATGGTCGCTATGGTGACAATGTCGAAGAGTTGGACTGGGCCATTGGCAAGGTGAGGGAACGTACTGCTGTCGCTGGCAATGCTTAGCTGAAATGATGACATTCCAATGTCTATAATGATAACGTCATGTCCATGCCTGAGTATTAAAAGGACACCTAAGCTGAGGCAATAAATTAGTTTTGACTACATTATAGTCTAAAAACTCTTGTGTTAATAATATAGTCACAGCGAGAATATAATTGCCAAAAGTTTCACTTCTAAACTTTCTGCCGAAATCTCCAATAATATCATGAATTTCAAAGATTCTTATATTTTTCGAATTGGGGCCACATTGGCGCAGAAAATTCCCGCCCATATTTTCTTTTCAAACCTTTCTTTTCTTGCCAAGCGTCTTGTTGCAGCAAATGTGGCGTTTTTAGTATCGGGAAAGAGTGATGCATTTTCAAGAGAAAGGGTGTGGAAACACGTTGCTGGGTGTTTGCTAGAAAAATCTAATTACGAGAAAAAGAAAAGTAATTTGCTCTTGTGAGAAAAATCGTTTTCTTTAGTGCCCATTTAAATGACATAGAAGATAATGTACCAGGATTTGGGAGTTTACTCTGGATGAGTGCATTGTTAGCTGTCAGTACAATCAATGAAAATTTATCGAACGAGCTCACTGAAAGAGCAGACGAGCTTCTTGTGAGCAGCTGGGATCGTTGTGACACCTGGTGGAGCATGCCTCAACCACGCACTTCTTTCCATGTAGCCTCTGATATCTGCTTCGGCAGTGCGACTAAATTGGGAAGCTAATCCAAAAATACATGAGAGCATAAGAGTGCCGAGGTGTAAGTGCCGCTACAAGACATCCAAGTCGAGGTTTAAAGTCGCCTCCACTTTTTTCAGTTGGTTGGTCAGTGTGTGTTGTTTGGCCTGTGTCGTCACTCTACAGTGACGTCCGCTGCCCTCTTTCGTGCAGGTTACAGAACTGTTGCAAGAGACGGACCAGACGAACAACACGTTCGTCTATTTCACCTCCGACAATGGCGCTCATGTTCCAAGAGATTGGAATTCGTGGCGAGAGAGAGGGTGGCTACAACGGCATCTTCAGAGGTATCGTTCCACGGCCAGAATCGCACCTCGCATTACACGTCCGCTATGCTGACCAAACATTCAAATATATATTTCTATGGAAAATGGCAGTATTTGGGGTGTCTTTCTGCCTCTGCGTCGATGAGTTTCATCTGTCTAGCTTGTGTTTTCTTTATCGAAAATTGCACGCTCGCACTTTGCTCACAAGAGCCCTTGTCACGCTGATAGCCGCGCGCCATTTGTGACTGGGAAGTGCCAGGAGTGTGGCACTCGTGCTGTTCGTATTTCAAGTCAACAAGAGTGGACCTGATAGTTATTTTTATTTAGTTACTTACTTACTCATTTTCAGCATATTGTTAACCCTTTGCAGGTTTTTAAAAAGTGGGAGGAAAAAGAAAAAAGAAAAAAAACATTTACATCAGCAGTACCAATAAAATTTGGCTTGAGTAGCTTTTCAGAACAGGTACAAATGAAGAAGGAGAACACGTGCAGGAAACAAAGCAGTGGACGCATTATCTATATTATACAAGCACAAAAAAAAAATAAAACAGACTTGTAACAGTTGGTGTAAATGCAAATATTGGCAAGCAAGTCAATGCAAAGAAGCAATCATACAAATGAAAATATAGTAAGGTACTATGTAATCAGGCTTATGATCAAATGATATGTGGTTTGCGACATTTATAGAATGTCGTTAACTGTACGCTGTCCGACTATAAGTCAGCCAACAGCATTCCATTCACGAATGAATCTAGAAAAAGAAAAAAAAAAATGACAGAATGTGTTAGGTTGCACAAGTGTTCTTGGAGTGTGTGATGCTTGTGACGTGTTTTCGTTGTTGTCTTGGTTTCCATGTATCTTGCATAATCTGTCTTAAAACAGTTGTGCAATGTTTAATGTAAGAGCTTCAGGCGATGAACTTTCGCTTGACTTTCAAGTGTGGACAGACCTTCGTGGGCTAGTAATTCAGTTGGGGAGCCAAAGTGACAGTATTGAGTAAAGATGAATCTAGTCACTTTACAATTGTCCGTTTTCAAAAGTGCCGATACCACTGCTTGCGGAGGGGAACCAGATTATGCCAGCATACTCTAAAATCGGTCCGACAATCCTGGCCATAGCTGTCACATTGTGGTGGAGGTCAAATATCTGACGGTTTTGTACAGTACTCGCACATTAAAAAGGGACAATTTAGGGCTAAGTTACGCATGTATACTCTCATTTCCTCCATCTTCAGTTCGGGACATATGGGCATAATTTTGACTTGAAGGCACAGATCAGAGCCAACAGTTGTGCATGCCAGTTCTACGAAAAATTTGACGTCGTGTTTGAATCTGCGAGTACTGTACTGTCTTAAGTAACTCTCCCTCGTGGTGTGCTTCATAGCCATATTGTGATTTTGACGTGCGAAAACTTCAGGTATCATAATATTATTTTCCACAAAGACATACCCTCACTGTGTGAAATTGCTCATCTTGCGAGTCTAAAATTTTGCTTCTCTTTCCCATTAAGTTCTGATGACAAATTGAAGAAGAGTTCAGAATTTGAAGTTGAGGTCTGCATCCAAAAAAACTTACCGCTGAAAATCAGTTCCTTCGGTTTTTTGGTTTTCTTTCTCATGAGAGCTCTTTCTCGTTGCACTGAATCAAGGGGGGTCAAGTTTAAATGCAGGCTTGACCTTTACTAGCTCTGGTGCTGCTGAGAGAGGACAAGGAGCGTGCCGAGCACTGGTGAAAGTTGAGGAAAGGTGTGCTGACACCACCAACTCCGCTGTTCGGTCGGCCTTCGTAATGTTGAGTGAGCTGCACGTAAAATGCCTTTCAAACAAGTTTCGCATCTTCCCCATGCAGGCGGAAAGACCATGGGTGGATGGGAAGGCGGAATTCGTGTGCCCACAGTTGTTTCCTGGCCGGGACATGTTCCCAGTGGCCTCAAGATCGAGGCATCGACCAGCCAGCTCGACATGATGCCCACGCTGCTGGCGGTGGCCGGGGCGAAGACTCCACAGGACCGCGTCATAGACGGCAGCAACATACTCCCGCTCCTCCGCAAGGAAACCGCGGCCGCTTCGCACGAGTTCCTTTTCCATTACTGCGGCATTCACATCCACGCAGTCCGTTACACCCCTCGCGACGGTGAGTGCCTGCCCTACGACTTTCTCTGTTTTCCATTGTACCGTGTTAGGTTCTTTATTATTATTATTTTTTTGTGGAGTACTTGTTATGGTTAGTATGCATTGCTTCTTTAAGATGAACAAAAAATTAGGAGCCCTAGTTGCCGCACTGAGAAAAGTGGAGGCAAGCGAAGACACCTGTCGTACTTTTCTTTTTTTATTTCAATCACTTTGTGCAATGCTCCCTCCCAAGTTTAGCCTTCCTCCATGCTGAGCACTGAACCTTCCTATGTGTGCATAGCAGCTGAGCACTTCACTTTCTTCAGGCAGCAATGACGGTCATGCGTTCATGTCCGGGCAGCTATAGAAATTGGCAACGTGAAACTAAACTACAAGTGGCCCCGAAAGATCAAAAACGGTCGACCGTTGACAAGCCCACGATTGAGAGAGCGTCAATTATTGGAAAACGGCGCATACAAATACGCGTGTGACTGGTGCATTTTTGAGGATCCTATTTGTCTACGGTCGCCAGCACCGGGTTTTTTGCATACAACACCGCTGCCACCGAATTCTGTACCCTATAAAAAAACGACACCTGGCGGGGGGATATCGGCTACGCTACTTTTCGCAGGCTCAAAGTACAGGCTCGGGGTGCAAGATTCGCAGGCTCGGGTGCAACGTACACACTGCTTTCTGATGCACTTTATTGATTTTCTGCTTGTTGGGCAGTTGAGGTACGAGTCGTCTGCAACAAGTTTTGTCAGGTTCTTTGCCCCTTCTTTGGCCCGGTGAAGTGCATGTGAAAGAAGCTATTGTACATGTGGGAGAAGCTATTGTGCTTTTGGCGAGACAGCGACGCCATCTCTGGCGTGGGACAGCCGTCAGGCGCAGGTTTCCATAGTGTTTTAAGTGATTTCAAGTCAATCGTTGCAATTACTTCTTGGTTATTTGCAGACATATTCAGTGCCAACACGCAAGGATGTAGGAGAGACGAGACCATTATGTGCACGATGTGCAACGTGCACACTACATCCATATTTGACAGATTATGGCACACACGAAGCTCTCTGGCATCTTTGTTTGCTAGCGCTGAATATGTTTTCAAGTTCTGTTTACCGACACGCCCAAAAATATGGCAGTGGTTATTCGTGTTACGTGTAGTATTGATAGCCCTGTTATGGTTTGTATTCAGCGCTTTGCTGTGGGAGTGATCACACCAGGTGGAATGCATGGATAGACAGCAAGCTAGGCACCTTAAGTACCCAGCTTGGGGGGGGGGACCACGTGGGAACTTGTCTTCATCAGGGCCCCTAATAAAGAGATGTTCTCTTTAATGAACTTCACATCACTTCAAGCAGGCAAGCTTGAAGTGAAAAAAAAAAAAAAGTCACGGTATACCTTGGCTGTTGTCTCTGCCTTTGGGTTTACGCCGCAGACTTCATATCATCCGTGGCTGCGCATGTGGTGTGCAAGAAACTCTATATGAGACACACGCGAACGCAGCACAACTACAGCGAGTCGAGCAAACTTCAAGCCTTCATATTTGACTGATTATGGTGTGCGTGTAAACAGAGACACGGAAAAGAAAAAACAACGCTGGCGCTATTTCCTTTTTTGTGCGCATACCATATCCTGTCCAATATAAATGAGTACCATCTAGCCCAATTATCCATGCTGCTTCGTGACTGGCTGATGCAGGTTCTGGTACGTGGAAGGTGCACTTTATGAGCCCCGACCCAGCCCTGTGCACGTACGTCTGCCACTGCTACGGCAGCTACGTGCTCCGCCACGACCCACCTCTCGTCTTCCACCTGGACTCCGACCCGTCCGAGTCGCGGCCCCTACGCGAGCAGGACGATCCACGTGTTGCACGGGTGCGAGAGGCCGTCGCGGAAGCGGTAGGCGGAGCACGAGGCGTCATTGCAGCTGGTGCCGCAGCAGTTTGACTTCTTCCACTCTGTGTGGCGGCCGTGGCTACAGCCGTGCTGCAGCTACCAGTTCTGCTCCTGTCGCGAGAACTACACGCTCACGGACACCCTATGAGACGATTCGGCGAGGCCTGTGACTTTGTAGTTCACGACTTTGTGCGTCACGGTGGCCTTTTGTGTCACGAATTGGTGCAACTTTGCACACATTGCACATTCATGACCCTAAGCTCATGTGCTGCGACATAAGTGCCTTAAAGGGAGAATGGGGGCGATGACAAATTTCAGGATTGTTTTGAATTTGACAATTGTTGTCAGGATTGCGCTTATGTGTGAGCTGTGACGACATTGTGCATCACAGTGGCATTGTACGCTGCAAGTTTGTACATGTCGCATATTCATGACCCTAAGACCATGTTTGACGTCCGTTCCTCAAAGGGAGAAAGGGGCATGAGATTTTAAAAATTTTACGATTGCTCTTGAAAACGTTATTCCCAGCCATGCTTGGAGAGCCGGTATCTGCAGCGGCAAAATGTGCAAAAAAAATTGTGCGAATAGTGAGTGAACCTTTCTTTGATATTACGGATCCTATCCTTGTATCTTGTTACTGGTATCGAACATTGTCGGAACTTAGTTGTTGGTGTTTTTAAGTTTGTTGTTTTACTTGTGATATCCGAATGACGCGAGAGGCAACCCATGTATGGAAATGTAGTGCAGCTGTGTTTTGCAGAACTGTATGTTAGTCCTGTGAAACTCTGAGGTGACCCACTTGGCTTTGCTCCCTGCGTACATTGAAACGTGTTTCGACTTGTGGAACATTGCTGTGCTGAAGTATTTGTATGCACGTAGTTGTAGCAATGTACTGAAGACTTTTAGTAACGTTGAACTACTCTCTCCAGTTTAACAAACCATTACAGCCAGGAAGACATTTTTCACACATGGCTAAAGTGTAGCCACAGCTAAAATGTTCCTGTTGCAGCTGCATGTGATGTTGTCATATGTCGCCACTAGCTTGTGGCAACGTGTAGCTTGTGACAATCTCACAAGCCACTGTCACCACATGGTGGTGACATGCAATACATTTCCAGCATTTTTCACTATTACATTAGCACTGTTTGAGGCCACGCAATGCCTAACGTCTATTTTATTTGAAGGCTTAAAAGTGTAGACCAACACCACGCGCACATTTTAGTTGCAACTGCCGGTTAGGCACTAAAAGATTCGACAGGGCGCTGCTGGAAGTACGAGTGCATGTGGTTGCTTTGTTTTACCTGTTTTTAATGGCTTGCCAAAATGGAACTTCCGACCCTAACTGTACTGCATGGGCATTGAATTCCTCGATCGCAAGTGGCTCCAGCGCTCAAGCTTTTGGAGGAGTTAATCACATCACTAAAGTTACCCATGTGATTTCAGTATTGAGGCATCTGTACAGATACAGGGCAGACAGCTTCGATTTTACGATCAGTTTTGTCATTTGCTTGCAATGGCAGTAGAGTGCCTAGTTGATGCATTTGAATTTTTAATGGTATAATCTAAGCTCATTATAAAGAAATTTTCCACTAGAACCAAAGTTCTACCTCAGTAAATCCAGTATTCTATACAAGCACATTCCTCTTTTAAGCTATTCAGGAACATTACAAATTGTGTTATATAGAATGCAAATGAAATTCATAAGTTGTTATATTCATGATTGTTATTAGTTCAACGGTGTTTGAAACTTCAAATGCAGGGGAATGATGTTTTTGTTGTATATTCAGTTTATTTGATATTTGTAATGCCCGTGAGGTCATGTGTGGCTAAACTGTGTACAAGATGAGAGCATTTGGTAGTGCCTACTGGATCGAAAAATTGGGGCTGAAAGCTCTGCAAGCCTACCTTAAATGTGTGCGTACTTCCATTTCATTTGCTTCAAATTACTGAGAAGCTCAGTTTTCAGGTGTGACAAACAGGCCATATGCGTGTTTTTTGTATATATTTCACTTAATTTCAATCATGGATGTATCTAATTTTCTTTCCAAGTTTGTTCCACGAGTTGAAATACCTAAAATGCTTTAACAACAACAATTGTGAACATACCTAGAATACATTGCATATTTAATCAAAAATGTATGCAAAAGCATAATGAATTAAGGATGTTGTGAAGGTTTTTTGTATCGAGATTTCCATCATAATGATGTCTTGTCCTGCAAATATTTTCAGTATCACCGCCATGAAATGAAATATTTTTACTTCATTTTTCGCTAACCAGTCAGTGCCGAATTCGTAGACGAACTTTTTCCTAGCGATTCTCCTGTTCAAGCAACTTTTACCGACCAATTCATGATCTCGAAAGGATCAACAGTCACGAAATCAAGATGAAAAAAACGTGCAATACATGATTGACACGTATGAAGACAAATGAGCATGTTTGTAATTTTCTCATCATCATCATCTCACTCTCTATTAGTACTTTTCGATCTCTACAAACTGGATGGCCCACTTAGGAGTAACTCTTGGCCTTGCCTATAAGTGACAATTAGTCAATTGATTAGATTTTTAGCCATAGTAGATAGGAAAACTGGGTCAGTTGGCGCATATCGCATTTCACATTATGTTGAATGGCATTCCATTGTTAAAGGCTTGGATGGTTCGACACTGCTGTGACCTGGTTGCTATGCCCTCCATCACTTTACTTTCAACAATCTATTTTGGTCAAAATGGAAGCTGCACTAGGGTGTACCGGTTCGGCTGTTGATGAACGACAGCCATTCAGGTAGACAGCAGTGAAGGAACTTGATGACTGAGCTGACCGATGGCGTGTTTTGTTTTTTTTTTTCTTCTTTTGTTTTCATATTTCGCGTGCGACATGACTGCGTGATAGTGTCCAAGACGGACATTCTTTTTTCAAGTTGCGTAACGAATACTTGTGACATGTCCAAGTGATATGAGATTACATATGATGACTACAAACACATGACATAGTGTTGCAGCCATAAAGTTTTCTAGCTTTGTTCGACGTCATCCTCACGCTGTCGACCAAACTCTAGTCTAATTAGTGCGGCACGTACATCCCAAGTCATACAATAATTATATCACTCATTACACATAGGAAGAAATGAAGGTATGCTTCTGGCATAGTACTCTAGTCTCGAATGTACAGATAGAAGGGTGATCCACCTTCCTCCTAGCCGATGCCTGTAAAAACTCTCATCATAAAGTACTGTGTGCATGGTACACAACACAACACCAAAACTTGTATAACAAGTAATCTGTGCAATTACACGAGACAACCAGCATCGTATTGCTGCGAATCCGACCCCCAAACAGGTTGTTGCACAAACCAGTATTACACACATGTGCCACAAACTAAAGCCCATGAAAAATGGAGTATATGCATTTCATCATGTGAGCACCGTACAACCCGGTCTGTGGGTGACCCATTTCGTTGCCAAGTTGCTGCAAGTGTTATGTATGACTGTATCATTGCGTTGTGATTTTATAAATAAACGGCTATTTTCCAGCATGTGATGGCTGTTGCGTACTTTATGTTCAGGCCTATTGCCAAAGGAAGTGCTCTAGGGTCTCTCTCCCTGTGTTGGTTAAGGAGATGTATCATAAAAAAAAACATAGGTGTTTTTCTCAAATGGTCAAGTTTTTCAGCAAGTGCCTCCCCTACTCTACACGAAGACAAAGGGCTTGCCTACCTTTGTCGGTTTTATTAAAGGGGTATGTGTAAAAGATGCTGTGTTTTCTAATAGCGATGAATAAAGAGATACACCATCCTATTATCAGACACGTCTTCAAAAGCCAACAGAACTGTGCTTAGCTTAGACCGGCTTATATTAATCTTTACTCAATATTTTTGTTGCTTTAGCAAGTTAAGCTTTAAAATAAATACATCTGCAGCAACTGTACTCATTCCGTTACAAAAAATTGAAGTTGTTTGAATGTAACCCAAGAAGCATACATGTAAAGGAATATATCTGGGCTTCAATCAGCAAAAGCATGTTCACATGCAGTTACGAGAGATGGTTATTTGGAAGGAAACCACAAAGCATAATTGGGCTGAAATGAAAAAATTCAATGCTAGAGCTTGTAAAGAGCAGTTTTGCATTCATTTCTATATTTAGGACAGCCCTTTAAAAAATCAAAAAGGGTAGCTTTACAGTTCCCACAAGAATATGCAGAGGGTGGATCGCCCACAATAAACTTGATACACTGCACTTCTCGTCGATTCCATGCTGCAGGTAACACGCCACACTCTTGTGTTGCCAAGATCCGTCTACGACTTGGCAAGCGACTCCACAATAAGGAAACGAAGCCACTCACAACTAATCTGGCCATTCGCATCATCGCCATCACCACAGAAACACCTCACTACTTAATTGGTTCGTAAGGGCTCACCTACGACTCGATGTCGGCAGGCATCAGTGACATAATAACAATAATAATACTTTATTTTGGCATGTGTACACAACAGTTACATGCCACCGAGATGAGGCAAAAGGAAACAGACGAAACTGTTTCCTGACTAGGCCTATAGCCCGGCTTGTAAACAAAAAAAAAAAGGGAAGTGAGACATATACTCGTGTAAACAGTTTCGTGAACAAAAAATAATAATAAAAAAAAACAAGGACAGATCCAGTACAGCACAATTCATTAGCATCACTGTAGAGAAGTCATGGAATTTCAAGCAATTTCGCTATAGAAGTACGAAAACCTATAAAAACCATTTCATGTTGATATGTCCATCAGAATAAAATTGTGAATAGATTTAATGAATGAAGAGGTGCAATAGTATCCGTCATAATTCAGAATTCAAGTGGAGCTAACAATGTGCGTAGCTTAACAATTGAAATGCAGTGAAGTACGACCTGGTGAACAGAAGTATACATCGCAAGTGGCAAAACATATTGCATCAAGCACTTCATCCTGTATCGAAGAGTAATCTTACTTTCTTTTTAAAATGATTATCACAGATCTGCTTGTCTGTGATAATTCTACTACAGAAGGAAAACTGTTACATATATCTACTATTTGATGGTCAAGTGCTTGGGTACCACAATTTGTTCTAGATCGTGCTGAAACAAGTGACGTCCTTCATAATTTATATTCAATGTGACGAGTGAGGTACATATTGCTGAATGAAGCAAAATCTTGTTTTATACGATTATAAATAAGAACCATCACTTTAAGTTTGTAGCATTCAGTGAAACACAATACACTAGAAACAGAAAATAAATTGCTATGTCTATGTCTATCTGGCCTTTTAGTTATTAGCTGCAATGCTTTTTGTTGCATGGTAATTAATTTTTGTGCATTGGTCCGATTACATGTGCCCCAAACTAAGTTGCAGTATGTGAAGTGCGAATGAACGAGAGAAAAGTATAGCTGCTTTGCCACCGAATGTGGAAGAAGATGATTAATACGGCTTATAACACCAATGGATCGAGCCATTTTCAGTTTTACATGACTCACGTGATCAGACCAGCTCAAGTCATTGCGGAAGTGTATGATTCCGCGTATCTTGCCGAGCACGAGAGAGCCGGTGCACTGGCCACTCACATCATCGTCATCACCACAGAACACCCCACTACTTTATCGGTTCGTAAGGGCTCATCCACGACTCGACGTCGGAAGGCATCAGCGAGATCATTCCCGCGTATCTTGCCGAGCACGAGAGAGTTGGTGCACTGCAAGTCGTCCGGCCCATAGGGTGGCAGCAGCCGCACCGATCCGGCAATGACCAATGTACCGGGTTCCTTGGTGGCCTCGGCGATTGGAATGCGGTTGACACACATCCACGAACGAACCTTCTCTATTCTCTGGCGAAGCTCCTCCGCACTGAGCTCTTTCTGCGTCAGCATGAACAGTGTCTCGATCTGCTCCTTTTCCGCAGGGCTCGCGTCTGTGACGACTGTCACCGACTTGACCGCATGTCCCATGATGACATGCAGCACCTTTGCTTTGCCGTCCTCAAACAGGACCAGAACGACGCTAAATTGATAAAAAGCAAAGCGAGATCTGAGGGCACACTTGTCTAACCAAACGTTCTGCATGTTTTCCTACCTCTGAAAAGAAAACATCCAAGGTGCTGCATTAAACAAAAGTGTTTGTTGGCTGTCGGGTGTTTAAACATTGTTATGGGCACAACGCCAGGAATGTTTTGTTCAGGTAATATTGTTAGTTTTCTGTTGCTGTTATAATGTCACGAATACCATAATTCGTTCTGATTTGCAAGATATATCAGCTTTCTCTGATAAACATGTTTGTCGGCGTCATCCAATTTTTCTTTTCTTGGATATGAGCCACAAAAGAAGGTTAACAAGAAGGAGCAGCCATGCGAGTTTTAAGAAACCAAGTGAGTTACGTTGCCGTTACCGTGTAAACGGTGTTGATTTTGCGGGTTAAACAAACGAACACACACACACAAACAGAGAGAGAGGGGGGCAAGGAATCACGTGAAATCAATATAGAAGTTAGCAAAAAAAAAAAAAACGAAAAGGAAACTGGTTGCCTGTAAGGCGTCGATCACGAGTCCCATACGGGCACACGGCTTTTGTGCTCACACTAAACTTTATATTGTTCGTCAGGACTAATTATGTTCAATTTTTTTCAGACCATACGGAACGGTTAAACCGAATGCGTACTATGATTACCACTCTAAGTGTCGTAGGATACTTCAACGCCGAAGTACAGTCACTCGAGCCATGACAACTGTTCCAAGTTCAGGAGGGCTACTGTAGGTTGTGATTTTTGCATTCATGTAAAATATGTTGCGGTGCGTTCTAAAATGACTCCTCTAACAGCACCAACACCTGCCTTCACTAATCCAATAGAAAATAGCGCGCGTGCTTACATAACAAACGCAAGTGAACTACTTTCACGCTTACCTTTTGGAGATTGGGTCGACTGTCTTAACGTAACCGGCGAGAACATCACCCTCCGTAGTTTCAACACGAACAAGCTTGTGCACGTACGACATTAGCAACAAAGGATTGTCATTAGGTAAAGTGTCACTCGTGTGTTTGGAACCAACGCCGGTCTCGGTTGCCATAACGCTGCCAGTCGGCTAAGTTATACGCGATCACAGTAACCGATAACTCGTCAAGTTCTCCATTCCATCGTCGACGTGCTCTATTAACTGAAGCATGCGCTACAGCAAGCACAAGCTAGAAAGTACTACAGTCAACTATAACGCGCACAAGCAATTAAGGCGCCTGAAGATCACATGCCATAGATTAATTGAGGGAGGCATGGATTGGCATAGAGTTGGATTGGATCTCGCCACGGATCTTACTTGGATTGACCCGTGCATTGGCTTCAATTCTTTTACTAACTTGGCTCAACTTTTTTTGTAGTTTTATAACCCTTGCCTCTTATACTGGCCAATTAACAACGCAATTTTTGGAGCACGTGACAAAATGTCGGCCAATCAGGCACTCTCGCGGCAACCGTTGCATTGTCCACCTGTCGACGCCCGCGTCGCTTGTGCATTGGCTGGTGTGTTGCGGCGTCGCACGTTATAAACAGGAGTTTTCTTAATAGAACTCTGTTCGTTTTCCCGTTACCTGTCAGTGCGTGTCCTCCGAAGACTATTGTCTATTTTTTGCAAGCTTCTGCCATGAATCGCACCGATTACTACTCGAAGTGAGTATAATAAGCCCCGCTTTAGGCGTCGTGATTGGTTTTGCACGCTATGCCTGATGTGTCGTGCAATTTCAGGTTCAGCTGCCCGGTCTGTCTGAGGCCGAGTCAGAACATGGTATTCGGCTTGTGCCAGCACTTCGTGTGCGCTTCCTGTCTCTACGAGCTGGACAGCGAAAGTTTGAAGCCTGTGTTTTATTGTTGTCCCCTCTGCAAAGCCAAGGACGTGTTCCCAGATTACCGGTAATTGATTGCGGTGACTTTGGATACTCTAGTTTCCGCTCACTAATAGCTAAAATAGTCCGACGTCACAATTGCGTTAACCTGAGTTTTGTGTTCATGCAGCCCCGAAAATACCACTAAGCTGCTGATGAACATTGTTGGCGTCGTGGAGTGCCCTCGGAAACGGTGCGGTGAAGAAATGTGGGCTTGGGACGTGGAAGAACACCAAAGGTACGTCGTACTTTAGATGCGACAGTTTGCTAATTTGCGTGTTGCTTATGCACGCTACAGTTACCTTGCCGTTTGCTCAAATGTGGACGTGTTGTGTGCCTTCGCTTTTCATTCACCGGGCGTCCCGTGCCTGCAGACTTTTCAGATGCGACTCTTGCCACTGCGTGGTAAGCATCGGGGAAGAGAGAATTCCGATGCGCAAAGCAGGCATAATGCGAAACGCGGGGAAATCGTAGTACGGAGAGGTTCTTCTTGGCGTTGCATAAACTGTTGCCGGACTGCCGCCATATTTGGCAGAGACATTTGCCCCTGAAGTTGTGACTTCTTCGTGAGGGTTTTTTGTCGTCCGCGGTGCATTTCGCGAGTGCGTGAGCGACGTTGGCCGTTTTAATTAACGGAATGAACGTAAAACGAGCCTTGCAGAAGTCGGGTGACAACCACCCCAAAGTATGGCAACTGAGATGTGCAACACCAAACAGCACCTTGTCAGTGCAAGGACAGTCGTGTTTTGTCGTGAGCATTTTGAAGGGATACTCTGAAATTGCGTGATGGAGTCCATGCAGGGAAAGGTACCTTTTGCAAACCAATACTCCACATTTGTATGTACAGTGCAAGTAATCGTTCCCGAAGCACAAGTTCTGTGTTCGCTTTCATATTTCTCCTGGCTGTAGTTGGACGTTGAAGAATGTGCAACTGCCCGCTCTGGCGTGCCTCGTAATGATATTGCGGTTCGGTGTGTGAAACCCCAGATTATAACTTTTTTTGTGGAGGCATTGTGCGTTCATCTCGTTGTGGGCAAGGTACTTTACATTAGCGGTATGTCCTGTCTAAAGAACGGTGTCCTTTACGTGTGTTTGTTATAGCCAGGCCTTTCCACATCTCTGAAACCACTGCCGCATTTCATTGAAATGTATATAAGTGTAAATTCTCGCAGCCCGTCAATGCAATGTTCCTCATAATCGAGGTACGAATTTGGGACATGAAACCACGGCATCTATGATCTTCTCCTGTGTGTGCACACTTGTACTCTTTCACAATAAATCCCTACATACTGACTAAACAAATCAGTTGACACTTGCAATGCGGTATTTTAACAGGCGAAAGCCACGAAAAGCACAGGTAAAACAAGACGCTTTTTGTGTTCTTCGTTGCATTCAAACAAAGAGTCGCAAGTGTCAATTATGCACAACCAACTAGCTTCTACTCTGGCTCTTCTGGCTAGGCTTAATTAAGTTGATTGATTATAGTGTGGCCAAACCAAAGGGCGCTGGTTGCCATGGTCCATGCAGGTCTTGCGTGGGCATCGGAAGACGGTCGTCGGCGCGTTGCTCTCGCTCCACAGCAAGTGGTCGCAGTGGCCAGAGAGTCGCCACCCGCCAGAGCGAGCGGCAGAGGAGCAAGAGCCCTGTTGAACTCAGAGAAGTGAACGTGGCACTGCACCTGCCTTGCTTCAAAATTCCTTACAGGTAAGCAGCGTCTGAGGAAAGTTTGCAAGTTTGAAGTCTTTAACCTCTTCACTACCAGCGTCTACTTTTGTGGACATGACTCCATAAGGGGCACACTGCATCTGAAAATGTTCTTTAAAATTACTTTATCAATTTAAATGAATTCAGTGAAATTATGTGTATTCGTGTGCTGACTTTGTTTGTTTCATTTTCTTGGTACAACACATGGTTCTTGAATTTCAGGCGGGATTTCGGGCTGGCAGTTAGCTCTAACTAAGAGAATTAGAATAGAATTAAGTAGATCAGAATGACCTGGAGTGAAGACAAATGCAAGAAGGCAAGAATTGATAATCTAAGCCCATATAAACAAAAGTTGTAGTATGTTGAGCTAACTCTATTGTCAAATCATCGTTAATAGAGCTCTCGGAAAAGAATATACCAGTTTAGGCTGACTGTTTAGTTTATGTTAATGCACGAAAGCTTTGTCACCTGAGACTGTCACAATTACTCAATTTCAGGTTCCTCTGCAGAAACATACCTGGTTAGGGAGCAAGAAAGGAGCAAGGTCTTTTCGGTCTTTTCTTGTAGAAATAACTGAGCCAGTATTTTTATTTCATGTGTATGTACGATTTTTTGTTGTGGCAATAAATACTAACTAGTCCGGCAATAAATGTTTTCTGCTAAACTGTCTCCTACATTTAATTTAATTTCGAGGCTAGTGTCTCTTGCGTTAGTAAAGTGCGCTACCAATTTAATGCGCAATGTGCAATATTGTTTACATCCTGAACAATTGTGATGCATTAAAGTGCTGTAGTATGTGTTTTATGCATTGCTGTTCACCTTAAGTCAATTTAGTTTCATTTCAAAACAAGACTTTTTGCATAATAATGTACTCGCAACAATTTTCGGGCCAAAATGAACAGTATGCCAAACCTTCGGGCTTTCGAAGGGTTGTGATGTACTATGAACATGCATTTTTTTACCAATGGCAGTTCATGTTTCTCTTGATTTTATCCTAGAACTGGCATCTTCCATCTTTGTATGCTCGGTTTGTGCTACAATTTTGGGCACTTAATGCACCCAATATATTCAAGGTTGCGATTGGTCATTGATGAACGACCAGAATTTTTTATTTTATTGTAAAACAGTTTTAATTGATAAGGGAAAATTGTTTCTCAATAAATGCACGGCATGCAATATCCTGTTTCACGAACGATTATGTACAGACCGAAATCGTATGACAATGAATGCTTTTGTGTCGCCTTTTTTGTGCGCATTTCTCTTTTTAAAATTTTGCAATGCATACTGTTAAAGCCGCAACGAAAGTATTTATGGTGATAGTTATTTGTGTGCATTTAGTTATCATTGTTGAAGCCAGAAACAACTTATGTTAAAACAAACGCTGTGTTTATCTTCTTGAATCACGGTTTGTGTATTTTCATCCTAAAAGCCTCTTAAATATTACATTTTTTATTTTCTGAACGCTTAATGAAATATGATTGTCTTCTGTTTTTAACAGTATTTTATCCCTCAAGATTTAAACAGCGGCAATGTTAAAAGTAAAAGATAAGCCGTGTGTCAGTGATAGTGTTACGAGGCAGTTTTCCAAATACTTGAATTCTGGAATGAGCAGTTCTAGTGCTGTGCTGGCCCGTGCAAATACGAATCGTGCCAGTATTGACCATGTGTTACAAGCAGCAGTAGCACATTTGTAAGCACGTGCGCACACACAGGTAACGCGACGAGCAACAACAAACCGTGCGGACAGCTGCTTGGAGACCAACCAGAAGTCAAGGCTCTTGCTCGACCAATCACAGCATCAATATGCAGTGCGTCAGAGATTCAAATTTTCGGTGTCGCGCAAAAGCCAGGAGTGGAGGAGGGATTGTTTCTGGGAATTCGTGGCGTGCTGGCGGCACGCCACGAATTCCCAGAAACAATCCAATTCGTGGCGTGCCGCCAGCCTACCAAATTGCGGGGCAATACGACGGGTCTTCAGCTTCTCGAAAGTACGCCAGCACGCCACGAATTCGTGGCGTGCTGGCGGCACGCTTCAGCTTCTCGAAAGTACTGCCGTACTTTCGAGAAGCTGAAGACCCGTCGTATTGCCCCGCAATTTGGTAGGCTGGCAAATGTAACAACGGTCGCCAGCGTCGACGTAAGCCCGCCTGCCAACCTTGCCGCTACTATCGGGGCAATAGTGTGCGAAGAGCTACAGCGACAAGGCACACTGGTCGACGACACCATTCATCATCCGCCTACCTGTTCATCCTATTACCCGGCACCGTTCGCTCCTCTGCCACCATCGGATTTGTGTGACGGACTTTAGCGAAGCTGGAACTGCTTGGCCACGCCGAGACTCATTCGCGCCTGACCAGCGGTATGACCGGACGCCTTGTATCGGCCCTGCTCCACAGAGGCGAGCAGTTACTGTTCAGCAAGCTGCTCCACTCCGTTCGGGTAGGCGACCTTTCACAGCGGAGCGCTCTCAGCAGTGGTTCCGCGAACGACCCCTACCCGTCTGCTACAACTGTGGCGTCGAAGGGCACATTGCCAGGTACTGCAACTACCGGCAGCCGCCGATGGTACGACCGCTCACCAAGATCCCACCTGTCCGCACGAGCACCAACATTCCCTGGAAGCACATCTCACGAGATAAGGCCACTGCGAAACCGTTCTCCGGCCTCTGACCGCAGCCCGACACCCCC